AAGTTCATTACCTTCATCGTCCAGTTTTATACGAGAAAGTGCGTCAGCTACATTGTTTTCCTTACCCGGTTTATATTTTATTGTGATATTATATTCTTGGAGTTTTAAAGCCCATCTTATTAACCTGGGCGTTAGGTTTTTTCCCGAGTAAAGTCTACCAACAGCCGCATGATCCGAAAAGACTGTTACTGGCGATTTGCCGAAATAAACTCGAAATTTGTGTACAGCCATTAATACGGCTAATGTTTCTCTTTCTGTAGCTGTATAATTCCTTTGTGTTTGATTCAATGTTTTACTAAAAAATGCCAGCGGATGGTTATTTTGCATAAGAACCGCACCCACCGCATAGTCTGATGCATCTGCCGCAATTTCCAGGTTTTCGTCCCCCTCAGGGAATTTTAAAACAGGGGCATTAATAAGCGCTTCTTTTAATCTTTCAAAAGCTGTGTTAGCTTCCGCTGTCCACGTAAATTTACTCTTTTTTTCTTTTGATTACTAAGAGTGGTTCAACAATATTAGCGAAATCTTTTATGAAAGATCGATAGTAAGAACATAGTCCAAGGAAAGACGAAAGTTTCTTGGCGGTGTTGGGCGGTGGGAAATTCTTAATAGCTTTTATTTTTGAATCTTGCGTTTCTATACCCTTTTGCGAAATTTTATAACCGAGATATTTAAGTTCTTTAGTTGCGAACTTGCATTTTGAGGCGTTAATTGTAAGACCGGCCTCTTTTAATAATTTAAAAACTTGTTCGAGGTCATTAATGTGTTGTTCCAACGTACTACTCGTTATAATTATATCATCTAGATAAATTAAAGTTGATTTTCCTAGGACAGGCTTTAGAACAATGTCCATAGCTCTCTGGAATGTTGATGGGGCCCCACACAACCCAAAAGGCATGCGTAAAAATGCATAAGTGCCCGATTTTGTTATAAACGCGGTTTTATGTATATCTTCGGGTCTCATAGCTATTTGATAGTAGCCAGACGTTAAGTCCAAAGTAGACATATATCTCGTCGATTTGATCTGTCTAATGATCTCGTCTATAACCGGCAAAGGGTAAACTGGGAATTTAGTTAATGCTATTTAGTTTTCTATAATCGATAGCAAACCTCCAAGCCCTTTTATCCGAAGGAGGAAACTCGTTCTTTTTCCTACATAGTACGACTGGACTCGCGTATTCACTATTTATGGGCGTTATTATTTTATTCTTTAACATCTCCTGAATATGTTCTTCGATGATTACGTCTTTTTGTTTGTCATAGCGGTAAGGTTTAGTCCTACAAGGTTTTTCGGCATTTAATTGAATCTTGTGAGTCACGATCTGACAGTTTCCCCGGTTTTTCTGAAAACAAATGAGAAAAATTACTCACCACTTGCTGTATTGCTTTACTTTCCTGGTCATTCAAATGGCTAAGGTCCAATTCAGGTGTCTCCACCGGTTCCACCACCCTCTGGTCCATCTCCAGCACCACGGAACTATCTTGAAAATTTAATTTGGCCCACGCGGCCCTTAAAAAGTCCATACCTAAAATAAGAGAGTGTTGGAGGTGTTTCACCACAAAAATTAATACTTTGAGATTTTCCTCTTTTATCTGTTAAAGAGTCGTATCCTAAAAAAATTCTTTTTGAAGAACTTTTCACTCATGAAATTTCCTTCTGCTCCTGTATCGATGAGGGCTTCTACTGGTACATCGCCAACCAGGACTTGTATAATTGGTAGCTGTGAGTTTTTTACGATGACTGTATTTAGATGTCTATTTGAGGGTTTTTCTAAAACTTCCGGGGTCTGGACCCTCCCTTTCACAGGCCCCTCTAGTCGTTTAAAGCTTTCCTTTCAATCTGTGTCTTCTGGGTACGCGGATGCTTATTTTCAAATTTTCTTTTTGGGCCTTGACCTTCGAGTTTCGATGCGTTAGCTTGATAGTTCTTTCCCCCATATGAGCGATTTCCATTTCTGGTTTCCTCCTTCCTTCTGGTACTTTGAGAATATGTTTCCCCTCTCGCTCTTTCCGCGATTCTGCGATTTTGAAACTTCACCGCCAATTCGAAAAGTTCCTGCAATGTGGTTGGGTTTCTAATTTCAAAGTAGTCTTGGACAGCGGGTAACAATCTTGGTAATATTATTTCAATAATCTCCGCATCGGGTTTTTTCCCATACAACATATCCGTTAGCTTGATTTTTCGTAAAATAAAGTCCGTCAATTGTGCTGTATCCCGTTGATAGAAACTATATAGCTCGGCTTCCAGCCGTGCGCGATCTTTCACTATGGGGAAGGCCTTTACTAACGATTTTTTGAAATTTTCAAAAGTATACGTCGGGCTTCCAAATTCACCTAGAAGAAATTTGCCTATATTTTTTCCACCATAGCGCGGCCTGTCCTCTTAGTGCTGATGTGGCGATGGCGAACTTTTTGTCTTTCAGGCACAGGGTAGAGCTGAAAGTGGTTTTCTATACCTTCTAAAAATACGGACACCGAATTTTTTCCGTCGAAATAGACGTTTGGCTTGATTGATGCTCTCAAAGTCTGGACCAGGTATCCAAATCCTTCTAACTGCGTTGTCATTTCTTGGTGTTGTCCAGCGGCTTCCATCCAGTTTTCGGCCATTTCAGTTCGATAAGTGTTCGGGCGCCAATATAACGTTGCGCGCCTCTAACTTGCACGCAACCAAGGGTGACTGTGAAAGCTTGTATAAACCACAGAGTCTTGTAAAGGGTTTAAGTCCCTTTTTATTCAACGTACTGAATTACAATTGCGTTCTCTTGACGCTTACAAACGGTGCCAACTCGGCAGTCAAAATAAAAATAAAAACCTGAAAAGAAAATAAAGACAATATTCTAACTACGAGGCTCTCTAAAATAACTAACTCACCGCGTTTTACAAAAGCCGCAGCTAATTCAGCAGACTTGAAGCTCACTGGAACAATTGCAACTACTTCCCGCCAAGCACATAGGCCGCAACGCGGGGTGCTTTAATTCTCGATTTCTACCTCCGCGCTCGCTAAGTAAGAATAACTCTCTCACCGAACTTGTTTCCTTCTATTTAAATCATACTACTTCCGCTGATAATTTGAATCCTTGCGCGTTCTACTCAAATTTACATATTCTGGCATTGGCAGTTCCAGGGGAAAGTAAGGCTTGACAGGAAAGATAGTTTAAACTTAAAATAAATGTTAGTTAAAATAAATATAAACCCTACAAACTGCATGCAATATTATTTGTAGAATTATCAACAATTTAAAAGCTGTTTAAGTGCCGCTATGCCTAATTATTTTTGCCATGGGAGTCATATTTGTTTACATTTTAAACTTAGAAGAATATAGGATTTGTTGCCAATCTACTGAAAGTAAGCTTCGCAACAACAAAAATAACGCCTTCTTTTTATTATTGCGAATTAAATCATGCTGAATTCATTCTAGAATTTATTCGAGGAAATAATTGTTTAAAATTTACTTCTTAATTTTTAATATAGATATTTTGAGTTTTTATCTATTTTTGCCTTGTGGCGAAAAGAAAGCTGAATTAATTGAATGAGAAATACTGAATCGTCTGTAAAATCTGTTTCTTTTTCCTTTTCGTTTTTCTTTTTTTGCTTAGTTTCTTTTATACATCGTTTTAGATTTATTATAGTATTTGAATAGAACATGTGACAACGATTAGATAATTCTTTAGATGATATAAATTTTATGCATTCTCAGTTATGAAATGTAATGCTGTTAAATGAACCTAGCGCCAGAGTGTCGCTGTGGTAAACAAATATTGTGAATTTTAAGGAGTGTTTTTATTCTATTGTGGTTTATGCGCTATCGGCGAAGTAAGTTTAATTCAATTCAATAAGTTTCAATGAAATGAAAAAAAAAATGCGTATAATTTAATATTCCGTTCAAGGAAGTCATGTGGTGTACACATCAGAAATTTTAAATACTCAATTCAATCCTATTCTATTTGTTTACATTTTAAACTTAGAAGAATTGTGGATTTGTTGCCAATCTAGAGAAAGTAAATTTCGCAACAACAAAAATAACGCCTTCTTTTATTATTGCGAATTAAGTCATGCTTAATCCGTTCTAGAATTTATTCGAGGAAATAATTGTTTAAAATTTACTTCTTAATTTTTAATATAGATATTTTGAGTTTTTATGTATTTTTGGCTTATCGCGAAGTGAAAGCTGAATTAATTGAATGAGAAATACTGAATCGTCTGCAAAAACTGTTTCTTTTTCCTCCCCCCCCCCTTTTTTTTTTTTTTTTTTTTTTTGCCTTAGTCAATAAGTTTAAATGAAATGAAAAAAATGCGTATAAATTAATATTCCGTTCAAGGAAGTCATGTGGTGTACATATCAGAATTTTTAAATACTCAATTTAATCCTATTCTATTGTATTTATAAATTATTATGATATACAAAGTATCAGGTATTGGGACATATTCGAGAGCTTAAGAAATAATAAATTTTGTATACTTATACTGGGGCCCACCAGCGGCCGAGCGGTAAAGTCGCTGAACACTGGTAGTTCGGTTCGAGGTTCGAATCCCGCGAACGGGCTGGCTGCATGGGCGTTTTCGTGGTTTTTCCCATGTGTAACGTGTATACGAGCCAGTTTCCCTTAGAAAGTCCTCCAGGAAGGCATCCCTCCCCTTAGGCAGATAGCTCTCGAGGCTTTACCATAATCACACACACACACAGTATAATTATACTTTAAAAAGGGTATTAGACTCAGAGCATTTATACGTTACCATATAATCTACTGTTTAATTTTATAAAGGGTGAATTTATGTTGCAAACGTTTTAAATATTGTGGATATTAAATGGAAAAATACATATAAAAGATCGTAAGTGAATAAAAGCAGCTAACATCATGCAGCCGATCATTTGGCTCGATAACAGATTGTAAAAAAGCCTTAGGTTAGTAAACAAGCGGAGTATCTACTAAACACAATAAACCGAAGCGCAGTAAATCAAGATACTATACATATACTTACTAATGTGAGATTTTACTTACCGTAATATTAGAGCGACGGCAAGGACAGCAACTGAAGCAACAATTGGTAACCACATATTTGATACTTTATTCCAAACAGAGTGCAGGAATAGAACTGAAATCTCTCCTCAATGTGGAACTTAATGTTTCCCCAACAACGACAGCTCTTAAATACAAAATATTTCTGCTAGCTCCAATAACAGGAAATGATGAAACAATACTAATGGGAGAAAAAGTTACCCTTTGACGACGCAATTAATTTCTGATCTTTTATTTAATTATTAATACAGTTATCTTAATAAAAGCATCTCCATGGTCTTTGATTTCATTTATCTGCCCATGTCTGTTCTTTATCGACAGCGAAGATAAATACTGCGATATAGAATGGAAACCTCTTTAAACGGCGCATCCGCTTCTGAATCCGGATATAAAGTCTTTCTCCAATTTAATACGAATGAAGCCTCCTTATTTCACGATCTGATATAATGTCTTTAATTTGTAGATTCTTAAAGGAAAAATATTGCACAAAATTTAGCAACACACAATACATTCGTGAAGGAACACTACATGCTTTTATTTCCTTAAATATATTTTTTATACCTATATCTCCGGAAGAAACGTTTTAACAAATAATGCAAAGAATTTTATGGGAACATTTTAAGCAATGGAGGAAAAATGTTTTAAAAATACAAAATTCAATTTCTGAATATATTCCTCGTAAATCAATAAGTTGTGTTTGTTAAATCCCTTTGAAGTGAGATGGTGCTGCCATCACCACTGTTAAACTAAAAAGAATATTATTGTTTTTTTTGGGGGGGGGCTTCATTGACAAAGCGGAGTGCGTGTGGTTGCCCGAGTGTCTTCCACAGACGACTAAAATGAAAAAGATAAAATAAAGTAGTTTAGTTTTTTAAATTAGTTGTTTAATAAGAGTTACAGTCCATTTAGCAATTCGCCGGACCAGTGTTAAGGGGATGCTTATTATGCTTTAATAAAAAACAAACGCAAAAACCTTCCGTTAAAACAAAACATATAAAAAATAACGTAAACAAATTAATATTGGTAACACAAAATAAATTTGCTGTTTCAGATCATCTTCATTGCCTATTTTTAATGAAACTAAATATTGGCTAAAAGTTTCCCTGAGTAATAACTCGTAATTTGGAGTAACTAATAAATAAATGGAGATCACTGAAAACGTACTGAGTTCAAAGACGTAGACGCCGCTTTAATGTGATCACGTTTTTCCACGGCTATTTTTGATAAAATTAAACGAATAATAACATTAAAAGACGAAAACAATTTGCACTTCAAATTAGCAATGGAATTTAACTAATTTCATGTAATGCGACTAGAAACATATGAATATGTACTTTAAATGCAAAAGTTCGCTTATGAACTGTTCATAATTTTATGAATATCTTATTTTCAAAAACGTTTTAAGTCCATTTATGAACTCTTCATTATGTCTCTGGAAATTATTTAATCCCAGCTGTTCCCTTAATCTTAATTCTCGAAGGGAATTCCTCATATCAGCATATGTAAAGAATCCACGGATTTCATCAGTATTACCATTATCTTCAGAAAGTTTATCACATGACATGCTTGGATTTATTTCATAAAACGAGTGGCTGATATGTTATTCTATCATCAACGTTACAACTAGAATTTTTTCATCAATATTCTTCCTTTTAAAATTCTCCACAATTCATGTTAATTGGAAATGTTACTTATTCATTCTCATTTTTCTCTGTTTCATTATTTATTGCAAGGCTAATAAATTTAAAGCGGTTCTGAACTGTTTTTCCTGAGACACGGTTCCAGGACATCTTGATAAACGCAATACATCAAGTCTAGGAGTCTAATACTTGTCTCAATCAATAATATTCTTTCATCGCTTTAAAAATCCGTTGATCACATGGTTGAATTAGGGATGTGATGTTCGTTAGTAAGTACATAATTTCAATTTGCTTCAGAAAAGTATTTACATTTTGAGTTGTTAAAAAGGAAAAAGATACCATTCTCCGGTTTGCTATCCCATTTCAGACATCATTGATTAAAAAGTACTAACGTCACCCACGCCTTCAATTACATCAATATTGCATCAATAAACTCTTTACGTTTTGAAAGTATTACGGACATTTTTCTCTTTTCACGATTACAAACAGTTTTCGTTATTTTTTTTAACAACACATATTGACACAGCATAACTTTCAATATTTTGCAGCGTTTTGAATTTTCACTTTTATATTAATATGCAGTTTGAAGCAACGTACGATATTATAAATCTGTTTCTTCTGCATTCAGAAAGTATTTTGTAGACAACTAAGGCCATTCGTGTGACAACTATTTTCCTGTCGGAAGTAAATCAACATCTTTTTCTTTATTATTACTGCGTTAGTAAACACTATTTCCTTCCACTGGCTAAACAATCTGTATATTACTACAAAATCATCTGTCAGCCATGTCAGTTTCAAATTAAGTCGTAAATAATAGTCAAAGACTATACAAGTTAAATCTACTCTAAGCTGGCTTCGCAATTCTAACCAGAGCTTCAAAATAAGTTTGTCGGTAGCAAAATAACGCAAAGCTGAGTAATTAAAACTATCAAAACTTGCAGAAGCTAAACGTAGCATGAATGAGCAAGTCATAAATGCGCTCTGTCTTAAAACTATAAAAATATCAGTTTAAATACTATCAAACTCATTCATATACTGGAGAGGCAAATTAAAGGCTGAAATTATAAATAACTGGTTAAGTTAAATTATAAATTTACAAATGATTCAACTAAAACCCAAACCAGGTTGCTTGGTGACTTAATCCCTTACTTAGTAACATTGCTCTGTCATTTGGCAATTTTTATATTTCATTTTAACCTTACTTGGCTACTTTAACTTTTGTTTGACAACTTTAACATGAGTTTAAAAAAGTCATTCTGTAATATTTTAATCAAATTAACCGCATTGTTGATCATAGAAAAGGGCGCATTTTTCATACTTTTGTGTACAAACGGGCGGGTCTTTGATAATTCAACAATAATTAATCGAATTACTGTTATGATCTTCATGGCTGGTTCTGAAGAATTATTAATGCTTCTATCACACTGAATTCTCTATATAAATGTATGGAATATTTTGTATTAAAGTTATTAATGCATAATAAATAAATTTCAGTTCGGCATTTTGTTCCATGGAGAACTTTTATGAACACAAAGTACAAACGCAAACTAATATTAATTTATATATATATATATATACATATATTATCCGTATTAACAGTTTGTATAATAGGTTTTACTCCGATTGATTTACAGTATCGTAAGTTTCTCAATGTATTAAAGAGTAGTAAAGGTAGCCTCCCTGCAAGGCGGGTTTAAAATTTCCAGAAAATGGCAAGGGAAGGGCAGGGTTGCCATATTTGGAGCGAAATCGTCCATTTGGAGACAAAATCGGCGATATGCCATGGACGGATGGAGAACATTCTAGAACAAATTCTTACCGATTTGGCCCAGACTGTTCTCGAAGGCACACCAAAAGCTATATAAACCCTGCCTGTACGCGAAGTAGTGTGTCTCGTCAGGGTATCGCGAGTTTGTACGTTTGTACAACGAGAGTGTGCATCGTTGAGGCTAGCTTCGAGTGCACCACGAGTTGTAACGTGGAGAGACTGGAGAGTACGTTGAGTTCCAAGGACGACCGAACCGAGTCAGGAGCAGTACTCTAGTACTTTGCCTTGAAGCTGTCTTCACCGTTATAGCTGGATAGCCTGAAGCCAGTTATGCTGATTGTTTCAGCGTGTTTGTCGTAGTTTTTTGACGACTGTGAACTTGTTTTTGGAGCTGTCCTGAGTAATCCTGGCTAATAAATTGTGGTTTCATTCTTCGTCAAGTTTTGTCGTTAATCATTCCAAATCCACGAACCCGTAGAAACGCAACAGTATGTTAGAGATGTTTTATGCATTTTTGATTTAATGTGCTTAGAAGGTTATGAAGTTGGATGTATCAGGTTGTATGCCTATAAAAATTCGAAAAGTACTTATATTTCACTAGAAGAATGAAGCTTGTCTTATTCTAGTATAACACATGCAGAATATGTACAGATATAGAGAATTACTGGTACAGAAGTATAACTGATACATAATATATGATGTTATAAATATCTTTTATTAAGTCACTCAGTTTAATCATTTTATTTGTAAACTGCCCTAATATTGAAAGTAGTTTCAAAATTTTAGATGTAAAATAAGAAAGATTTTTGACGCAGATTGGCAGCAGGTGTCAAAAATAAAAATAACGATTTTTTACAAATGCTGAACATCTTCAGACATGAGATCGGCAACAATTGACAGAATTCGCATCTGCCAGATTGAACGAATGCTCAGTACTGTGTCAGCGTAGCATGATAGAATGCAAAGCGATTGGCCAGAAAAAATTAAAAAGCCTCCACTATAAACAACTTTAATACTAGAAAACAAAAATATTATGGCAATTAATAGTCTTTTCATTCAGTGCATAAAATTTTGTAATATTATGAGGAGAACGAAATTTTTAGGTAAGCAGTTTTCGCAATAGAAAATTAATAACTTCGCACTGGAGGTATCATAATTCTTATATAAATAAGTTTACTCCCTTAGATGAAAAGTTTCAAATATGAATATTCCTCACTTGATTTTTTAATTATTGCAACAGATTCAAAAAGAGCACAGTTCCCATTTTCAGCTTGACTCCCAGAAGCAAAAGCAGCACCCACACCAATTTTAGCATTATTTCATTCATCGACTCTGTGTAAAGTTTTTGTTAATTTTTACTCGATTTGCTTTTAACTAATTTAAAAGTAAGTGCGTTATGTTGAAAAAAGAAATTCAGAGGTGGGGGAAGAAGCTATTGCCAAAGAAATGTAAAAGTTGAGACCTGAAAACTTGCTCTTTCCTCATAAATATACACGAATTCAACATTTTCTAATTTTTTTTTTACTGCAATGGCTCATTGTAGAAAATTTTTATAAGGGGTAATATTTCAATTATGTATTTTATGAATTATTCAGCAATTTCACATATTTCCTTAATAAAATGAATTTAAAATATTTCATAATAATATAAAAATTTAAATCACAAAATTTTGATACACAATGGTTTGCATTATCCACTTATTTGCGATATCATTAACGTGTTCTCTGCCAGTTTGAAAGCTAACAGACAAAAGCCGCAGGAATTTAGAAATCGTGTTTTCTGATGCTGTCGAGCGTTAGCAAACAAGCTTCGAAAAACACTGGTAAAGAATAAAATCTAAGTATAATCTAAAATTTTAAGGGATAAAATAAGAAAATAAATAAGGAAATAAAAATTAATAAAATTTTTTTAAAAAAATTTCAAAGCTTTCAGATTTTACATTACGCCTACAGGGCGTTTTTTAACGTTTTCTGTGTTACGTTATTAAATATCATGTGCTTCGCACTTAAACCATAAAATTCAATTCAACAGCAATATCACAAAATATTTAAAAGAGCATATCTTTAGAATTTCGATACGCAGTCTTGCGTGCTGAAGATAAAAATGTCTCCCCCCGTACAGTGTTGCTATTGCTCGCTTTGAAAATATCGAGTTTGTTAATCAGAAATTCTTTAATCTTTGACAAAATATGAAATAGATTATGAAACAAATTCAAAATTTAAACTTCCAGATGATTACATTTTAATGGAAGACTACGTTATTCAAAATTTGGTGTCTCTAGGTACCATTGGTTTTTCAAGGTGCGAGAAATATACATACATTCATGCAGATTCTTCATTTTTAATTTCTTTAAATATTGTGCAGGGCTCTAATATTTGGGGGCATTAATTTGAAAAGTGAACCGATATTTATAGTGAACCGATGCAAAATCCTAAAGCGAAATGAATAGCCCTTCTGGGCAAATTGCCTCTTTGGGCTAGTAAAATTTCAATATCTACGTTCCTTTGTTTTCAAATATCTGACCGCCCTTATAACATTTTCCCATATTTATTTTGTTCTGAAATGAAAACTGAAGCAATTTCTTATATTTTATATTTTCTAAGTCCCTACTGAGAACTTAAACGCTATAAAAGTGTTTGTGGTGTTTTTAAAAATTCCAAGAAAATTTTCTTTTTATTTAGATTGAAAATCTTAATTAAATTGAATTAAAGAGGATGTACATTACACCAACATGAGTAATTATTCTTGGTCTGAACAATGAATACTGTCGTTTATGAAACAAATTCTGAATTATATACATAATTTTATAGTTAAGAGTAGTTAAGAGTGCTAATAAAGGTTCTTTCGAAACATTATAAATGAAAACATTATAATGAATATAGTTTCTCTTTATAGGAATTTGCCAAATATACAACAAAAATATTCATAAAATACATTCTATGCGATATTTTAATACAATTATGATATATGGTACTTAATACAACGTTGAGAATCGATGTCTACTCGTAAAACGACTAGTTTGAGGCCAGCTAGCTTGCTGTTGGAGCATTGAACTCTGTTCTTTTTTCTATTAATAATGGAAGCTCTTTGACGCTTAAAAATGGATAGCCTGAGAGGAATGGCAGAGGTTCCTAAAAGGAAGAAAATGTTTACGTTAAAAAATAGTTTCAAAATTTTCACTTAAAAAGAATGCTTAAATGCAACTTACATAAATTATTAAGCGATTACTTAATTATTCCACACGTAAAATAATAACCATCAGTTTTCGAAACCAAAAAGGATCTTCTGCGACTGAAATTTCCGAATTTTTAACTAGAAATAACACATTTTCTAAATTACTTTCAGCCGTACTCACCTTCTTAGCATGTCTTCGTGATGTAACGGGCAGCACACTCGGCGCGTATTCGAGAGGTCCAAGTTCCGACTGGAAAGGGCACTGCTCATTTTTCATCTCTTCTGCTTCGAAACAACATAATAACTCTACAGTGGCACGTGAACTAAAAGGGTGGTAAAAGGGTGGTGGATGATGACTCTACATCACCAGGATTTAACTGTTGGGTCCCCTAATCCCCAGTCGCCCTCTAAATGTAGTAGTATATAAGGTACATCTTCCGCTTTTTAGCATGCCTTCTTGATGTAGTGATCAGCACACTCGGCGCGTATTCGAGAGGTCCGTGTTTCCAGTCCCAGCGAAGACATTGCTCATTTTTCATCTCTCCTGCTTTCAAAAAAATACCTGATGTCTCTACAGTGTTAGTTAAAAACAGTTAACCGGTGTCTTTGGCAATAACATCTTGAAAAAATGAGGTACATGTAAATCTACATTTGTCATTTTTTTATTTCTGGCTAAATTAATTAATTGATTCAAATCGAAGCCAGTTACTATTACCTTGGATCCGCGTTCAAATGCCGAAAATGCATAAACGTTTGATTGTGAACAGCGGTTTTGCGAACATGGAAGCGCTTGAAATACTGCCAGGCGTAAATTTCTACCGAGGGGGTCAATGACAGGGGAAAAAGGAGAGTGAACTATAGGTTTCTTCCCATCGGAGATTCATTCTCTATCAAAATCGAGACGAGGTCAAGAAAAATCGAATCATCACCTGACAGACCTAAAACAGACCACATATCAGTCGTTTATTATCTTTAGGACTTTAAAACATTAAGTTACCTGCAAAAGCAAACGCGTACTTGCTTTCCTTAAATATTTAAAAATTCAAGAATACAGTACTTTTTTCTAGAAAGGGAATATACAATTTTATTTTAAATACAGCAAAAGCTACGATAATTGAAGTCTTAGATTTTTTTGGTGTATGTGTGTGGGGGGGGCGTTAATACATTTTCTTCAAAAAATTTAATGATAACATCTTTAAAATACTATTTCTATTAAACGCCTTTAATTCCCAAGCAACATTTCTGCGGCTGAAGAAAGATAGAAATACAACCAAATACATTTTGTTAATTTTCACTATCACTTTCAAGCAGTTATACTCATGTAATTCTCCATCAAAGCCACGTGATTTTATGCCATCAAAGCCACGCGTTTATATAGCTTTTTTCTAATGTAAACGTAAATTTATAAACACAATCTTCTTGAATTTAACTATACTTAAACATTTTTATTAACGTAAATAACTTTCATAATTTATGTATGCAAAATTTATATCTTGCTATACGGAATGCTTTCATATGCACGTTCATTTCAAATCGTATGTGTTTGTTTAGCTACTCATAGGTCTTGCCGAGTGTGTTGTTTACTACAAGTATCAGTTACGACGAAATATTTTCCTGTCTGTTTCAGATTTCGCTAAATGAAGCTCAACTAATTGCACGCTGAAAACATATGTCGTGAGAACAGCGCTTGCAGTATTCGTTTAATTTAGAAAACATAGGCAAAAGCTACAACTTCGTATCCCGCTTTATGTTAAAAAGTAGTATATTAACTGATACTACGCCTCGTAATGCGTTATTAGTTATCATTACGCCTCGCAATGAGTTCATATATTTTATATTTTAATTAAATTTGCTTTGCTAAGTTGTAATTTCAAGAAAATTTTAAATAAATAAAAGTATTTATCTATTCGCATAATGTATTTAAATGAATTACCTGAGTGGTTTTTGCTTTTCTGAATTTGTAGTGCCGTAGAACGTTTGCCATGCAAACCTTTATCTCCATCAAAGCAAAGCGCATACCCAAGCAATTTCGAGGCCCTGCACCAAATGGCAAGTATGCGTACTGAGGATGTTTTAGCTTACCTGAATCATCTTTGACCCTGAAATAAAATGCGAAAATTAGTATATCATATGCTATGATTATTAATGCTTAATATTTTTGATCACATGGGATAAGCTTATTGGGGAAAGATTATGATACGAGTTTTTTGTCAAACAAGGAAAATAATGCAATCTAAATCACACAGGATATTTAAAGCAGATGATATAATTAAACAGCTATTGAGTATATATAGCCTCTGACTCGTGGTTCCAGTTTAAGTATTAATCAAACTAGTTCAACATTCAGACGCGACTATTGTGCTTATTCGGCTTCTTCTACTGAAAATACAAGGGACTTAAATTTTTACATGGGCTACGTATAAAAAAAAAAGGTGTAGAAGAAAAAGACATTTTTCGTAGTTGAAATATTCGAACAATTAATATACACCTTCATAAGATCAAAACTACCACAAATACCATAAATTAAAACTTTTGAGGCTAAACATAAGTTATGATTAGTTTTCAATAAATATGTCTGAAAGACATGTTTTGTATCTTGTACTACTTTATTAGAAATGGTTTCAAATTAAAGTATATAGAAACGGTAAAGTTGGGAATTTTATATTAAAAAAATGTAGTGGCACTGACGGGTATTATTGCACCCACCTTGACGATATATAGCGATGTTTTACAGATGAAGAGGTAAAAGTTACTTATTGGACGACTTAATTATTTATATTGGTTAAAAACGACGCGAAAACCACCAACTAGCATGGTGGTTTTCGAAACGTCTTTTTTAGAAAGATTCCCAAACTATCAAAATTTATTATTTAATTTTATATGTTCCAAAGCAGACGTCTTTCTTAGAGTGTAAACGGTTTAAATCATGTAAATTACACAATAGGTTTCAGCACTTATTTTGCTTTATATACTATAGACAGTAGTCTATAACTCAGGCGGACCGACTGCACGTTCTGAACGCAGTTGACCGTCCGAATTCTTTTTTTTTTTTAACAAAATGAGACAGAAAATACATGGGCGCATATATATGTATATATATTACTCCATATATATATCTAATATACACTCATGTTCATAAATTAAGGATAATTTGAATTCACGCGGAAATCGAACTCTAAAATAAATACATCACCTGTAAAATCACTACACACATCTTCAAAAATCATATGCAAATTTCAAGAAATAACCAGATGACACCGATGGTACGTAAACAATGACGAGAGTGTAAGAGAGTGATATATAAGGAATACAGACAAAGAAGTAAAATTGTTCGCAGGCGCTTTATAAGCATTTCAGTGCAATAACCGAATAGTTATGACACAAAGGACGCATTTGGATGATTTTTTACGTGGTAGAATTATCGGCCGTCTGGAATGTAGGCGTACCCAACTGGAAGTATCAGACGAACTTGGAACTGCCCAGAGTGTCATCTCCAGGCTTTGGCAACGATTCCAAGATGATGGTAATGTGAGTAGACGTTACAGCACAGGTCGCCCCAGAGTTACAACGCCGAATGAGGACCGGTATTTGGCAGTTACTGCCAAAAGAAACATGCGGAGCACAGCCTCAGACCTGTCTCGTGAGCTCTCTTCAGCCACTGGTACGACAATTTCGAGGCAGACCGTGTACAGACGCTTAGGGCAGATTGGTCTATATGCTCGTAGACCTGTCAGATGCATTCCACTTACTGCAACTCACTGACGCCTGCGGTTAGCCTGGAGTAGAGAGCATGCATTGTGGACACCGCAACAGTGGGCTTGTGTGAAGTTTTCCGACGAATCCAGGTTTAGCTTGCAGTCTGATTCTCGCCAGACGTTCATATGGAGAGCTCCAGGTACCCGTTACCACCAAGAAAACATCATTGAACGACACCGTTACGGTGGTGCAAGAGTGCTCCTTTGGGGTGGACTTATTCTAGGTTCCAGAACTGACTTGCATGTTCAAATTGGAACCATGACAAGGCAAATCTATCGGGACGTCATTCTGGAACAACATGTACGTTTGTTTCGGGGCGCCATGGGCGCACAATTTGTGTTTATAGATGACAACGCCCGTCCTCCCCATGCTAACATCGTAAGCGAATGCCTTCAATCGAAGGATATCACCCGTATAGACTGACCAGCATTCTCACCGGACTTGAATCCAATCGAGTATGTGTGGGACATGCTTGGCCGACAAGTTCCAGCCCGTCAACCTCCTCGTACATGTCTACCGGAACTTCGGAGAGCATTGCCTTTTGAGTGGTGTAATATCCCACAAGATCAGATCGATAATTTGATACTCAGCATGCCTAGGCGTTGTTCAGACTGTGTTGCATCGTCTGGGAGACATACAATGCATTAACAATCATACCAACCATGTAATATTGGTTTTTTGTAAATAGGTTTTTTTTTTTTTTGTAATTTGCTCCAGGGACAAAAAATCGCTAATATTTTTAATAATATCAAACATATATCATCTTTTTTTGCTCGTTACCTTTTGTTTAATAAATAAGCTTTACAAATAGGTCAAATTTGTTTTGCTTCTAACTCTTCCTTTGTCTGATTTCGCATTAGCCTTAATTTATGGACATGAGTGTATATAAAGACATCGCCCTTTGATCGCCAGTAGCAGAGCCGTAAAGTCGCTGAAACCTGGTAGTTCGAGCAGGATTCGATTCCAGAAGAAAGCAGTGGCTGCATGCGTGTTTTCGTGGTTTTCCTCATGCGTAACGTATATACGAGCGAGAACCCCTTACAAAGTCCTCCACGAAGGCATCCTTCCTCTTAGGCAAAAAGCCGTCAAGAGCTTACTCGTAGTTAAATAAAACTGCCTGTTCTGCGTGCAAATGGTATGTTGAGTTAAATTAATAATACAACAACGTATGTTTGAAAATAATGTTTCCAAAATGTAATTTATCTCCAGTATGGTTTAGCTGAAAAATTATTTCAATAACATTCAGCTGTATTTTCTAAAGCATTTTTCTCTGTGCTTTTGAACTTGGAAAAACTTATAATTTTTCCTTCTCTCCCTGGTTAAATAATACGGTTCTTTCTTTCGATTAAATGCTCTTTTAATCTTTTCTTTAGGTGACTAAGTCCTCACAGATATTTATCGAAATATAAATAATAATAGTAATAATAAATAAACAATAATATTTTTCATTGCGCCCAAAGCGGCGTCTTTTTAACGTTTTGTGTGTTACCTTTATTTATTAAATACCATGCTCTTCGCACTTAAGCCAAAAAATTCAGTTCAACAGCAATATCGGAAAATAATTTTAAAATGAGCATAGCTTTATAATTTCCGATATACAGTCTCGTGCTCTGGAGACAATTTTTTTTCGTACAGTGTTGCCATTGCTCGCTTTGAAATAGTTGAGCTTGTTAATCCAAAATTCGTTAAAGTTTTGCAAAATATGAAATAAAATAAATATGAAATTCCAAATTTGGGCTTCCAGATGTCCATATTCAGGTGGAAACGTACGTTATTCAATATTTGAAGTCTCTAGGTACCGTTGTTTTATCAAAATGCGAGAAACATACATACATGCATACAGATTCTACATTATTTAATTTCATTAAATATAATACAAAGATCTAATATTTGGTGGCAACAATTTGAAAAGTGAACCGACAATTATAGTGAACCAACGCAAAATGCCAAAACAAAATTAATAGCCTTTCTGGGCAACTCTAGGATTCAGAACTTGTACGCGAATAAATTTTACTGTTTTAGTTCTTTTTTTCAATAACTTGATTCAACGACAAACTTTTGGCACCGTATATACAAGAAATATATATATCGAGCCGCATATTTGCTTCTGGCACCACCAGTTTGAGGCCATTGCAATAGACCATTTTATGTACTCTAATTTTTAACAAAAATTAACTTATTGATTTTAATTTATAAATAAAATGTGAAGAATGGAAGAGAAATTTGTAGCCGACGGTGGGCAGTAAATAACCCTCCGAGTACGGCGCCCGCGATTTGCATGCCATACGAAATCCGTCTCGTAATACTGGTCGCGTGAAAATAGCGTGCATAAGTTTATTCTTCCGTGTACGCTAAGAGTATTGTATTATTAATATTTTACCTTTCTTTTTGCTCCTAGATAGCACTGCAGGCTTATAGCACTGTAAGGGAGCACTATTGGTTACATTTTTATATTTTTATTCCATGCACGCTAAAATCGCGTGAGCCGTATTGTATGTTTTTTTTTTTAAATTTAAAAAAAGCTATTAAAATTTCTGCATTACTCTAATTTTGTTTATAATGATGCGAATAGTAATATATTAAGATAGAGAAAAAAAAAAAAAAATATATATATATATATATATATATAAAACGCCACGCCTTTCATAACCAGAATGTGTCCAAATCGCGCCGTAAGCGTAGGGTTAAGAAAGCATTATGTTAAAATATCCAAAGATTCCGTTATTTAAGATCTTGATCAAGGTACGCAGCATTCTAAAAAAACAAGCCAATAATGTCACATTTACTGAACTGCTGCTTTTGGAGTTTTATGTGAATAGTAAAACTCAGTTCATTAAGCAATTATGAGATTTAAATAATTCAAGATATTACGCACACACAAACATATATGCTTTTAAAATAATGGCTACCAAATTTACATCAGAAAGTAGCAGAAGAAACTTATAATCGAAGAAATGAGTATAATATATCATAAATTAAAAAAATAATATATATTGCTTAAAATGAATAATAAAAATTCATAAAAACAGGTAAAAACTAGCAGAGATCTTAAAAATGAGGTATTTATAAAAATCTATTACAAAGAATCTAAATTACGATTACCTATATATGCTAAATATATATGCTAGGTTATCAAAGCAGGTATGGGATTTAAATGATCCAATTTTTACAATACAATTGATGCACAGTAGTTTATAACAGCTTTTGAAATGCTTAATTTATTCTCAGAAAATCCTCCATACAACAAGAATAAACATTACTTTTCATTCAATATAATATGCTTTCATTCCTTAATTCTGAAGATTACTGCAGTTCGATAAAAGTAGCATTAAAGTCGAGCAATGAAGAAGTAAGATCTTTTACTATTGTTGAGAATGTACTCATCTAATTTACTAATCTTATTGAGAACACAGGCAGAGGAAGAAATATACTGAAATATCATAGTTTGAATCCACAATATCGGATGAGCTGCATCTCAAATTTTCGAATTGCTTCAGAAAGCTGGCAAATTATGCAGTCCATTATCTTCACTTTTATTTGAACTTATTAAAATTTTAAAAAGATTTTACACATACCAAATTTCACATTAAAATAAACAAACCATTGCATGCATCAATATAATAAAATCATACAAATATTAACGCAAATTTTATATGCAGGATACCCATAATCAGTGTTAAACCACAGACAGGGAACAAGCGGCATCATTGTGAAATATACTTCCTTTAAATTTTTCTAAAATGCAGTTTCGTGTCCGAATTATAAATAAGGAAATTTCCGAAACTTCATATCTTTTTGTTTCGTTAAAAACTCGCAAAAAAGTCACAAAATAATTGTTGAATGTTTCTGACTTCTCTGCTTAGCGAAAAAAATAACTTTTGAAAACGGAGGAGCATTAACGGGAAATGACTACAATAATTTCAGAACAGATTTGCGAATTTAAAAAAACAAGAATAAACATTACTTTATTCTTGTTTCATCAGTTTGCATGAAATGTTGCACAGTCTTTATTAATTGAATTGGAAAATTTCTGTGATACCTAATTAATGCAAAGTCATACTTTGATAACATAATCAGATGAGCGATTTTTTTTTATTATTAGCTAAATGCAAATGTCTATTCGTTCATCAATGATAATTGGATCGTTTTTAAAAATACTTGAAGTAATTTGGATAGTATTTTTACTGAAAATTCGACTGTTGTATTTATTATTTGCTTTAACCTTTAATTAAGCTTCAATTAAAAAAATAATACGGGGAAAAATTTCAGGATGTGCAGCTTTGATAATGATCCTGTTCACCACTTTGGAAATAATTCTTACTCAGATAACATGATATCGTAACCGTGCATCAAATATTTATTGAGTTCTATAAACAGTTTTCCAGTCATAACGACATCATTGCAACACTAATTACGGAATATCCTTCATAAAGACAGATTCACAAAGAAAATTATAAGTGAAATGTTACCATCGTTCCGGATTAAATTTTTCTGGCTCAGAAAAATATTCGGGATCATAATGCATGGCATATATAAGAAACATTATCCGTATGCCTTTTTCAACGGTTATTCCTGTATTTCCCAATTTGTAATCTGTTACAGCAGTTCTTTCTGTTCTGTAAGATTTTACATATCATAAACATTACATATTTACACACACACATATATATATATATATGAAAAAAGGTAAAAAATTTAAAGCGGTGAAATACATTCCTGACTTCTATTGTTTCGAAATTCTTTTAACAGATATTGATAATTTCATATTAAAAGCAAGTTTTTACTAAGTTTTACCAACTCATCTTTTCAAGGAATGGGGAAGGAAATATTATATCAAAGCAAAAATAATATTGATAAAGTTCAAGGATTTTTAAGGGAATTAAAAATTAGAATGATTTATTTCTGTTATAATTCTGTTATTGAAAAGGAGTTGCATAATTCTACAACCTATTGTATTTCCAAAAATAATGAAAGGTTAATAATCAACAAAATGCTTGCTTTTCACAAAAAGCGGAAGATTTCTGTATTTGCTACAAACAATAGGTTTGCTAATTTATATGCAATTCCAAAATTTTATGACACTCCTATTAAATTTAGATTTATGGCAAATGGTACGAAAAACTATAAGAAGAATGTTGGTAATACTTTTACAGATCTGCTTAAATCAATATGTAATTTAATTTTTGGTAAAGCTAATACTGATAAGCCTTACTGTTGGATTATTAACAAAAACTTTCTAATAATTGAAACAAATTGAAGATCTAAACTTTTACAATATCAACTGCTATGACTTAGAAAATCTCTACACATCTCTCTCTCACTTAAAGAAATCTATGGGAGGCCTCTTAAACACTTCTAACTTTTTTCCCTGAAATGCCTCGTATATTAGATTTACAAAAATGGAAAGATTATTTCTCTCATTATAATAACTTTATCAAGTATGTAAACATTCTTCGCTTACAAACAAATGGTATCCCAATGGGAAGTCCATATTCGACTCATTTATTTAGCTTCTGTTTATTTTCCAAAGAATATAAGATTTTTAAAGGCCCTTCAGAAAATGATTTCCCTAAATCTGCACATATATTCAGTGACGATATTATTACACTCAACAACAATAATTTTATTATAAACAGCAAGATCTACACCAACTGCTTAAAACATAACAAGACCAATAAGAATCAATTAATTGCAGATTATCTGGATCTTACTTTTTTTAACCTTAAAGAAGTAAGACATTGATAAAAGAAAAGAATTCATTTTTCAACTATTAAACTTATAAATTGGAATATCAACATCTCTAAAAACGTTACTGCAAATACAATGTTTTAATAAAATTACTAGAATTAAAAACGTATGCACAGAAATTAAACAACAGCAGCAAGAAATTTTTCTTCTTACTAAAATTTTACAAGAAAATGAAATTCCAATTAATTTCATTAACATTCTACTTAAGAAAGTTGCAGTGGTCTGCACCCTATAAAAGTTTTTAAAGTAATGAATTTTTTTATCTGAAAGCTCAAATAAGAGAAAGATAAAGAAGGATGTTTAGAAGGTTTTATAGTGTAATTTGTATATATGTATTGCTGTACATTTTTCTTGACTATACTTTTATTATCAGAGTCCTACTTTATCCTAAGTCATCATGATGGGACTATGGTGTGAAGCGTTTATTATATTTTAACATTTGTTTCTTTTTCCTTTTCTTTCTTGCATTACTATTATGTTTTCTAAATCTAAAAATTACTTACTATAAAAGCAGCTTTTGGGAGATTTCAAACTTTCCATCGCCAATTAGTATCGCCAATAGCGCCAAACAGGAAATTATTAGCGTCTACTTCTTTCTTTTGAGTTACTGTCCTTTGTTCTTCTGTACTTCTAATAGTAAGTTAAAAAATACTTGTTCTCTCTTAATTTTTTTTAATATTTTGTAAATCGTTGCGTTTCAATTTGAATTTTAGTATTAGAAAACAGTGTGTATTTTACTTTTGTTTTATTAAGCATTGAATTTATTTCATTTAAATTTGTTTTTGGATATTTTTATTTCATATGAAGGGAGGGCTAGCAGGCATTCAGAATTTACAATTGAACTATTGTAATTAAGTAATTTAAGATGGTTCATCAACTAATTTTGGATGAAAAGAAATGCAATGGTTTACCTGGGAAGAGGGATTCAATTGAATAATGATCTACCTCCTCATGATAACGTTGAATCAGATTTTAATTTATACCTCTTCCTATTTTAAGTATTTTTTATATTTTTATATTCCTGTTGTTTTCGGAATTTTTTCCGGTTTGGAAACAGTTGAATTTTTTTTATTTGTATTGAGAGATTTTACTGCTTTGGGCTTTTATGGTTTTGTGAATTTAATTCTAGATTTTTTGCTATTTTGTCTATAATTGATCATCCTCTTCTTTCATGTTCTTTTTACTGTATTTTTTGCTTCACTTCTGATGGCCTTTTTAATTTTTCTTTTAATATTTATAGCATTGTAATTCTACGTTTATTGGATTTTTTTTTGGAATTTATTTATTTGCGTTTCAATTTTTGGTCTTTGGAAAAAATTGGTTCTAAATTTCTTTCTTTATGTGTCTACTCATCAATTTTCTGGTTCTAAATTTCTTTCTTTATGTATTTACTGATAAATGATCTGGTTCTAAATTTCTTTCTTTATGTATTTACTGATCAATTTTCAGCGGCATATTGCGCGAAAATTCTTGCGTAATATAATAACTTAACAGCAACACTAAAGAGTTTTGAAATATTTTGATTAAACTCATAGTTTGCGAATAAATGTGGCGAAAGGTTTCACTTGCAGAATGATTTTGGTAAAAATAAAATTAAAACCTTAGTCTGAAATTTTCGTTTAAAATATTGTACTCATTGATTTATACCTAAATTATTCCTTAATGAAAACTTCGAGAATACTACCTAGATAGAAATAAGATATATTACAGACTTCCCTTGTTTAATGAAAACAAAACAATACTCTAAAAGCTTTCGTAAGCCGAAAAGAAGCAAAGCGATGACGCAGCCACAATTAATTCATATCAGAAACATCTCTCAGAACTCTTAGATGTTTTAGAATTATCTCTCAAATAATGGAAATAAGAAATAATAAAGTATAATGTGACTGAAAGGAATGGTGTGATAACTAAAACTTAAATGGATCATAATTTCATGCTCCTAAAACTGAGAAGACAGAATCATGCGAGAAGGCCAAAATAGGATAATAATGACGGTAATGCATTACACTGGCATTAAGTAGACATCAAATGTTCTAAACAAAGGTGAAGCCTATTTTCGAGTTTCTATCAAAAACCGGAAAAAATACTTTGCAGAACTTTCTTAAAAGTGAAATATCAAAAAGCGAAGTTTCACAAAGTTGGGGTATCTGCAATAAATAAATCACATTAGGGAGCTTTTTACTAAATATTTCATGCAAAATGAAAATTTTTTTTAAGTTTTTTTATAAAACTTTGTATAAAAAAATTAAACACCTTTTCCTCCTCACAGTGCTTCTACAGGAGAGTTTGTCTTGAATAAAAAGATATAAAGCTGTATTAAGGCAGTTTTCCGCGATAAATAGGATCTGTGATTCTACTGCAAGATATCTCAAATAGATATATTAGACTGAAATATAAAAGTTACTCTCGGGCTTATCGTATTTAACAACCTCAAACTGCATATGGTACTATTTGCTACAACAAAACCAATTTCTGTGCTCTTAATTCAATATAATAATCCAACAGTTCTATAACATTTTTATAATATGGCGAACAAAGTTTGTCTCACGTTGACCAACTTTCTAAACTGACACTGTTGAATGTACTTCTGGGAACATAATTAAAGATGTATTTTGAGTAACAGTGATAATGATAATCATGATTCCTAAGACTCCGCTCAACACATGATAGCCGCTCAAAACATGGAAAGAAATTTTAGATTGTTTTACTGCACGTTTATAAAAATTACGAGCTAAAATAAAATTATTTTAAAACATTCTGTTTTTAAGTTTTCATAAATTAATAATTAAAAAATTAAAATATAAAATTATACTCTAATATAAATTTTTTTTTGCCAAAACACAGCATTAAAGAATTAAGGTTGAAGAATAAGGTACAAATACATTTAACATATAACTCACTCACGCTGTCAAGATAGGATACATTCGTAGTGTTTCAGATACAACGTAATCTAAATATTTCATGTCCCGTGTGACATCATGATCCACTTGACCCTGTAAGGATACATTTATGATTATTAACTTAATCATTCAGCGAAAAAGCTCGTATAACTTTACAACGGACGCTTATGTCTATTTGAAAAGAAGGAAATTGTTTTATGCATTTAATATATAGTAATTATTTGATAAAAGATTGAAACCGATACTAGTGGACAAGAAAAAACTTTATTCTGAAAGCACATAATTTAATACTGTCACGCCAGTTCGCATTTTGCTATCAAACTCCGTGAAATACTCATGAGTCTTTTATCCCAGTATGTCAAAGATACTAAATCACTTCTACCTCCAGCTATGCCAAAATTACAGCAGTTCATTCAGACAGCCATAGAATTGACGATATATACGGCAAGAACTCAATTATTCTTATGTTAACACATGGTTCCGTGACGGGTGATTCAGAAAATAAATGGCCTCACCAGTAGTCGAGAGGTTTAAGATTACAGCATGTTGATAGTTCGTCCTGTATTATAACCCAGGGGAACAGGTTGGGCGCATCATTGATTTTAGTGGTTTTTTTTTTTTTTTTTTTTTTTTTTTTGCCATGTGTAATGTGAATATGAGCCAGTGTCCGTTAGAAAGTCATCTGCGAAATTATCCTTCCCCTTAGGCAGGTAGCCCTCGAGTGCTTTGCCATATTACAACCAAAGACTGAAAATTCACAAATTTTAGAGATGTGAGTAAAATTTTCTGAAAATTTACAGAAACTTTATTGGGTAAGCAAATCTTTTATTCTTTCTATCTGTATATATCTTACCTGTTCATAATAAATACATATTTAGTACCTAAATGTACAACGCTCCGTGTTTTCGACCGCATTTTTATCAGTTTTTTTTCCATTTTTATTAACTGAAAATCTAGGACGGGAAAATAAAGCAAGCATTTGCGAAAGAAACTTACTGTACAGCTTTTGTGCTTATATCTTGATTAACAGAAATCATAATTTTATATGACTGACTGAATATTTTAAATTTAACTTACATGATCCAAACAATATATTCTGTTTCATTTTCTAGTTGCTACCTTACAATGATGAACCTGCTCTAAAATTCCGTTTTTTAACTTATACTTTTTAGGCCAAGACATAAAATTGAAATACGTTCTAAAAAGGCTTTACAATATTTCAAGCAAAATTGCTGCTAATTATGACAGTGCTAAAAGTTAATTATTTTTTTTTATGTTTCTGACTGTTGAAATATTTCTCAAGTTATATAATCATTTGAGTAAAATCTCCGTATTTTGCAGTTCTACTCTCTCATTCATCAGGCTCTTTTAAGCCGAGATTTAAACGAAATGTGAATTATTTTAATACCAATTAACAGCACAGATTCCTATCCTAAAACTAAACTTAAATTTTATTCAATAGGGGATGGGAGAAGCATTAGTGGTCTTGGAAAAACGAGGTTTTGATTAAACATATAGCAATAAATTGCTCATATCAGGCTTTCTAAGTTCATTAATAATCCCAATTACTTTATTATGTTAAGGGGACTCATACACCTTAAAACCCATAAGATGTTCGAATAGGTGACTGTGAATTAAAAAAAAAAAAAAAAAAAAAAAAAAAAAAAAAAAAAAAAAACAAAAAAAAAAAAAAAAAAAAAACAAAAAAAAAAAAAAAAAAAAAAAAAAAAAAAAAAAGAAAAAAAAAAAAAAAAAAATAACTTATTTATTTTAAAAGCAATTACTACCAACGTTTTACAGCTGACTACATAATACAGCTGCTTTCTGAAATAGTAATCAGAAAGTTTGTGTTGCCACAAATATTTTTATAATTTAATCCGCTTTGGTGGCAACATTTTTCGTATGTTTCCAACTTGCGCGCACAGTTTAAAACATTCTGTTTCATAATTTAATTCCATATTTAATATAGCTTTTATACATTTGGAAACTACTGTGAACCTAAAAATTCTAAGAATCTGATGTTCAAATTTTTATGTTTATTTGGAGTTGAGTTAATAAAATATATTTTATTAAAAAAATCTGTAATGTTTTCGAGCATAAAATGTTTTTCCAATATTAAAATACTTCATCAGATTGTTTGGTTCAGTTAAAAAATAGTGCCATATAAAGAATTCCATCACAATGTCAAGTATGTACTATTAGCCCTTTTCAAAATATCATGCACGCAAGGTAGAAACATGACGAAAAGTTTTGTCACAAAGTGGATTAAATTACAAAAATATTTGTGTCAACACTAACTTTCTGGTTACTAGTTCCCAAAGCAGCTATATTATATAGTCAGCTGTAAAAAGTTGGAAGTAATTGCTTTAAAAATAAATAAAATATTCCAATTCTTGCAACAGTCACATATTCGAAGATCGTAAGGGGTTTAAGGTGTATGATCCCCCTTAATACAAAGTAAAATAAAAAATAATGAGTTTAACTCACGTATTTGTTAAAGGCATCATCCACTTCTTGAATGAGTTTCTCTTGACATTCGGGGTTTGATGCAAGCGAGTAAGCCATGAAAGTGAGCGTGGATGCTGTCGTTTCGTAGCCGACAAAGAAAAATAACACACACTGGGCTATAAGTTCGTCTCGAGATATATCTGAAATATGTTTATTAGGCAATTCAGTTTGTATTATACATATAAAAATATTAAGCAATTCGTATATAAATGAAAAGACGACCTACTCAACATCTACTTAGAAAATATTTTAACAAAATGTCTTATTTGAAGAAAGCAGTTAGTTATCAGTCTTAATTATCGTCTAACTTCTCAATTTAGTATTTAAACCAATGTTTGTGAGATCTTCTATTTTCTGTTAAGCTACGTTATATTTAATCGATATTCATTCCCTCTGAAAGTGTGTTTGTAACCTTTAAAGTGTCCACAATCTCTACAAAGAAACAGTCTGTTTATGACGTTTCCAGTGTCCGTAACCTCACAGCTGTCTGAGTGACGATATATGATTCGTTATGAAAAAAACAAAAGTAATTATTTTCACCCCTTCAAATTTCATGTTATGTTAAACGATTAATATATTGACTTATTTCCGATTTCTGGTTTAAAGGAAAATAGAAAGGATTAATAAGAAGTCAGACAGCGTATATAAACTTATAAAATATTTAGTGTTCAACAGAAGTATTTAGATAAAAACACTTACTTGTGTACTTCAGAGATGTAGATATATCCTTGGTTGTTACGCTTCCAAATTGATCTGTTTCGTCATCGTTGGCCTCAATTGTTTTAAAACCTGCATTTGACGCTTTATCTGGGTCCTGAATCTCTTCGTCTGCAGCATCCATCAAGAGTTGCAGAAAATCATTGTACTTCTATAGTTACACGAGAAAATACTATTCAAAATGTTTCGCCTCATTATTTAAGACACAAATTCTGTAATTTTTAAAATAATTTTTTCAAGTAAAAATTCATTTAGTTTCAATTCATATGAATACTTTAATATTGATTTATTTAATATATCAATAAATGAATATTTTAAGTTCAGGATTTAAGAATGTCTCAAGATCGGAGGGAGGAAAATGAAATTTCAAGTTACTTTTCATTCTCTTTCTGGATGTTTCCAAAATTCTCAAACTGAGAAATTTTAATATCACTACTGAATAAAAGATCCAATTCTTTTGCATTTACTTCTTCAGTATGAATAACTAAGAATTTTGACGTATCGTAAAGAGGCTTTACGACTTTGAGATTTCAAATAATAAAATATTCGTTATGCTTTAATGTGTTAAATATAAAATGTTCCATAATTTTAAGTGCAAAACTATGGCAATAGTAATAAGTATTTGTATACGACCAGTCACTCTTTTCACATAGAGCTCTGATTACTAGAGCTAAACGGAAAATCACACCATCTCAATCCCAAACCAAAAATCGTAATTATTCAAGGCTGGGCTAGAACAGCAGTAATTATTACCACGCATTTTTATTGCCTAAACTGGGTAAGTTTATAAAATTATTTTCCATATTAAAGTGAACGTATATTGTGTTAATCTTTATTGCACTCAGTATTTATTTGCTTGATTAAATGCTACTGCTGCAACTTACAGCTGACAACAAAGATTTAACAGTTTCCATTCTATTTCGGATTTCATTTTTCCAAAAGGTATTGATTTATAATCATCCTTTTCAACATTTATTTCCATCTCTTTATACACTGCTCGACATTGAAAATGCAACACCAAGAAGGAGTGGTCAGAAATTTATGCTAATTTTAGAGTAGACACACGTCACTGAGTTATGCGAATGATGGGAAATGCTCAACTCTCCAACTCGCGTGAAGTAAGATATAAGGGAAGGAACGTGCAGAATGGGCAATATTCGTGTCGTTATTTCTGCCAGAGGAATTATTGAAGAAAGTTGGTTTTTGCCCCTTAGGATACGTATAATAGAAGAGAATGCCAGGCCGCCGTTAACGATGGCACTTACAGCAGATAGACGATTTTACGAAGGGTTAGGTGATCGGACTGAGAAGGGCGGGTTGGTCCTTACGTCAAATCGCAGCTGATGCCCACATGGATGCGAGCACGGTGCATCGATTATGGCGAACATGGTTGGAACAAGGAAATGTAGGAAGAAGGAGGGGTGCAGGTGCAGCCAGAGTGACGTCAACACGCGTGGATCGACACATCCGCCGACAAGCTGTGGTGGTCCTTCAAGTCCCTTGTTCCGCGATTCTGCAGCATGTGCAAGATACCCTGAATGTTCCCGTGTCGACGAGAACCATTTTCCATCGATTGGTTGAACGTGGCCTGCACTCACGGCGTCCGTTAAGAAGACTGCCATTGACCCCACAGTATAGACGCCAACGATGTGGATGACAGTCAACAATGTAGCGAAACGTCGTGTTCTCAGATGAGTCACGCTTCTGTTTATCCAGTGACAGTCGCCGCATATGTGTGTGACGTCGAACGTGGAGGACAGGATCTTAATCGGGCAGTAACTGTAGAATGCCCCACTGCGCCAGCGACAACGTGGCATAATGGTTTGGGTTCGCTATTGCCCTACGATTCCAGGTCACCTCTAGTTTCGTATTCACAAGCACTATGACGGCCCAACGAATACCTTGGATAATGTACTGCGGCCGGTGGCAATCCTCCTACCTTCAATGGACTGCCTAATCCAATTTTTCAGCAGGATAATGCCTGACCACACAGTGCTCGCATCTGCCAACATGCTCTGCAAGGTATACAGATGCTTCCCTGGCCACCGTACTCTCCTGACCTGCCACCAATCGAACACGTGTGGGATGTGATTGGACGCCGTTTGCAGACTCTGCCCCTGCCACGTTCAGAAGACGAACTGTGGCAAATGGTTGAAAGGGAATGGAGAGCCATTCCTCAAGACACCATCCGCACTCTTATTGACTCTATGCCTAGACGTGTTTCTTCGTGCATCGCTGTCCATGGTGGTCCTACATCCTACTGAGCCGACGCCGTCCTCGGGGGGGGGGGGGGGGGGGGGGGGGGGGGGGGGGGGGTGGGGGGGGGGGGGGGGGGGGGGGGGGGGGGTCTGTATTCTGACTATCATTTTGAAATAAAGATCAATTATTGCTGCCTGCTGTTACTGTCTTTTTTCCAAATTTCATCACTTTCTGACCACTCCTTGTTGTTGCATTTTCACTGTCGAGCAGTGTATTTTATTTAATTGGGTTCAATAAACTCTCTTTAGTTTTTACAATGTTTATTACTTCTAAGTACCTTTTCATTATGAAAATGTTTTCTTCCATTTTTATCAATTTTAATAACAACTCAAATCAATACATCATAAATTTCACATCATTACTTTGCAACTAATAGCAAAACAGGTTTCAAACTGCATAATCACTAGATGTTTGGTTTATTTGATTATGAGAATGCACCCGAGGAATATGTGCCTAAACAGAGGGATGTTTTCGTGGATGGCATTCTAAGGGAAACTGGCTTTATAACACGTTAACGCATGGCGAAAACCACGAAAACGTCCATGTATCCAGCCCGTTGGTGAGATTCAAACCTCGGATTGAGCTCCCAAGTGTTCAGAGACCTTACCGCTCGGCCACTGGTAGGCCATAGATGATGGCAAAGCTTAGAAGAGCGATTTCACCTTGAAAGTTAACAAATGAGCAGCATTCGTAAATTTACTTCACCAGATAATTTTATTGTGGAATTATATCACTGTCAAGTAATGATGTAATTTAAACTATATGAAATTTTATGGAAGTTTGGCACTTTTGTAGTACAAAGAAGAATATTCGTATATTTCTTACAAATATCAATAAAATAAGAATAGGTAGGCTAAAGTTAGAAATGATTTAATGGAATAAATACTTTTCAACGAGGCTACTAATTAACGATGACACATTAAATTTTCACTGAACGGGAAAATAGCGTGGCGTGACATAAAATAAATAAATGCAACTTAAAAGGAAGAATTTCCTGATTAAAAATGAGATTAAAGAGTTCGAAATTAAATTAAAATTTTGTCTTATGTGCATATGAACGAATAATTAAAATAAAAAGATTGTATGGAAAATTCCTCCTGTAAAACAAACATAGATTTAGGTATTTCTGATTTTGTGACTATATTATAGACTATTACTGGAAGCATCTACTTACATAACCTTTTTCTTTCCTTTCTTTGATGACTTCCAAGGTTACAGTTCGGAAGAAATCCATAGACAGCACGTTTCTGAGTCCTAAGACGATTCTTAGCCAATTTGGCAAGAAAACTGAAAGATTTTATTTTCCATTTACTAGTTACCAAGAATTATCATACATATTATTAATATCGGAAGTTTCTAATCGCTTTTATTCACATATTCTCATCGTATCAAGAAATAAAAAAAGGCAATCACAAACAAATCTTTATTTCTGTTAATAAAACTTAAGAAATTCAAATTTTTATATTTTTAAAGAGAAAGAGCATCATGATTGCAATACAGAAAAATATCCGTCAAATTCACACTGTAAATGTCCAATGCAAATTTAAGTAAATCTCACTTTTCTAATTTCTTAGAATAATCCTGGTTAAAAGTTGCTTACTGTAGCCATCTCGTTTCACCGAATTTTTACTTATGTAAGAGCAACAGTAATAAGCAAATTTCAGCAATGAATTAGCAAAGCAACATTTAGTTGCAATGAATAATATTGACACTGCGCTACACCTACGAGTTTTAATTCCAAAAAGTTAAATGAAAGAAAACCTAATCTTTGTAGTAAAAACTTTTCTTATTAAACCGTTCGTAAACAAAATGCTAATATTAGTATCTAAAACTTTAAATAAATATATAAAATACATCATAATGGTATTCTAAATTATGCCACTACAATGAAATTGGAATACAAAGGAACAGAAATACATAATTATTAATAATAATACTATTTGAGAAAAGTGTTCAGGGCGTTTGAAAAACTTTCACGTGACATAGTATTAGGGAGCTCAGAGGATCTATCGGTTGCAAACAGCGCATATGCCATAAATCGTGCGTCTGCATCTAAGATGAACAATATCGGCCCTAAATCAATATATCAAGTGGCGTCGATATATTTTCATGAGTATTTGCGTTACATTCGTTTTTGGGTTCGTGTACATTAGTTTATTTGCGGTTTTAAAGTGGGTCTGAAATTAGCCCAGAAAGTGAATATGAAAAACCTGCGACAACCTCAAACTATAAGACGCTTGAAATGTTTCAACGAGTGCATGGCAATGAAGCGATAAGTAAATACAGATATTTTAGATAACACTAGAGTCTCAAAACAGATAGTGTTAATTGAGGAAGGTGAGGGGTATATTGCCTTACAGGCCAGAAGATACAGGCGGCAGACAGCTGGAGAAATCGCTAGACACGACACAGGCGACTGGACGACCGATATCGCGTTTTACCGTGGCCAGAAGACTGCACGGTGGTGGTCTGTTTGCACGTCGCCCTGTACGGTGTGTACCTCTAACGCCTGCCCATCGGAGAAGGCGTTCTCTGTGGTGCCGGGAACACCGGAATTGGAGAGACAATGAATGGGGACGAGTACTCTACACAGATGAGAGAAGATTCGGTCTGAGCAGTGATTTTCATCGCATACTCATCTGGAGAGAGTGGGGGAAGCCGCAATCCTCCCTCGAACATCATTGAAAAGGACAGGTATGGAGGTGGCGGTGTTCTCGTTTGGGGAGGCATCATGCTTGATAGTCGTACAAACCTTCACATCTTCGACGCAGGTTCAGTCAACGGGACCCGTTATTGTAACGAGATTCTTTTTCCATATGTGCGCCTTTTTAGAGGCGCTATGGGTCCGCAGTTCCTTTTCATGGACGACAATGCACCATGTCATCGCACAGTAGCTGCCGAACAGCTCTTAGATAGTGAGGATATTGAACGTATGGATTGGCCGGCACGATCTCCGGATCTGAATCCCATCGAGCATGTATGGGATTTTCTAGGCAGACGCTTGGCAGCTCGTACCTTACCACCAGTAACGATTCCTCAGCTTCGTTTGGCTCTGCAAGACGAATGGGCAGCAATGCCTCAACAACTCATTGACACCCTCATTCTCAGCATGGGCAGACGCTGTGAAACCTGCCTAGCAGTCAGGGGAGATCATATCCCCTATTAAAGACCGGATGTTTCTTGCTGGACCCCCATCACAGGGATGTTTCGTCCTTCAGTCGCATTGCGCTCCATGCTACTTTTTCAATAAAGCTTCTTTTTATCCCTCTGATTTCTCTTTTAGTAAGTGTTGCTTACATTACTCATGTCCTTACGTATTGGGGATCTTACGGTATTAAATGTGTTGATTTGGAAAGCTTTTGTACAAAGTTATATTGAAAAAACCGTCTCGTCCTTAATTTTTGCACACCAGTGTATTGAGGTGCTAGAATCTCCGTCAGTCCGACCTAAGAACACCCAATATTTATCTCATGAAACATAACTTGTCTTGTAAGTTGGATATACGGCTACAATCCAGAGACCAAATAGTAATTGTAGCGGAGAGATATAACTCTGCGGAAACTGTTGTATTAATTTTTCAAAACAAAAGAAAACTAAGGAAATCAAAAGCCCGACTAAAATCATGTTGATCTGATCTCGTTACACAATGATATATATAACATGAATTTATTTTCCATGATCCGAATGGTTATATTGGATTTTAATATAGCATTCTGAAGCGTCTGAGAGGAGATAGGAGATAATAGGCATCAATTATCTGAACTGTAGTAACACTGTAATTAGGTGTGCCATTATGATAATACTTTAGCCAACACAGCATCCAAGATACACCAGCCTCGTATTTTGACTTGTCATACATGACTTCCGATGATTGTTTCCCCTGAAGTTAATATTCAGGTTCAAAAGTCTGTTTTAATGCCGCGAAATAGCTTCCGAGCGACTCGTAAATGATAAATGACCCATGGAAGAGCGAGATTTTGCAAAGCGCTTGAGCAATGGCAGAAGATTTAGCAGTGTATCAGGTTGTTGCAAATGAAATGGCCGTTGATTGATTTCAAGTTTCTACTCATTTTTGAAGAAAGAAAACGCTAATGTTTACGCAATTTTCTTTTTTGTTTCTGGTGCTAACTTGACATTTGGTTCACGAAGTTGGCCTTATGAGTGATAGCCGAAATAATGCGTTGTTAAAATTCCAAATCGAAGGACATGACAGTAAGCAGTGACTGGAATCTTAGAACTTCAGCCTCGGTTTTACAGATAAGTGAGCGGAATATTAAACTTCACTGGCGGTTTTACGGGTAAAGTCTTATTCCAATTACTATATATTTCGTCCCAATTTTGATGGAAAATATGTATTGTTTCTTAATGGGGATAGATCCAAAAGTTTTAGTCCTTCTGTCCGTGTCACCAAACCACTTGAGAAAACTCTCGTCTCACCAATATTTTAAGTGCACTCACACTTGATTGACACTAAACACATTTAAAGATCCGACCTTTCAATAGAGATTCGAACCAAGGACCACTGATACGGCAGCCAACATCACTGACTGCTATACGACTAAGACGGCAATCAAAGGAAAACAAGATGGAGTTACTCCCACTTATAAATGGAAATGCAAGCCTCTCTCAGTAAGACAGATAACCATACAGAAAACACAAGAAGGCCCATTCTACTTCGGCGATGCATATTAAGCCATACTAATGGATGCATATTAAGCCATACTAATGGATACATATTAAGCCATGCTAATGGATGCATATTAAGCCAAACTAATGGATGTTAAGCAGAAAACAGTGATGTATCCCACGAATTCACATCTGGTGTAGAGTCATTAAGGATAGAACGGCGAATTTTTTAGTCGAAGAAAAGAAAATATGTGAAAGTTAAACCTACGAAAAACGTAAACAATTTTGTAAGCAATCAAATTCGAATCAATTCCTTCCATTAATAAGAAAATTTTATTTACTCTGCAAAAGTTTAATCTTCGTGTGTCGCCTCTAATTAATAAATTTCGCAATTTACTGCTTAAAGATCCTATCACAGAAGTGAATTCATGAGATATTTAGAATGTTCCTTGTTAGTATGTTTTATTCGTGAAATTGGATATTCCCTTTTAAATTACGACAGAAACAACAAATTTATACTAGGGAAAGAATCTCTAATCCTCCACTGCTCAATTTTGTTAGCTGAAAAACCGTATTTTCCACTTTTTCTGCCAAAGTTATTACAGAAAAAAAAAAAAAAACTTTAGCTGTTTCATTAGATTCTATGATAATTTCTGTACTTATAGAAATCTTTCTTTTTTGGTTTAGAAGAAGAAAATATGGTCTTCCAAGCAAGTATTACTACTTTTACTTACCATGCATCTCCCTCCTTTCTGCATGCCTTTGTGGTGTAACCGTTAGCATACTCGTTGCGTATTTAAGAGGTCTAAGTTCGAGGCCCCGCGGGAGCATTGCTAATTTTTTATCTCTCCTGCTTGAAAATAACCTAATGACTCTACAACTTTACGTATGTACTATAACTTTATGTATATATATTGTTATGCATGTAATATTTTCGAATTAACTTCGCCTGATGAGCATATTTTCAATATTTTAATCATTATTTTATCTTAAAGAAGGAAGTAAATAATTTTATTCCAAATTCTCAATATTTAGAAAATGAATAGCAAGAAATCAAATAAACGGAAAACTTGTACTTCAGAAAATCTACGCAGTTTACGGTTTTAATAGCATTTTCAATTCCTTTGCATCTGTTTTTAATATTTTTACGTATAAAGTGTTAAAGAACATAAAAGAAATAATGCTAATAATGAACATTGTAAGTACTCACATATAAGGAAAATACGGAAACCAGAAAAATCTCCGAAAGCTTTTTTCACGTTCTTCACAAAGATATTATTAGGATCATTGTGGTAATCTATCTTCGTCGCGAAAGCCGAACAAGCGATTACATCCATAGTGAAGGCACCAAATAACCTACAATAAATACAGGCGAAAAAGGGGGATAGTTTATTTTCAAGTGTAATTAATGATTACAGAAATTAAGAACATTATTTTTTATCAGACCAGTTGACTTAACATACTATGAAATGGACTAGCATATTTCATAAAATTTTAAAAAATACTGTATCGCTCTGAAATATAAATAATGGCATCACTTAGGTCGTCTAGTAATTCCATTTCTCTGAGCCATAATAAGTTATATTATTTTAATACGACAACATTCTTTTTTATCCCATGTCAGACGTAGGCATGATAGCCATTACTCTGTGACGAGCAGCCCAATACAATTCAGAAACATTAAAAAAAGTACAATAATTTGCTACAGCATTATCCGTTGCCTGTCGATAAGTCCAGAACAATTGTCCAAATAGTCATCGCACATGTCGTCAGTATCACATAATGGACAAGATGGAGAGTCTGCTAAATCAAATCTGTGTTTCATTAACAAGTCATATCTAGTTTTTGATCTAACGTTAACGACGCCGACAGGTCTAGGTAGGTCGCATGGAATGAGATTCTCCATTAAGGAACCCCAAATCTTCCCCTTCACAGAGTCCCCATTCTTCTCTCAAAGATGAGCTCCACATCTGGCTCCAGTGATTCCCTTAGCACTGTGATAGCAAACAAAAGGATTGGGTTGATCCAGCCTTGGCCAGAGTGTCAGAAAACTCATTACCCATTATTCCACAACGACTTGGGAACCACTGCAGAGAAACATTGCGACCATTATTTATTACAGAATATATCCCAAGCTGACAATTTAGAACAGACCCATTGTTTGAAAGTATTGCACAAGAAATTGCTTTAAAGGCCTGTGAATCAATAAATATCACAATGTTCTGATCATCTCTTTTATTGATTTCACTCAACTGGCGTGTTGGACAGCAGCCACTTCAACATCCTAGTTGATACAATTTGCATCAACAGCCACGCTAAATCTCAAGTGCCGAGAGTAAACGCCTGCGCCAGCATTACTTTATTAACACCTATAGAAGATCCATTGGTGTACACATGCAACCAGTGCCTTGTTGGAAATCTTTCTCCCAATAGTGCCCAAAGCAGCCATCTTCAATTCTGTCTCAGTGCAGTATTTTTTACTGGCCGGCAGAACCAAGACTAAATTATAATTATCCGTTTAGTCCAATATGCTTTATACTAATTAATTAAAAACTAGCAGGTTTACTAAAGAAAGATAATAAATATTTTTCTCATGCCCAAATAAAACAGTAATGATGATTGCTTTATTAATCTGAAGACAAAATCACCAGTTACAAGCAGAAAGAAATCCTTATTTTGCAACTGTTTCATCCTCTGAACTCTGAAGTTCATCCTCTGAACTACATTAACTTGGAAAATTATTTAAATTAAAATATCGTTTGTTCCCGAATACCTCTTTGAATTTAAGTTTTGACTTAAAATATGAAATTATAGCATTAATTACGCGGATTCTGAAAAACAAGTTTTTGGAGACTTAAACGGTAATCAAATGACGCAAGGAGGTAAGAAATAAAAAAAGTATAAGCAAGTTCTTTTTCAATAACAACATATTAGCAGTTCCAGAAATAACATACTTTTTGCAGTCAACTGGGTCTTTGTTTACAGCGTGTTTTTCCAGAGTCTGTAGCACAGTTTTTGCGCAGTCCTTTATGATATGTGACATCTATAAGATATAAATAAAAAAATTCTTTTTTATAGATGTTCTAACATTCATCTTTCAGTACTATTAAATAATATCATACTGTAAGAAGACATCTAAGATTTTGTGCAGCTATAGTTTACAAACGATCCAGCATACAATTAAAACACTTTACAGAATTACATCTATTTCATCTTTAAATAAATCTATAATTATATTTATTTCATCTTTAAATAAATTTTAAAACTGATATTTTCAACATCTGTTTATTTCATCTTTAAATAAATCTGTAATTATATTTGCTTCATCTTCAAATAAATTTAAAAAACTGATATCTTCAACATATTTAATTTTTATACTTTATTTATTTCTTTAGCTTCAAATTTCAGAAGAATCTTTTCAGCAGGAACTTAAATCCGAGAAAAAGACGCTGAGTTTTTCTTTCTATTTGCCCTCGGTCTTAAATACTAGTATTCATGTAAGAGTTTGTAATTCTTCTTTTCAATTCTACATTCTAATTAATCTTCCCAGTAATAAAGATCTAGGGATTTTCCGCAAAATTCAAGCAAAATAGTGCTAGAGCTTTGTAATTCTGGGTTGCATGAATTTAAAAAAATAGGTTATATATGCTTGTACAGAGTTATAATTTAAAAAATTCCAACTCATTATTTTGAAATAAAAAAATATATTCAAAATAAATGTTTCTGTGAAACGTTTAACTGTCCTTCGAAAATTCGGTGGGGAATTAGTAGTATACTGGTAGCAATATATGCTATGCTGACGGTTTGAAAGGAGCATTTCTAGAATAAGTCGGCTGCAACTACCACGAAGTTGTTCCTTCAGTTTAGAAATTCGAGTATAAATAAACCAAGCCATATAATAAATAGTAGAACATTTCTCATCTCCCCATCAACGAATCAAAACAGCCTCAAGTTTTTGGTTACATATATCCGAGCACTGTTCTGCAAAACAATGAGAAAGCTTCTTTTGCAATACTAGGCACATATTAAGTTTAAAAAAATACGTAGTAATATTGCATGCAGACAGTTTGGCCTTGCGATGCGGTGCGCGTTAGAATAACGTCATCACCAACTGTATCTGAAGTCACTTGTAAATGGTGGGGTGTTGAGGAACTGATGGTTTTAGTTATGACCTGTAATGAAGCGACTTGTTAGATCTGCTCTTTTTAACTTTCACGATGAGGTCTGTGTTTCATCCAGCCTAATGATATTGGCGTAAGAAAAACTTCTCTTTGTACTGATGGAGTTTCACTTGAATTCGAGCCACAACTTAGTGTAGACATTTCTGCACCTCCAACATCTCCGTTATTATCGTTTCGAGAATATCACGGCTACAAAATTTTGTAGTGTCAGCTCACATGATACTCTATCCAGTTTGTCATATCATTTGCATAGCGCGGGAAGGGAGAATCCATGTACTGTAAAGTAAGACATTAAACAAATGTCTCGTATAAACAAGAAGCAATTGTTCCGTTTTATAGTATATAGGCAGCAATGTTGTGATAGCTCTTAAAATTTCAAACTATGCATATTTATGAACTAGGCAGTCTACAGAAGAAACCTAAAGCTGATTTATTACGTTTATGTTTCTGCGCTAAGCTTAAATAAACTCATTCGAGGGATATCAAATTATATCACATTGTTGACACGTAATATGCATTACATGCAACCTTGCGAGGAAGATGAGGCCAGTGAAGCAATTTTCTAGGGTAAAAATTAAATAAATGAATAAATAAACATGAGAATAATTTAAAATGAATTTATAATATATGAAACGTTTATATAAAATTATGAAAGAAGAGATTTTCTTCTGATATTAAAATCCATCGCTTCGGTTTCTGATTGAAATTCTAACAGTTATAAGAACCTGTTACACAATATAAGCATAGCAGCTTCTTTGCCTATTGAAATATGTTTTATGTAGCTTTTCTTCATAGCTGCATTTAGTGCACATAGTATACAATGAAGTCGGATGCGTATTAACATTTAGCTATAATTTCTTTTTAGTTCCTTCTTCTTTATTACTAAAACATATTATCTTTGCTTCTACTTATTTTTATAGCTAATTTGTAAGATTTTAGGATAATTAAGCTGTTATTATGAGCTAAAACTTTACTTCTCTTTTCCGTAGACCAAAAATGCAAATGAATAGTAGGGTGTTCAAGTCCAGGGTTTGCATGTTTTAAAGTTAGAGCTTCCGGCAGGCTCGTTTGCAGTTACCTACTATCGCCAGCTCTGACAGAGTTTGTTCCGTCTGTAGCGACCTCGCTAGCTGCCGTTAAAACTGAGCCGTTAATTATTTAAACTAGCTTAAGTAGATTATTTTAGTCATAATGTCAGAACAGGTTACTTGAATTTAACTTCCTCTTAGGTTATTTAAAATACCCCCAAGTAGCGAAGTTATATTTTGGAGTACAAGTTGTGCCTTCTGTTAATTTAAAGAGTTCTATAAAAGGATTATGTTAACTTTTCTAACAGACTTTGTCATATTAATTCAGACTAGAGCTGTAACTCATCAGTCGGTCTAGTAGGGTCTGAAGGACATTGATTTGAGCTTCTACACAAGCAGAACCTTACAGACTTTTGTCAAAAATTTTTATTTATTCTGCCTAAAATGAGTAATCACTTTTAGTGCTCATTTATGCACAGATCTATTTGTCTCATTCACAGAGAATATGGAATTAATAACGAATTACTAAAGGTCCACTTAATATAAAGCTTCGATTTTCTTGAATTATCAGATAAATGTTTGATCTTTTGTAGCAAAAATAGGTTTTTTTTTTTTCCACCCGAGCAAACTGTAATAAAATACCTAAATTTGCTTTTAGAGGAAATCCACTTTTTGAATTATGTTAAAAATTAATCTAAGGCATTTGAGTGTTCACGGGAAATACCCGAAACACTCTTCCTTCTCTTAGAATAATATATAACCACCAGCTAAACGAAAACCTGTTTCTTACATATCATCATTTTAGATTAGCATCAATGTTCAACTCAATATCCTGTACAATACAATTGAGGAACTATATTTTCAAGTGTTGAAAAATTCTTTTAAGTAAGATGGAAAGATGAGTTAATGTTTTAATCTGTAATAATGTGCAATTTCATATTCCGTATGAATCAAGTTACAAAATCGTTGAGGTTTCAAAATTGTACGTTTGAAGAATTAAAGGAAGCATTGTATATTTTAGTGAAATGTACCGAGTTTGAATTCGTTGGCCAGCTGCTAATAATCTCTCGTGAATAGTTATAATTATTGACATTCAAAACTTCATTTGCAAAATTTTGTCATTTACTTTAAACAATAATTACTAATGTTTATCGAGAAAGGATCATCTTTTTATGATACCTTATTTACTTAAAATTCAAACTCGTTAAATTATGCCTAGTTTGAAATTCAATGGGTGCGAACGAGTGTTAATTGCGTGTTAAAAGAAATGATGTAAAAACAGAAGTAGAGCTTTTTTTCTTGTTATAAAAAATTATTTCTAACTAATAAAGTTTAATGACAATAGTATAAAACTTTTCTGTACCCTAATTTTTTTGCTTCAGGTGCTGAGAAATGGACGTAGACACTGCAGTCAAAGAATCTGACAGATCCCATTCGACAAAATAAAAATTGGAAAGAAGAAGTAAGTAGGCAAAAAGAGTTTTTTGGAATACCACCATGAGAAAAATTCATTAGATTTTTTATTCTTTGGCCTTGTTATATACATCATTACGCCAATATAACGGGAATTAGGTACACATGATCACTTTCTTTCTTTTCTTTTTTTTTTTTTTTTTTTCATTATTAGTTTTTTCTTGAAAGCTATGAAAATTTACTTGATTTCTTCCTTCCATTCTTTGCTTGATTTTTTGACAATATTTGATTTCTTGTGTAAATGGTTTGCATGAGTTGTATTTATTATTTCATTTCATCTTTTATAACAGTACGCGAATTCTACATTTGTCTACTCTTATGCTTTCCATTAGACAGCATTTTTACTTATACAGACGTCTGTTTTTTGACTTAATGAGTTTTTAATTCTTAACCTTTTTATTGTTATCAATTAGCTTCTCTTTGTGATATGTAAGAATGTAAGTTTCGTATCTGTCAAACGAGGAAAATCTATCTTAGTTTACCTTGTTGGAATCATTTTAACTAAAATCATGCAGCTCTGCTTAGCTACTCAAAAAAAATCCTCCACAGGATTTACCGCACATTCTTATCTAATGATAATTCAGAAAGGTTTTGATTGCAATAAATTTGTATAATCTCCCGTTAAAATGTTATTTCGCTTATATCTACGTTCGACAAATAAAAAGCAGTTCCTGTAAGTAAGATTTCTCAAAAAAGATTAAATCTTCAGAGGTATAATTTCCAAATGTACTGCAGATTGTTTAGAATTTAATATTTATTGATGTATCATACACATTTTGAGCATTACTACTTACTTTTCTCATTTTCTTCGATGTGAAAGCTGGTGTGATAATAGTTCGCACCCTTTTCCAGGTTTCTCCTTTTAAACCTGTAACCATGTTGTCAAAAGTCGGGTCACCCAAAAGAAATTCTTCCTATAGAATTAAACGATTAGCATATTTTCTCAAAACTCTGATACTTTTTAACAAAAAATAAAAACGTACTGTAAATTGTTTTTCACAGAAAATCGAAAATATCGCAGAAAGTATCGCACAGAAAGTCAAAAAAGTACTTACTAAGCATTGGCACTATTTTCCGTCAATCTTATTTCTAAGAGATAATTAAATCATAGATATTTGAGACGAAATATGCAACTGCAAAGGCAGCGAAGGAATTTTATAGAATATACTTGAAATAAACAGTCTTAACTAGAATAACAATGTTAAAGTAAGATGGATCAGTAAAGCAGTAAAGGAAAAATCCTTACCTTTCATGCAAACGTGAAGGAAAAATTGTTTTTATCGGTAATGTATTGATGCATCTTTTCTGCCAAAAGTACAGTACTCTCGATTATCCGGTTTAGGGATTATCCGTGAGTGGCGGTCCCGACGCACGTTATGCGCTAGAGTTAAAAAACACACATGCACAAGTGAGAGCGTTTCAACGATTACCTCGCATAGTTAGAGGTTATGAAAAAAGTAAGGAATTTAATAAAATTCTTGATAATGTTTGCTGTCTTGGTTGCCATGTATGGAGTAGCAAAATTTTGACCGAATGTAAAACCAATAACATTGTTTCGATCATGGAAAAAGAGTCTTCCTAAGATAGAAATCGGTGATTTATCTATTTGTGAAAGAGTATAGGTAATAGCGGAAGTTGTATGTCGAAAATTGAAAATGTCAATTGGGAAAATATCAAAGAATGATTGAGTGGAGGTCACACGAAACAGAAAAGGTAAATACTAATACTGAAAATACAAGCGAAGAAGATACTGACAATTACATCAGTCCCGAGACAGCAGTGACTTCTCTTGAAACTCTATCGGACTTCATCAACCAAATGGGATTCGAATACGGTTATAGAATAGCAATTCGGAAAATAGGCAATGAAATTAGGCAAATATATTTAAACGTTCTGAAAAGTAAAGTAAAATCAATGTTTTTTTTTTTAGAAACAAATACTGGAAATGTCAATGTGTATAAAAATTGATATTTTGGATTATTCTTATTTTTCAATTATCCATGCCCCGTTTCTCTGGCATTAGCTCAAATAATCGAGAGCACACTGTACCGAAATTTGAAATTAGATATGGAAAAACCCCATTTATTTGAAATAACTGGGGCTAAGCATTCTCACGATTGCTTTCTTTTAAAAAGAATGCTTCTCTTTTTATACAAATCATATTAATGACAATGATCTTTTTAATTATATTTTGCAAAAGATAAACTTCATAACTGTCCTTTTAAACATTTAATTTTAAATCGCATAAAGAAAATAGAGAGAATGTATAATAAGTTATAAAAATAATTTTTAAAGGCTTATTTTTATCACAATTTTGTTGTAACATTGTATAATGAACACAGTTTGAAAACTTAAATACTTTCAAAAAATAGAATCGCATAAAATATAAATTTAAAAAAATCCAGATGTTCTAGAAATAATCATAGGTAATCAGTCTGCTGATAAATGTCCTCAAAGAATGGAAAAACTTCATTTGGAAAATAAATATTGCAAATTTTTGTTAATTTCTAAAGTTTTAAATTTTTCAATATTTTATAACTTATTAATTTTCAGAAAACTCTTTTAATGCAAAATAAAATTTGATGCAATCCAAGAATAAATTATTACTTGAAAGAAAACTCCAAGAAAGTGTCTTCACAGTCCAATACGTTTCCATACTGCATCATTTGTTTACATCATTTATCATTTATAAAATTGACTGATATCATTTATTTACACTATCAAATTAGTAGTTATAATTAAATAAAATAACTTTGTTAAAGAATTACAGTCACTAATTCAATATTAATTTTCCTGTTTCAGTTCTTATGTTTCAGTTCAGCTATGCTACGAGCGCAGATCTTCACTGTAATCCCTCTTGTATTTTCACTTGTATTTTAAATTACTTCCATAAAAACATTATACATAGCACTGATTTTTCTTTTGGAATACAAATTAAGCAAGTGAGAAAAGGAAAATGATATTAAACATATTGTAAAGATTAGATATGGTCTGGCTTCATGATGAAATAAAAAAAAAGAATTGAAAAATAAATATATATTTTAATATGAAACTTAAGTTTGATTCTATTTGCTCCTGTTATAAAATGAGCCTGCAGAAGATTCTTATTCACAAATATATGTTTCATATAGAATTAGTTTTTTTAAAAAAAAGCTCCCTTAACTACCTAAAATCCAATTAAATATAAAAGCTGGTTTGAGAGCCTAAACTCAACTATAATAGTCAACATAATCAGAAATAGTCATAACTATATTCGAAATTGTATCAATAGATCTTGATGAAAAGTAATAGGATAAACTTTCAATGATTATAGGAAAACTAATAATCAAAAGAACTCACAAATTATCACAAATCAAAGGAACTCATAAATTATGTGATATATCTACTCTTAGAGATGCGACAAACCTTTACCTTATAATATAATTCTGTCTCCTCTCATTCCTGGGTTCATCAGAGAAATAATTGTTTTAAATATTCCAGTTTTATTAAATCTTCACTATTTAATGGTGTTACACCTTTCTTCAAAAGTTTAGTTCGTAGTTATAAATGGGAAGGTTCCAACAGGTGGATTAGCGGTGCAGTTGTTGACTACTGACACTACTTTGTGAACTCTCCTCGGTTATTTAATTTAAGGCCCTAGGCTATCCTTATCTTATTAATAATAAGGTAGCGCTTTCGCTGCTCTGTCTCAATATTTATTATTCTCAAAATAAAATGTTACCACAGGTTTTACTAGAATGGTCGAAATATAAGAGCGTTCTCTTTACAAACTTGAGGTAAATACCCCAGTTATCTAAAAAAAGATATTTTTTACATTTTATTTATAATTTATTAATTTTTATTTTAATAATTTACATATCAAATTCTATAGCAGCTACAATAAAGTTTTTTAAACTACATTTTAAACACTTAATTACGTGCATCTTTTGTGTCACGTACAGTTCTAATTAATGGATAATCTCTCGCCATACATTCCTCAGAATTTCTGAGTTTTATTCAAATGATTTACATATCAAATGGCGCGTAACTGATCGCATAACAGGATTTTTATATTAGTAGTTGCGTATCTAAATCTAAGTTTGTACATGCAAAGGTTTACTGGTTAGTTTAGTCACCTTATGCAACTTTGCCAGATTTCATTATGTGAGGGTTTGAAAAAGACTAAGTTTACATAAATAAATTACATTGCTTAACTTAACCGACGAATTTCGGTGGCATTTACAATGCTTCATATTCAGTGGAAGTTGAAGTATTTTAAAAATTAGTGTTATTTCAAAGCACTTTGAATTTACGCATAACCTGCATTTTAAAGAAACTTGGTATCCCAATTTTTTGCTAAAAAAATACAAAAAGGCTTTTAAAAATTTTTAAAGCCCTTTAAATGCCACAACCCCTCAGCTTTTACCTTTTTACTTATTAATTGTTTTAGTAACCTATTAAAAATCAACGTAGGAGAGGAGGAATGTAATTAAATATGACCGCAATTATCAGCAAACTCTGTTTATATGTTAATCCATTTTAGTTCAAAACTTAGTTTAAAATAAAGGGTCTTTTACACCCTTCTTAAGTCTCTGTTGTACTTAGACATAGCGATAAGTCACGTTACGTCTGAAAAGGTTTGATCACAATTCACAGTAGTGAAAGATATTAAAACTTATAAATTTAAGTCAAGAATCGAACTTGAAATAGAATTTATTCTGATTGATGTAAGCTGAAGAGATGAATGCTTAATGAGTTTTTATGTAAATGTCAAGTATATGCGACGTAAAGCTTTTTTAAGATTTGAATTCTCTGTATATGTCTGTAATAACTGATACTAAATACTAGAAACATGGCAAAGATCAAATTTTCGACAATAAGTTACTGCAAAATAAAAATTTAGGGAACGTGTTAGACCAAATATTAATTATTAAGATTTAGATAAAACATTTTATGAACTCATTTAATTTAAGTTTTCTTCCCGATCTTATTTCAGTAAATCTCTGCTTTATTTTCCTCTCTCGTGTTTTTTTGCAGCATTCACCTCATCGAACTTCAAAGCCTTTTTAGGCAAGTTTTAATTGATTGACAGCTCCGTCGGACCATATGCTTGCACACCTATAATATATCTGTCTTCGTGTTTTCCTTATTAAATGTTGCCTTTCAAAATTGTTTCATTTTCATTCAAGCATACTTTTACGTTAGATATTTACACTTGTTTTAATAAACGTGAATATTTTTAGTAAATATAAATCCATGATTTAATAGGTCCTGCAGGCAACAAACATACAGGTGCTATATTAGCCAAATGCAAGAAGTTTAATGCTTTTTAATATATTTCAGGCTGGGTAAGTGATACATGAATTTTAACAACGATTTATATTGCAATGATTAAGGGAATTTAGAGTCGGATTTTTAAATATACCAAGGTGCTTTTAAATGCAATTTACAAAAAATATAAAATTGCCGGATGTAAGTTCCATTCACATTATCACTGGACTATTCAATACTTTTCAAAATGAAATAGTTATGCATGTTGGTAAAATACAGACTCTGAATGCCCCAAAGTGCTCAGTTTTTCAAAATAGTTCAACGAAGTTAAAAGCTTTGGTTCACAATATCGAAACTTAAAAATTAATTACAAATTTGAAAAATAATTAAAGATTGAGCCCATTCCTTACAGCCAAAGAGCTTAGGTTATCAAAAACCAAATTTGAAAATGCTTTCGTTCAAACTTATTTGGTTCTATTGTTTTTTGCCCAAGTTCGTTTGACATTTAAGGCTTTTTACCACAAAAAGTAAAACTTAGAACGCCCAGAATATTTAATGCAATTGACCTTGGTAATCTTTAGTAACACTTCTAGAAGAGGTAAAAAATATAACCATTGATGGCAGGTGCAATTAAAAATGAATTCTGGAATCAGCACACTCTTCATCACTGGAAATGACTCTTATTTATCTTAAAAGAAGGAAGGAATCCAGAATCCTTATTTGCATTGAGACTACAATCTATTACACAAGAGATTATATATTACCTTAGTTCTTATACAGATTTAAAGGGAGACTATATATAATTTAACAGAAGGGGGTAGCTTAGCTTAACACTCTAAAACGCTTACGTTGTTAAAGATTAAAACAAAATTTTAAATCATTTAAAAATCAGTGTAACTTAATGTCAGCGCACTTTCATAATCATTTTTAACTCATTCCCATCTACACTGGATAACAAAAAGAATAATTTCGCAATGAAGTTGAGCAAAAGGAAGGGGGGGTAACATTTTAGGAAATGTTTAAAATGTTTCCTAAAATAATAAATAAATTTTCCTAATAAATTTTTCTAAAATGCAAACGTTTTAGGAAATTTTCCAAAGAAGTAAATTTTACAGTAATGCAATAGGAAAATTTTCCTAAATTACTTAATCATGCTTATTAGTCAGAATTCCAGGATTTGCAATAGATTTTGTGGAAAAGAGCAAAGTAGAAACTGATTTGATAAGACTTCACACTCACTTTATTAAGATACTTTATAATGTATTTTCCCCACCTTTTCGCATTCCTTTGTGGTGTAACTCGAAGTATACTCAACGCGTATTGGAGATCTCTAGAGTTCAAGTCCCGGCGAGGGCACTGCGCAGCTTTCACGTCTCCCAACATCAAAAATCCTAATGATTCTACAGTAACGCCGAACTTATAAAGGTGATGGACGATAATTCGCCACCACCAGGATTTTGTGACTTGGTCCCTTAATCTCCAGTCGCCCTTAAGAAGGCGGAGTATATAAGGTATTTTCTCCCTTCCTTCCGCATGGCTTTGTAGTTTAATTGGAAGCACACTTGACGCATATTTGAAAGGTCTAGGATTCACGTTCCGACGAGGGCACTGCATATTTTTCACGTCTCCAACATCAAAAATCTTAATGACCATCAACTTCATTTTTTAACAACGATAATCAGATAAATTACACGCAATCTTCAATTCATAAAGAGATAAAATATTTCTTTTAGTTTTACAAAAATGCAAGACTGCATAAATTTCTACCATTCACTGCTTTCTTGTTTGCAGTACCGTATGATCTAATTTTCCATCTTTACATGATTTTGGAAGCAACAAAAACAAGTAGAATTTTCGATTTACTACTCTACCACTAAAGTAAAAGTTACCACTAAAGTTAAAGTAAAAGGAGTTAGCAACAATGAAACACAAAAAATAAAAAAATATTATTCCATCACAGAATTACCTTACCCTTCTATTCGGAAATAGATGAAAGTCCTTTACCAGTACATCTTTCGCGAGCTCTGGATCAGCTATCATAAGCGCAGGTGTTCGCAGTTCAAAGGTTCTGGATTTAAAAAGATAAATAAGCAAAATAAAGTACATAAATCAACCATGGAAGACAATACGACAACAAAATTTATGCAACTCTCTACCAAATAAAAATTTTGCTATTTTATGAACGTTATATCATTTTTATTTCAGAATATAAGCTAGACCAATAATGCAAAAGAGTAACTGGTAGTTAATGTGCTGTTAATTAATGCATCAGAGTTAACAATGTTTCTCAGTTCGCATCGTAACCCATAGATAGTTTTAATAATAAGCAGTGAGTTGGAAGAAACATTTTGAGCGTAGTTAATAGTTTCATTTGTTATTTTAACAAAATATATATTATTTGTCCGTTATGCTTTTTTAATATGACGATGAAATAATCAGACACTAGTGTGAAAGAAGAAAGATTATAGGGAGGAGGGGGAATATGAAGGTGGCATGTATGCGAGAAAGTTAAGTGGAAGGAAGTGACAAAGAACCGCAGACTTTTATAAGATTTTCCAAGAAGAAATGTTCATCTCGGTTCATACAAGATGTTATGGAGCTTCGCTGTATACACGGCGAATTTTTAAACCCACGGCAACAAGCTTTTAAGCAGATAGACATTCGAAGCTATACTAGAAATTCGTAAGTTTCATGTGATAGTACGTATGATAATTTAAAAATATTATTTTATTTTGTTTTCTGACATGAAAATCATGTTACGTATTTTAATTTAAAATAATCTGTACGAATTTCAGTAGTATTTATTTAACTGTGGTGATAGATCAAAAACTTTACCGACGGACTTTGCATGATACAGTTTCTACAGATGGCCTCACAAAACATAAGTAAGTTTTAGAAATATATATTCAATTATCCGGAAAAACCTTTTCTCGGGATTCGAAACGGCCCCGTTGCTGCTGAATGAAATGGCATTCATCTGTTAATTTTTAATTATTTAAATTACATTTTTATTTTGCTTCGAGTTATAATATTCAAGACAGGGAGTAGGGTATAAAATGTGGCCCCTAAACCGTATTTTATAAGATGCATCTCGAAAAATACGCATGCTAATACATTGCAGTAACTATTATTGTGATGCACTCAATAAGGTCTACATTTAAAAAAAAAAATAATTTTGCAATTCTAATTCTGCAAAATTTAGAAGGAATTTTCTCCTTCCTTACCGCATGCTTTCGTGGTGTAGGAAGCACGTCCGGATAGCAGTCGAAAGGTCTGGAGTTCGAATCCTGGAGAAAACAAAGTTAATTTCTTAAGTTTCTCGCTTCGGTATACATCTAATGACTCTAAAAGTGATGTCTGAACCCAAACCTGGTAGAGGATAATTCGTCACAATCAGGACTTGGCGACTAGGTCCTTTCCTCAAGGAATTTTCTTCTTATCCTTACCACTTGCCTTCGTTGTGTGACTGGAAGCACGTCCGGTTAGCAGGTACAGATGGAAGTTGGCGGTACACCAGAATTTCATCATTGGTCACACAGGTATAATCCCGCCGCATTAACTGTGAAATTCCGCCCAAATTTTGACAGACAGCATCCGAGGCTTTGCCAGCTCTCTTGTCCTACCACAACCTCTCGAGAGGATATTCGGCTTGCTATGTATTTTGAGCACCCCTTGCCTCACAGACACTGTACGCTTACAGCCATCTTTGGTATTCGAACCCAGGCCCACTGGAACTGCAGCCAACTACAGCCAACGTCAGCGCACGTCCGGATACGAAGCACGTCCGGCTAGCAATCGGAACATCCAGATTTCGAATTCCGGCGAAGGCAAAGTTGATTTTTCTCATTTCTTGCTGTCATCCCGATAAACACTTAATCACGGTACACAGTTATAGGCAGCTAACGGATCCAGAATTCAAATGCCTACAGGAAAATACTGACATTTGGTGAATGGTGTGACATCCGGAATAAAATTTATATTCTACTTTGTAGAATTTTTTTCCAGTTTGTCATTATTTGTTTGCTGAAGACTGTTTCGAGGGAATGGCTTCATGGGCTTAAAGAAAAAGATCTCTGAACTAAACAAGTTCAGCGACTATTACTACTTTATATTATATCTACTTTGTAGTTTATGTCATCATAGGCTTTAAGAAAACAATGTCTGAGATTAGAAATCCAGCGACTATTTTATAGCATATTTACTTTTAATTATACATTTCATAGTTTATCTACTTTATAGTCTTCTCGATTTTTAATTTCTGTAGTAACATGTTTGTATTTATTTCTGTTATAGGCATAGTTATAGGCATGCTACAAAATATATTGAATGAAAGAAATCGAAAAAAAATTGATTTAATGAAATTCTTTCTTTCTTTTATTTTTCTGAAAATTTGTTCTGGAATGAAAGCGAGCCAATCTAGAATACTTTGACATTTTCCTCTTGCAATTATTTACCTTTAATTTTTAATTAAATAATTACTTGGCTATTATTATTGTTATAATTACTAAATTCAAAAAACACATTTTTACTTATCATGAAAAGCAATTGTAGTGCACTCAGTCAACAATCAGTTGGAAACAGACATGGATTGCCGGCATGCGGCAAGGCATAGGCATAGTATAATGAACAAAGTCAAATGGTCGTAGTCAAAGAAAATGGTCCTTTTTTTTCCTTCCCTTCCTACTGCGACGAAACTTCATATCATGTGAAAATTATATTTAAATACATACGAAGGGCACTTGAGATCCGACAAATCCTTGAACAAGCACCGCATTAAGTGCGACACGCAAATGCGGAAAGTAGGCTCAAGGTCTTGGAGATAATTTTCTCGTCTAACTGGCATCGCAGTGCTTGTGCTTGAGAGTAGTGACGTAATTTCGTAAGGAAAGATCTCTTTGATTAATTCAGTTGGTCTTCCCTTTCTCTCGAGAAATGGTTTTTCATTCTAGATAGCAGGTTACTGACTAGAAAAAAATCTTTAACAAAATATAATAGCCGAATAGAACACGAGACGAACGAATGCTTTCAAGTATAAATAATTACAATATCAGCCAATTATTCTTTGATAAAAGAAGACACTCGAAATCATAAAATAAGAGACATCGAATATTTCTTTTTACTCTTATTAAAGTAAAAAGTAGGATAATGCGTATAAGAAATGGTAATAGTAAAAAACGTTTTATTCTCTACGATAATTTTCTCTCGTTTCGTATGTCTTTCAGTAATAGGGCAATTTATAATCGTGCCTATAGTATATTTTTCTGTAAATTATGAACCAGTAAGGTATTTTATGTTAATTAACCAATTATTATGATTTAAACTTCACTATAACTAATTTCTCATTTCCATAGTCCTTATCATAATGGAAATTATTAGGTTGAGTATTTAAATCAAGGGTTGTGAATGTTTCAGGGTTAAAGCCTTTGACAGTGTCGATTGCAATATACATTGGATCACCCAACTCTGCCAGTACTAACCCCGATTTCAGCGATATCTCTAGTTTACATGAAAGTGTGCCAATGGCCATCTTAATAGGCTAACTCGTGTAATTTCTGGCTATATTAGTCCAAATTAATTTTATTTTATACTAAATACCCAAAAATGGCAGATGTTATCTGTAGGCACAAATATTGCCTTCTGCTTAATCTAAAGATTTAATAAAAATGTTGTTTTAACCTTCACAGGACTCTGCTATAATAATTCATACTCAGTGATAACCCACTTGTCATTTTGGTACGGCCTAACATAGACGCAAAACGAACCCTGCATATCTATTGACATATATTAGAAATATATATTTACGCATATTAATATCAATCTTAGAAAACAAGAATTGATTGAATCCGTGAATTCATAACTTTTAAAAGAAAATATCATTTAGGTGAATTTTTATTCTATATTTTTAACTTATCTTAATTCTATATAAGTTAATGCTTGAATGATTCGCAAATGTCCTCTATTTCATAGCTTTTGGTAGGGAGTGAACCATTCATTTCATTATTAATGTCAGAAAGCGGCATTGCTCTATATCAGGGGTTCTCAACCAGGGGAATACCATGGTTTCAGGCGTGGAATGTGGTCAACCTTTTATTTAGATGTTAAGTATTTACTTTTAATTTATGAATATAAAAATTTCCTTTTATTCAAGTTTGGGTATTTTTCAATATTTTCTACACGTTTGGTGTTTAATGTATAAAACACGTTAAAATATCATTTAAATATAGATAAATATATATATATTTCAAGTTTTGGAAAGGAGGCGGACTGATCTTCAAGTAATGTTGAAAGGGATGCGTGAAGCAAAAAGGGTTGAAAACCCCTGTTGTATAGCATATCGAAACTATTGAAACAGAATTAAGAGCTTCTGCTAAATAACTGCAGTATAGAATTTACAGCTCAAAATACTTACAAATAATGAATTCATTTTAGGTATGTTTTGTATATATCATAAAATATTTTATATGTATTAGATGTAAAACTACAACATTACTCTGCTGCTTTGGGTGTTAGTAATAGAGCCAACTGAAATAAAATATCGGACACGAAGTCCAAATTATGTTTAGAATTTTTTACTATCTTGTGATTGCTTTTAATTCAACACTTAAATTTTAAAATATTTAAATATTCTTTCTGCTTCCAACCACTGCCACGTATTTTTTCAATTTCTTCCACCTCTGAATTAGAGAATAATTTAAAATGAATCTTTCACATTTTATCGCCTAAACAATTCTATTGTTTAAATGTGTCTTGCTCTCCCGTTTCGAACTGGTTTCACTCACAATCACATCTGTGGCAGTTGTTGAAACCCCATGGACTAGGATTCGGGCATTCTTCGACGTCATTAAGAGGGAACCGACAGAATTTTTTATAGTGTATTAAAGTTTATTCACGCCAAATTTGGTGCGCATTTGTACAGCGACCTAGAAAACACTGCGACTTGAAATATAATATATACTTATACGTATTGTTAAGAATTTTGTATTTATTTAGATATTTTTAGTAGAATTGTAATTAAAATTGTTTTATTTTCCCGTGCAATGAATGCAGCACGAGACATATTTTGAGAGAAAGCTACGCGGTAATATTAAAAATATGGAAGCACGTGCATTTAACATTTAATAAATAGATATCTCGTAATTTATATTGAATTGAATAAATGTCATTGACTGCTGTGTTAGCTGTAACCGTAATTCTACTCTTTTCGTTTCCAGAAATCTCGAGAAGCAAAGAAATTACTAGAACTCTCTCGCGACCGATTAAAAGATTTAGAAAGCCGGAGAGAGACAGCTCAGTTGCTTAGTTTCTGCTATTGCGAGTAGTTGTTTAATTAGCTGTTGTTGTTTTTGCGAGTTATCTTTCTCTTTACATTGCGTTGCGTTTTTAGTAGTTTAAAGTATAACTACTGGTTATATTCCGTGATATTTCGAACACTTGAATGAATAATCTTGTACGAAAATTCCAGCATTCTGTTATATTTCTTTTGATTAGAATAAATTTTATTTACCTTTTATCGGACTTGTGCATTCATTTTATTACGACCCTGTACGCACGAAACAATACTTTGAATTTTATGTACATATAGATAATAATCTTGAAAATCATAAATATACATACCCCACAATTTTACCTCGTTTTCTTCCTTCCATTACCACTTCATGAGCTGGCTGCCAACAGAAATTGAGCATTAGAATCGAATTTCAGAGGATTAAAAAGTTTGCATTTCTAATGCAGCATAGAAATGTTATAAATGAAAATTAAAACTGACCTTGTAAACCATGTTGCGAATTATACCAATAATGCTATCACGAGGAATATATGGAATTCCACGATTTTTCCAGTAATCATCATTTTTTCTGATGTACCTAAAGAAAATATTAAGGTAAATTTGAAACATTAACTTTATTAATTGTAAAATTGTAGCATTAGTCATTGAAATTGCAATAACGGATATAAATTTTGCGATTGGTAAAATTACGAAAACTAAGGAAAAAGAATTTCTATTCGTAACTATTCAAAGAAACTTTCCAAGAGCTCAGAAATCAGTTAATAAAAAATGCAAATTTCTACTTCGTTATGTATCTTTAATTATATTTTAAAACCCTAAAAATTAAGCTCTTCCTTTCGGTAGTAAATCCAGATGACAAACTAAATACTTTTTGAATTGTAAGTTGTAGACCTATTAATCAACATGCACTTTACAATTTATAAAAGTCTAAGAAATTTCTAAGAGCTTAAAAATCTGCTGATAGAAGATTCAGAGGATTTCGTCTTGTTAAAATAAGTATGATTTTCTTTTAACCAGATAAAAATAAAGCTCTTTCTTCCTTTAATATGCACAAGATTTAATATGCACACATTGAATTTCAAAGAGTTTGCATCTCTTGATATTTTAGTATGGTTAAAATTTAAAAAATTAAGAGGGTATACGTTCAGACTAATATTATTTTTGACATTCTGTCTACCATTTTTTTGTGTGATTGGGTTTAGTAGAATTATATTGACCGTAAAATTTTAAACAAGTATCGTAGAAGAAATTCCCAAACAGTATTTTTCATCGGCAAACAAAAAGTAAAATAAAATAAAAAATTATTGTGTGATCATAACTAACAGAAATATCATTAACAAAATTGTTTCAGGATTGTATATAAACATTTCTCTAAACAGATATGCACCGCGTCTATTGAAAGTTCATACACGGCCTTCTTTTTTCACCCGTTGATTGTAAACATATACTTCCAGTGGCAAAACCGTTTTAAACGAAACAAAGGTTCATCATTTACAATACTTGTCTCAAACAGTGATACACAACATTACTTAACTCTCGGTGGTGTTGGCCGTGAGCTGTATCTAACTGAAAACAGGTAACCTGCTCTGTCTTTGGTTATCAGTGTAAATCAAGTGATACACCCACATAAATTTGCAGACAAAACGTGTTGATCCTACAATGGCGCCAAAACTGTTCTTTCATGTGCTTCAAGTAGAATGATGACGTCAAATTATATCATAGGTCATCTTCAGAACGACATCAGTACGTTCTTCATTAGTTACATAACTTAATATAATAATCTAGTAATGCAATAAATCTTCTGTTGTGGACTGTAACTACAAAATAATGAAATTAATTTCTTTTGAAAATCATCTTTCAATTATTCATAATGTAATTGCTCAGTTAGCAGTCATTCAAAAGTGAAATGAACATCAATTTATCAAAACATTTATATCAAGAAAAAAGAAAAAGCTATATCGGCGCATGCGCGTTACAGGATTCGATGTTAGGCAGTGATGGTGAAGGAGAAACTTTTCCCTTGGCAGACTGTCAGGGAACAAGATTAATGTTGTAATGCGATAAAACATCTGGTTACGTAATAAATGAAATACGTATAATTTCTTTATTATTTCTTTAATTATATGTATTACTGCTTTTCGCGTACGGTATTTGTTATCTGTTTTTCCGTTTTTATCATGGTTGACGGGCGGTACCTCAGGTGGCGAATGGTTGTTCTCCTGTTACGGGAATACCCTTCATTTTATACATTTTAGGCCATAGAGAAATGGAAATAAAAGATTAAAAAAAATTATCTGGTCATACTTTATCTTGTCGTAATTAAATATTAAGAAAATGTTTCCTTCTAATCTACGTATTAAAGCGCAATTGCGTGACATTACGCTTCCCTCAATGTCTTTTCCGAACAATCCAACAGTGTAAAATTACATTAATTTTTTTTAAATATCTGTTTGATTTTAAAATCCGATCTCTCTATCCCTTAAAACTGTGGGGCTGTTAAAAGTGAGCGATTAAATATTTAATTTAGCTACCAGTCTTAATGAACAATAATGAACAAACAAAATTTCTGCAATTACCAGCTTCAGCGTTAAGCAAAGGTAACATGATAGAAATTCAAAGCTAAATAGAATTTTTAAAAATAATAGACTTTGTGAAAAACGCTGTATTTTTATTCCAAAAATATAGTACGCAAAATTTCAAGAAAATCTTATTGGTATGTGATGGCAATATTTGAAACGGTTTAAACAAATTAGCGCAGAAAAATAAACTAAACAAAAACCATGTGTTTTGATGATAATTTTCTAGCTTCGAGAAAGTATCCGTCGTCGAATAATACATAAATAAATAATTCATTATTCCAACTAGAGATAAAGTTTACATCAGCGGTTCTCAACCTTTTGACTAACGAGTACCATCTAAACAAAAATTGAAAACCTTTAAGTACCGCCACTACAAAGTACTACTACCACCACCATTCTTGAACAAAGCTCAGATCTACGAGCGCTAGAGAAAAAAATTCAATCAGGATGCTGGGGTTTTAATTTTTGAATTTAATAGTTAAAAATACTTTGTTCTTTGCGTACCACCTATTTTTCACTTAAGTACCACCGGTTGAGAACCCTTGGTTTACATGTAAATACTTAGCCCCTGACAACAGTTCTTTTTTTTTTTTTTCAATCACGTGCGGGGTCGCTACAGCAATACTTCTCCTTTTCAGAACTTTTCGTTCATAATTTGACAAATTAATTTATTCACGAGACGGAAAATTTTTAATTTTGTCATTGTACAACATATCTTCATCTCTATAGGAAATTTAAGCTTTTAATTTAAAATGAAAATTTGCAGCTATTTACTTAACATAGCATCATTGTTAATAATCGTAATTTGAAATAATAAGTGGTGAAACAGAATCAAATTTTAAATAATATTGGGAATGTTTTCCAGCACGCAAATATGCACTGCGGAAACAATTTCAGTGTTCCTGAATTTACATGTAAAATTTGGTTTAATTGAACATTTGAGAAATTGAAATTTGAAAGAGATTTACAAAACTGTTATGTGAAATTTGCAAAAATGTATCGTTATCATTAAGTACAAAGTGTCTGAAATGGAACTATCACGCTACCAGATTAGAACCATCGTTTACTTCGAGTTCTTTTGCAAAACGTCAGCTAGAGAATGTCACCAATTCATGTGAACAGATTTAGGTACTAATGTTGTATCATATGGACACTGTGAAAGTTTAGTACCGAAAGTTCAAAAACAAGGACTATGACATTCAAGAAGCAGAGCATGTTGGCTGGCCTACTGATGCTGATGAGGCCCGCTTGCGAGAACTTGTGGAAGAAGATGAGTATGCAACCATTCGAGAGCTTGCTAAAGAGTTAGACGTTATGGCATGTCCATTAGTCGCGCTATGCATGGCATAAACTTGACGTGCAAGTTGAATTAATTGCTGGGTACCGCATGAGCTGATTCAATTAGGACAGATATGTGCGGGCCCGCACTAATCTGTTCGATTATCAAAGCAAGGACAAAATTCTGGACCGGATCATCATGTGTGATGAAAAGTGGATTTACTTCAACAGCACAGGCCGAAAAGGGGGGTTGACCTGCGCCCTGTGAGCCCGTCGATAGCATTGCAAAGCGCAATTTGACTAACAAAAAGGATCATGATTTTATCTGGTGAGATTATCGTGGTTATTATCTGCAAAGAAATACACACACACAGTATTGCTATTGCTGGTGCTATCTTCCTTCCATTCTGCCCAATACGTGCGAAATGAAACCGACCTGTTTTTGGACTCGCGGCCAACAAGTTTCTAGAGCCGAAGACTTTGAAAATGTATCAAAACTTTGGCAGAAGATTACAGATTTGGTAGGTGATTACTACTCACACCAAAGGTATTGCTTTCTATGTTTCTTTTTCTAACTTTGTTAAGAACTTTGTTAACTTTGTTTGTTTAACTTTTGTTTTCTAACTTTGTTAACTTTGTTTTATTTTGGTTGAACACTTTCGTTACAATCAAGTATTTCAAACTTTTCGATAGGCAGGGAGAAAACTGTCATTTTGTAGATAAGTATGCAATGCATTGTGTAAAAAAATAATGTCATTTGCTAATTATACTAGAGATGCAATTTTTTATAAAAAATTATGTATTATATATTGCTAAAATCATATATATTGCTTATAAAAAATTTTATATATTGCCATCTTATATATATTGCTTACCAGAAATATATTGCTAAAAATAAAACAAAGAAAAATATTTTAAATGTAGGTACATTGACTTTAATCGTTCAGTTTAAAAATAATTAAATTTAAATTCTTTTCCTGTAAAATTGGCCACAACAGCCAGGAGTAACAAATTCTTAGAAAACAGAAGAACTTTAATTTCGCCTAGAAAAGCTAAATTAACGTTCTTCTGATTAAGATTGATAGTTGCTATCAAAACTTGCTATCTAGCATACTGTTTGGGAAATAAGTTCAATGGTAACGTGAAAATTTCAAAGGACAAGGCAATAAATAGCCTTAATTTTAAATGTTGGAAATTAAATTTTTTTAAATTTAATGTACGAAATTCTATAGCATTACTAGGAAAAAGAGGTTCCTTATATGAATAATGTTTAAAATAGCGTTAAACAGCATGAGTTTTAAGTTTTTGTGAATATTTATGTTATAAATGAAATATTAATCCCGTAACAATTGCAAGATGATGACGAGCGGGCCATCTTGGCTTTATAAAATGGTACAATACAGAAAATATGTTATATAATATTGTAGAGAAATTAGGTTATTTAAGCAGGAGAGATAAAAAATGAGCAACGCCTTCGCCGGGACTCGAACCACGAGCCTCTCGGATACGCGCCGAGCATGCTGACCACTACACTACGAAGGCGTGCTAAGAAGGCGGGAGAAATACCTTATAATATTACGCAAAAATGAATAGATTTAGATGCAAGATGTGAGCCAATGTTTTTGGTATAAAGCTACCAGTCAATTTGTTTAATGATAAATTGCAAAGAACTGATTTGTAAAACCTTTCAGCAGATTTTGAACACAATAAAATGAAGCTCCTTAAAACGAGACATACACATTACTTCACGTAGAATTTTACTCACCAAAACAATAAAGCGATGGTAACTACTGCAAAGGAAACGGCGATCGGTATCCACATCTTGAAACACAAAGCACGAAAGTGAAATTAGATGAGCCTCAAGGACGGCATGTTTTGAACAAAACCACTTTTCTGCTAGGACTTCAGTAACAGGAAACGACGTAACGCCTTGCAAGAAAAGTTACTCTTTGGATGCCGTAATTAGATACTAAAAAAAAAAAAAAAAAAAAAAAAAAAAAAAAAACGCGTAACTGTTCAAGTGCTTTGTATCCGTGAAATATCTGGTATGCAACTATTATCGGGCACCACTGATAAAAAAGTATATGAAGTTTCAAATGTATTTGAAAGATAAATTCGGTTTCTGAGTAGGATTTAAGTTCCCTATTCCCCATTTTTATCTTGTTTTTGTATCTGCCGTCTCATTTGTGGTTTGAAATAATTTTTATGTTTCAACATTTTGGAAACAAACAATAAAACAATATTTCATAAACCAGTTAAGAGACATAGAATGAAGATCACTTTTGACTTTATTTCCTTAACTATCGATTATAAATATATACTTTTAACTGCAAAATTTCCCTAAATAGTGTAGAGAATATGATGAAACCAATATACTAAATACTAAAAGGCAGAACAGTTTTTAAAATAAAATATACAATTTCGTTTTATATTTTCACCGCAGAGTAGAAACAATGATTAGTGATACGTGTATTATAATCTAGGCAGTTAAATGCAAACAGTTCCTGTACTTTTAACATTGCAAATTCGCCAAGAAATAAGACTATTAATTTTCTGACTTTTCAGAACATGTTTTCGATAGAAATAAAATATTCCCTAAAATTTTCCCTAAAAGTTTCTCGAAATACGAGGGAGCAAACACTAAGCAAATACGGAGTAACGGGGGGAAAACTTTGTGAGTACATTCGGCTGAAAGCTTTGTAATTGGCCTCCGTTGTTCGCATCTCACCGAATTTGGGTCGTAGAGGTATGAACGTTTTTCTTTTCGTTTGTTGAAGCTTTGACTGCGCATTTTTAAAGGGACTATATAGAAATTTAATTTTTTTATTTTCAAAATCGCAAAACTCCGGTATACTGTAATATCAAAATACCAGTAATAAAACTTTTATCAGAAAATGCTGCGCCTTATTTTTAAAAAATGCTACGACTGGAAGTGCATGTCTATGACCAATACTTACGGTAATTATGTCTATATCCTGCTTTTACAAACGCTTTTCTGTGCAGAATATATTTCTTGGAATGGCCGAAAAATGCGTCTCTCGTTGCGTTTAACTAGGGCCGGAATCTGCGGACCCCAGAAAGCTTCGACATCACGATTAATAACTTTATTTAATGGCTGATTTAAATATGCAACAAGACGCATCTGAAAACACATAGAAAGTAATCATAAAAGCTGAAGGCGCAGTTGCTTATGAATAAAAACGATGATAAGATGCGACAAATATAACACTGAATGTTAATATACGATTAGATATTAAGACGATAAAAGAGCCCACCAGCGGCCGAGCGGTAAAGTCGCTGAACACTGGTAGTTCGGTCCGAGGTTCGAATCCCGCGAACGGGCTGGCTGCATGGGTGTTTTCGTGGTTTCCCCCATGTGTACGTGTATACGAGCCAGTTTCCCTTAGAAAGTCCTCCACGAAGGCATCCCTTGCCTTAGGCAGATAGCCATAGTGTACTTTGCCATAATTAAATACACACACACACACATTAAGACAATAAAATATCAATATGTGACCTTCTCTCATGCACTTTTTCTTACTGCATTTGCTACGCACAGAATATTTTGTTTGTGTGTGTATTTCTTCCGATTTAAATTTAAATTAGTTTAACGTACCACTGCTATTGGCTAACCCTGAAGTCTCCTAGAATGCTCATTTTTTCCCAGTTTGATACCAATTACATTTTAGTTATGTCATTTTTTTTTCTGTTAGCTATATACAGAACTGATAACCATTAAGCAAAATAAGGGGCATCAAGGAAAGGCGTAAAAAAAAAATTTCCCTTTTTTTGGTTTTACCATGGAATGTATGAAATTGCAGCTAAACCAAGACAGAAAAAGAAAGAATGGGGGGGGGGAATAGGTGTTATACACTATTGAATGAATGTAAGGACACGAAAACCATCTAAGCACTTAGGACCTCTAGAAGTCTAAATCCGGCTCCGATTATATGTTTTTCGTATAGTTCTTTTTGCGGCTTTATTTTAAGTCTGAAATGCTGTTGTGAATGATTTGATAGTTTGCTTGAATAAAGATCTGGGAAATGAGCATTCCCAAAGCTTCAGTTTTATGAAGCTTTGGGAATGCTCAGTTCTTTTTCCCATATAAAACGGCTATTGCGTTTTTACATTACGTCATTTTGATTTACGAAAGGTTTCATGGGAATACCGTACTTTCGTAAATCTAGAGAGGTAACTTAATCGCAGCTATATTAATTGTAAATATTTGCTATTATGGAAATGTAGTGCCACTAGCAAAAAATTTGCTAGTGAAAAACTGCTGGGAGCCACATACAAGAATATAATCCGCTAACTCGTAATACAGTAAAGCTATTTACTCCCTTGTTTAGATAACTGAACTCCCCTTCAGACTGATTTTATGTGGTGTTGAGTACTATGATTTTATATGGTGTTATGATTTTCAGTTAATACACATAGAATTAATACAAAAATGATCGTAGAAAATTTTTGAGTATTAGTACTCAAGATGTTACCTTGTGCAAAGGAAGATGAACAGGTAACTAAGCAGTATAATGCAATCTTACTTTTTTCTACTTTCTGCATTATAATGAATAGGTGTATAATAACGACACAAAAATGTATTACTCCCCCATTACCGACTCGCAGTTTATTTCTATTTTATAATTTTTTTCGTATATACTTTTGAACACCAGTATTCTTCCCTTGCATATTAATTTCTTAGTTTAAAAAAATAAACGTGCTTAGTGGATGGATGGCCAACCCGCGGCCCGCCATATGTCAGCCTGTGCCCGCGAGTCAGGTTATATTAAAAAACGTTTTATGTACAATATACATAACACATAAAACAACATAATCTCAATAAAGATACCGTCGTGTTCCGGTTCTGCTTGGTGTAGTATGACGGAACTACGTCAGGCAGTGCTGCAAAACTGATGCCAGCCAATTTGGGCAACCTTGCAGTTGCTTCCTTTGTGTGCATTATTCTTACATGCCCCGTGAGATTTTGCTATCGACGTTATAATATTAATAAGAGTAGAAGCTGCTGTAACCAAGTAAAGTGTAATTTATATTGAATCTTGTTTTCTTTTTAAGTAAAGTAAGCAAATCAAGTTTTTTTCTATTATTAAAGTTTAACACGACAGATAATTTCGTAAAATAATTGTTTCACTTTTACCCTTGAAATCGACCGCATTAGCGGCAAGGTCATAAAAATATTTCATGTTATAGCTTTATCCATCTCTTTATTCTGCAATCTGCTGTCTTGTTCGGAAAGCGTTGCTCAAATTCTGTGTCCAGAAAAGAAAATGGATTTCCCTAAAACAATCGTGTCTGATCTAGTTGTTACTAGGCGCGGAAATGACTTTGAGAAACATATTGAAGGTAATTTGAAAAGTAGAGCACGCAAGTTTATGTTTTATGCTCTAGCACTGGATGAAAGCACAGATAGTATAGTAGATACCGTCCAAATGGCGGTTTTTATCCGGGCTGTTGATGTCCATTTTAGCATAGCAGAAGAATTAGCGACACTTTATTCACTCAAAGATATGACTTTCTTACGAGATTTGTTAGGGGCAGTTACATTGGCATTGGATCGATTCTGCTTACGACTTAACAACCTGTTAGGCTTACAACAGATGGTGCTTCAGCATTGTTTGGGAAACACAAAGATTTAATAAAACTGACTGAAAATGCAGCCTGCAGAGTTGATAATATTTCGGTGCTAAATTTTTATTGCAGCATTCCTCAAGAAAGTTCAAATCTCCTAAAATGGAACATATTATGAAAGTGGTCATCAAAATAGTAAACTCCATAAAGTCGAAGGGGTTGCGTCGGACCACGCAGAGATGAGAAATCGTGTGTATGCTCCCAGCAAGTCACTGTTTCCAAGCTTTTACGATGTGTCACACGACATGTTTCTGAATTCATAATTCCCAATAATTCGTTCCAAATAACAGTGCAAGAGACATAATTTCAAGATTAGTGCCAAAAGATTTTAGCGTTCTGCACTATGTGTGTCGTCAAGCGTCTTGATTTCAGGAGGGCTTAGGAACAAATGATCGTGTTTTTCCTCTGATATCGTTCCAGATAAAATGTATTGGAGTATGTTAAATACTACTGAAAAATTACGGAAGCGTGACTAAATCAGTGTGAAGATTTTTTCCATCAGAACAGCATGTCAGAAGGCTCCTGAACTCTCGAGCAGAGAGACCTTCGCTAGCAGGCTCCTCACACCACGAGGACTATAATTTAATTTCATAACTATTCTATGCTACCCATATTTGTAAAGAGCTCCTCGTAATTGTATTAAATATGTTTTATTTTAAAACGCATTAAGTATTACTCAACCTCACAAATGTGTCAATCATTATACGGAGTCGGATGCTCTACCGGCCGCTAATCAACACAGTGGTAACCTACATTTCCCCACAGTGGTGACCAAGGACTGACAACTGCATTGATGAGATAAAATATCATGAACTCTTCCGACAGCTATACGGCAATTCATCCTGAAACGCTTTATTAACTGCATCTTCACATAACTCCTCACGTAACTGATACACGTATTTCGTCCGTCAAAGCTTCATTAACTGCCAACCCACTTGCATCTTCACGTAATTGCTGGGTCATCTAAAAATTCAACTGCACAACGAAACCCTCCATAGAAATAGTGCGAGAAAAGCTTTTAATACTAAGAAACACCTCTTAGATAGCTTGACGTAACGCAACCAATAATAAAGGAAATATCAAGCTATTCTCGTCGCAAAGCGGACATTAGATTCATTTTTGCAGCCGACTCTTCGACAACATCCGTCACGCCGAGATTCTTCCACGCCGCTCCCGTCTTCACCGGAAAATCCGAAAAAGGCATCCATCTTTCGTTAAGAGTTAAAGGATTTCTCCTGGCAAATGCATCTAATTCTAGCTTTCAATGGTGTTTGTGATAGTGTAACAACTGTATAGTGATTTTGTGTACAGCATCGTATATTCAGTGACTTGTGTGTGTTTACCGTGGACTTTATATTCAACTGTGCTTCAAAAAATATTTTCCGCAAGTGCCCGTTGTTTCAGCGAATCGAATAGACGAAAGGAAAAACGGGGTATGTTTATTTCTTTCCTCCTATTAAGGCCAGCTTACATCTGTCCGAGCGACTCGCAGCGAGCCCTTCGTTACGACCGCTTTGACGATGTAAACGCTCACTTCGTCCACACAGAAACGTAGGGGAGATCAGTCAGCGAGTTCGTTTCTACTTTGAACCAGTTGAAAATCTATCTGGGCAGTGTTCGTCGTGTCCAATTTCTTTGTCATATCAAAAATGCCCAGATGGAGCAATAATCTAACTATGGCATTTTTTAATGCATATGCATCTTGTGAAGTATTATGGGATACTTCATTTCTTGAATATTACGACCATTGTTTAATAATACCTAAATATAAGGTGGATATAACTACTGATGAGAATGAATTTGAGTTTTTGATATTGTAGAAAAAACACTGAAGAAAATTAAATTAGGGTATCGGATTCAAAATATTTTTTAAACATATTTGTTTCTGAATTTTCTTTAATCAAAAAACAATTAAATTATATGTTATTCAGCTACCCAATAAAATAATTCAACTACCGAGTAAAATACAGTTTTCAATTTAAAAAAATAAGTGAAAGGTCAAACATTTATTTTATTTCATTGATATAAATTTCGCAGTTTCTACTCATGGCCAATTACATCTACTAAAATAAAATCTAAAATTTTGAAATTTTGTTTTATAGACTTTCCTTTTTATTTGAACCACAAATTAGATTTTATTTAGAAGCAATGAGTCCGAAGTATTTAAAATAAAAATCGCCGACTATTATTAACATGTTAAAATTTGAGGGTGTTGAAGAGTTCAAGCAAAAGATTAATAATTTTCGCTCAACCTCACGCACAGAAAATGATGGTTTAATCCTATTAGTCCTACCGGTGCACACAGGATATGGCTACTTTTGGCGACTTTTATGATGAGCAGTAAACGCGACATATACGGTGAGTAGTAAACGGGTCATTTTGGTGTTGGCGATAATTTTCAATATCATGCCAACCGTATACTAGGATTTTACCAAAATGGCCTTAAACACTTATGGAATAAATATGCTGATTGTACATTTTGGCACTCGAAATAAGTATTGCAGAGAACTGTAGGAGTCACCCGTCTCCAGAAACCGAAGCGCTATCTGCGTTTTAATTTTGCTAGCAGAGCATCTCAAGAAAAGTTTTTTTTTTTTAATAAGTGGAATGACTATTTCCAATAAAATTTCAAATTATCCTTCACTCATTCTGATGAAGTTTTTGTAACTTTGGATATCCTCGGCCCGAAGTTCACTTGAAAGTTGATTTAATGCTCTCAATTCATCACGGCGAGCTAGACAGTCACGTTTTGATTTTCTTTTCTTCTCCTTCTTTTTTTCTTCCCCCCAGAACAGAAATTAATTCATTGGAAACTGCTTCGCAAACTTCAAGCGCAGTAACTTGCACGTCGGTATCCATTTCGCAAACAAACGGAGGCGAGTTGTTAGTTCTCTTTAATTGGTGTAAACAATCTATCAGAAAACAGGTCCGTTCCCTCGGTTTGAGGCGCTCGCACAAGGGACCCTACGAAAGTCACTCGAAGAAGTATAAACCGGCCTTTGTGTTGCCTTGCCTCTAAAAAACGCGGTCAAACACGGCTGACAGGCGTCAAACACGGCAGGCGATATCACAGAACGATAATCCACACTCCCGATAGGCAATGATCCTGCCTTTATCGAATTCCGACACTTTCTGGTTAGCATTTCTTATTATTATTCGAGGCATGACATGATATTCTGAGCAAACTCATTCCTTACAAAGCGTTTTCCAAATGAGAAATCCACTACACAACTTTTCTTTTATGCAGTGCTTCAGATGTCGTTTCTCCCTATTGCATCGTCTAAATGCGCTGAAATAGTAATCATTTGCATATCCCAATCTCTTCTTCTTTTCACTTAATTTTGACGTTCACCAGATTATTCCTTCCTTGTGTTGCAATTTTAATGGCCAGCAGTGTACAGTCATTCTTGGGAAATAAATCAAAAAGTATCCCCGAATTTGAAGAAAAAGAGTGGATTTGCAACTAGCCACCTAAAAGATGTTAATACTAATAAACGTATCAATAACTTGTTTGATATGATTTTCGTATTTCATATGAAACTTAAGATTTGGGAACAACAGGTAAAAATCTTCATTTACTTTCCTACATTGTTATTGCAATCAGATGTCACACAGCAGCTGCAGATAAATACGTTCCGTTGGTATGCAAATGGAAACTTGGATTCAAAAATTTCAAAATTAAAAACCATTTGTACATTTTGATGCATTTGGAACACCATTCTCTGCAGACATGAATTTATTGCCAGATGGATTACAAATCGAACATTGTGAAGTGTATTGTGATGCACGGTTAAAAGACAAGTCCTATCAGGTGGTTTGGAAGATTTCTGAGAAAAATATTTGGACAAAGAGAAATAAGAAACAGCCTGCATTTTATAAACGTGCTCTGACAATGACTGCACTGTTTGGAAACACACTTGGGAACAGCTTTTAAGTCAGATGAAGCATATCCAATTACAAGTGAGAATCGAATCACTTATGTAAATTGTCTGCGTGCAACGACATCAGTCGATAGGGACATTGATGCACTTAATATTGTCAAAAGAAACCATGAAACCTCACTAAATGAATTTTTTTAATATTTTTATTATTGAAATCTAACCTAAATCTAATAAATACATTTATTTTACAATTTGGTTTTATTTTATTTACTTTAATACTCAAAATTAATTGTGCGACCTGGCAGGAAACTAAAATCTGCCGAGCTGCTGAAACGTTTGGCCACCATGGTTTAAAACATTGCCAGAAAAATATAACACATAGACAAGTATCATATGTATCACATTCCTTTTAAGAAACGTAGAGTACCATCAGCGGTAATATCAACATTTTGGAGAAGTTTTCTCATGTATATGTATATATATATATAAACATAAAGCATCCAAAATTTAAAATAAAATTAAATTGGAATCAAGACAAGGTGATTCCCTATTAATATTAATAACTGAAACCGTAGAAAATGGTCTAAATTTCAATTAAACATAATCAAAATTCATATAAGAGTTCATCAATAGATTAAACTCGAAAAATAAAAAGCAAATTGATAAATAAAAAGCAAATTAATAGGAAATTGCCTTAAGTAATCAGTAAGATTCCCAGTCTCAGGCAGATAGAAAATCATGTTATATCAAGATCATCTCACTATCCTTTTTTTTACATATTTTGAAGAACAGTTTTTTAATGGCGCTTTTTCATTAATTTTTCAAATAGCATTTGTATTTCTGAGGAATGAACGTCTTTTAAATAACAGCCCTATCATAACCCTTTTTTTATACTTTGGCAAAAGAGCATTTGTCATTCTATAGAATGCCTAGGTGTTATATACAATGCCTAGGGAAAGTATGTAATAACACTCATACTTCATACTTTGCCTAAAAGCGTCAGGCATTTTATACAATGCCGACCTTTCATACTTTGCCGGTAACATATGTATGTATATATAAAGATCTATTTAGAAAAATTAATAGGAAAAATGGTTAAAAACATACTTCTAGATTCTTTACTCTTGTCAAATTAAAAATACATAATATATAAAACTTTAATACAATAATGATAGACAATTTTTAATACACTGTTCATAATCGAGGTCTATTCATACAATAATTAGTTTGAGACTAGCTTGCTGTTAAGTATTAAGATCCGTTCTTTTTTCTATTAATAATGGGAGTTCTCGGAGACTTAAAAACGGATAGCCTGAGATGAATGGCAGAGGTTCCTGAAAAGCAGAAAAAAATTTACTTTAAAAATGTTTAAAATACTTTCAGACAAATATAAAAAAGAAATGCATAAATATAACTTCTAGAATATTGTGATGGAATATTAAACAGTTTCTTAATTATTTCACTCTTAAAGTTATAAACCTCCTTTTTCGCAAATAAAAAGTCTCTGGAAAAAGTGAAACTTCCAACTTTCAGCTAGAAATTCAGTACCATTTCATATATTATTTCGGCAGCACCCATCAGTGGCCAAGTGAATAAAATCATCGAATACTACCAACTCGATACGGGTTCAAATTGCGACGAATGAGTTATCTACATGAGATTTTTCGTGTTTTTACTCTTATGGCATCTAAATTTAAATATTTCTAGTTATTATTTTATTTCTAGTTAAATTAATTGCTCATTCATTAACAGTAAACTGGATTCAGCTACCGTAGCCTTGGGCCTGGATTCAAAACCCGAGGAAGGCATACATGTTTGTTATTGTAGAGTGTCTCTGCGGCATGGAGGCACTTAAAATATTGTCCAGCCAAAAGTCCTGGCCAGAATTTGATGTTAGTAGAAAAGAAGACTTTTGATTGCGTTCCCCGGCCATTTGGTCGCTGAACACTGGTAGTTCGGTCCGAGGTTCGAATGCCGTGAACAGGCTGGCTGCACGAACGTTTCAGTAGTTTTCCCCATGTGAAATGTGTATACGAGTCAGTTTGCCTTAGAAAGTCCTCCACAAAGGCATCCCTCCTTAAGCAGATAGCCCTCGAGGCTTTGCCGTAATTAAATAAAACCAAACAAATATTTAAAAAATCAGGTATTTCCTCCAAAATTTGACCTGGAGTCGAAATGCCACTGTAAAGAGACCAAAGCCATGCAGCGAAAGCATTTTGTTTACTTTTATTGTGACTTTGCAAATATAGCCAATTAATTCGCCATCAGATGCATGGGATTTCATGCCAGTATAATTTTGTGTAGCATTTTCCTAATGCAAACATAAAATAATAAATATAATTGACTTGATTTAAACTGTATTTCAACATTTTCTGCATAGAAATTAATTTCATAATTAATAAATGGTAAATTTTCTATCTTATTATACTAAATGTATTCATATAAATACCACTTCTATTATCCATCTATGTTTTGAATCATAAATGCTTCTTTAGAGAGATCTTGCCGAATGCCTCATTTACTACTATTTTAAACTTTCTTTTTATTTCACGTGGCTAGGTAAAATGTTGCAAAGTACTAAAATCTTATAAACAAAAGCTACAAACAACAGACCTAAGAACAAAAAGACCGAAGTCATCGCCTAAAGAGCGTTCTTGCCTTCCAGTATCTCAAATTTTAATTCTATAAGACCACGAAGAGCCCCACACATCGGAGCAGGTAGTCTCTGTCCTTCCTTCCCCAGAGTCACAAAGTGGGAAGTGAGATCGCTTGAAATTCCTGTGCGGTTCAGGTGGGCGCATGGCAATCACATCCTGTAGACAGACAGAAATCCGAAACTGCATTGCGTCCTGGACGATCGGAAATAATGGAAGGACTTCACATTCTTCAAAATTTTAAGGCTGTACGGGTTTGAAGATCTCGTAAGATAGTACATGTAAATAAATTTTTAAAGGCAGTTTAATTTTTCAAAAAGAAATGCTTGTATTAGGATAGTGTAGTAAGCTGGCACCTCTTTTTGCAAGGAAGTCCGCTTGTTCATTGCTCCAAAAGCCACACTGACCAGGCACCCACTGGAGAATGATTTGTTTGAATTCTTGGCATTGCAAAATTTCAGGTGTTACTAGGTGTTCAACAGAGTTAATTGATTGAATGGCTGTGTGAAAATCCGAAAAACTTGTAATGGACAGCTAAGACTATTTTTAACTAGACAACATATTTTCTTGCCTTTTTCAAATTTCTCAAACCGAAGTTCAATCAACTACACGTTCAAGAAATTTGTCATAAGAAAGCGGTCAGAGCGTTTATTTAATTTGAAAATCATAGGCGAAAGCTATGAGGTCGCGTATTGCATAATATTTGTTAATACATGAATTAATATTAAACTCTATTATAAACGATTAAGCATATTGTATTATACTACTTACGTATTAACCCAACCATCTTACTACCCAAGATGCCAAATTTTCAGGATGCGCCCGACTCTGGCAACAATGCGCATAACAGTTCTTTAAGCAACCATGCTGATAACAATTTTTCAATGAAGCAATGTCGCTTTCTGTTAAATTTTCGTACTTTTGGTTGTATTCCAAGTTTTAGCGCTTTTTAAAGACAAATCGTGATAAATTTTGCATTAAAATCAGTTTTAAAATATATGCTTGTGAAACTGCTTCAGAAGAAGAAACTGTGGTAACATTTCTGCAGAAATACACTATTTTGTCACAATATCACTAAAGGTTGACTTGAATATGCTATTAAAGGGAAAGCCTTGGAACATCTATCAAACAAAAGAAGTAAAACCCGCTTGCAAATTTATTGATTGATTTTCGGGATAAATGCCTAACTAAACGTAAAATATGTACGTAATAATATATATATAATAAGCAAAATTTTTTCTCTGTCATTCTTTTTCTCTGACAAACTGCGCCAGGATGGTTGCGCTAATACGTAAGTACCCTTTATATTTTAATAAAAATTATATCTCTCTATCATAATTTCAAGGCAGCTTTGAATAAATGAAGTTTATTATTTATTCCCATAGCGTTATTTTGATGAATTACCTTAGTGGTTTTCGCTTTTCTGAATCTGTAGTGTCTTAGAATGTTTGCCATGCAAACTTTTATTTCCATCAAAGCAAAGCGCATGCCCAAGCAATTTCGAGGCCCCGCACCAAACGGCAAGTATGCGTACTGAGGATGATTTAGCTTACCTGAGTCATCTTTAACCCTGAAAACAAAATGCAAAAGTTAGTACAATATCATATGCCATGATTTTTAATATTTTGATATTATGTGAAACAAACAAATTGGGCAAAGATTATGATATTTATTTATCATCAAATGAAGAAAATAATGGCGTCTAATTTACACACGATGTTTAAAGTAGATTACACAAGTAAATTTCTCTTGAGCGTTTGATCACAGACTCAGGTTTCAGTTTAAGAAATTAATTAAATAAGATTATTTCTCAATGGGCGATACTGTAGTCACTCGCTGCCTTCTAAAGAAACTATCTAAAACTTAAATTTTCATATGAGCCCCATATGAAACAAAAGCAGCCGAAAGAAATATTTTTCGTAGATAAAATATTTAACCATTTAAAGCACATTTTCCCAAGTTCGAAATTATCCATTATAACATTAATTACAATTTCTGAGAAACTTACAGTACTTTACAGTAGACAGTACAGTACAGTTACAGTACTTACAGTACTTTACAGTAGACAGTACAGTACAGTTACAGTACTTACAGTACAGTGAGTTACTTTACAGTAGTATTTTTAAATACTAAATTATGCAGTATTTCCCCTTGATAAGTCTGTCTCCTGCCTGCTCAACAATTATTCACTTATGCATTTTTATAAAATTTTAGGATTAAAAAATTTATTGGAATTATATATTTTACATTTATTATATATTCGATAGATCTTAGTATCATAGATTTTGATACTTTGCTCTTGATTTACATATGCTCTCAGAATTTAAATCATATTGTAGATTAGTTCGCAGCAACAATTAATCATTTGTAATTGAATTTCATTTAAAATTTAATTAACTTTAAATTTGCTTTTTACGAATAGAGAATGTTTGTTAAATGTTCTCTGTTGATTTGTAGTATGTCAAAAAATTAGAATATCTCAAAAAATAGTAGCATTTAAAAAAAATTTTAGTATCTCAAAAATATCTTTATAGTATCTCAAAAAAATTTTTAATTCAGTAAAAAATACCTACTTTAATTTTTGACATGATTTACATTGGAAATTTTACGCTGCGTCGGGGAGGACTTCAAAACTTTCAGATGTACTGTTATAATGAAATACTTTAGAATAGTTCAACTAATTTTTGATACAGAAACACAATGGTTTTCGAGTGGAAGGAGATTGTAATCGAGTCTGATGTATCCTCTTCCTCTTGCTAACTTTACATCAGATTTGACTGAAATCCTCTCATTTGTACTTTTTCTGGTGTTGGTAATTTTTCTAGTTTTTATAATTTTTAGGTTTTAGTTTCACATACCGATTTGCGTTAGCGGCGTTGAGTGTTCTAGCAATTAGGTTTGTCTCGCCGGTTTACTACAAATTAGAGTTCTTCCTGGGCATTAAAGTATTCTGTGAGCCGTTAGGTTAATCTACCACACCTTGAAATTATTAGTTGCTACGTTATTCTGTTAAGCCAGAAGTAATTGGCTTCTTGTAACCCAAGTTGGGTCATTTGTTAATTTTATGTTAGAAATGAAGGGTCTAATACACCCTTCTTTTAAAGGCTAGAATATAATTCTTCAACAGTCCTTTTAAAGTCTAATTTGTTGGTTTCTAAAGAGAGATAGACTTTACACTCTTCTTATAAATGTTTTATGCCAGAAGTTTTTGCCACAGCTTTTTGTTCCAACGTCATTTATGGTTTTTCAAAACACTGATCAATTTGCGTAGGATAAAAGTGAGTATTGCCATTCGAAAATTTCGAATTATTTTTACTCTAATCGTAACCGGGAGACCTCTGTTGTTTTAAATCATCACAATTTTGAATGCATACTAAATTGAAATAACACTATCTGAAATTTCATTTCGATTGGTTTAGCGGATAGACTGCTGGGGGTTCACATAACGGGGAAGTTTTTTTATGACCGCCCTGTATATATATGTATGTATATACACTCTTTTGCAAAAACAAATCGAAGCACCAAGAAGGATGTTTGCGATCGTGACGAAATTTGGCATGCAAAAACATCTTGATCGAACATGCAAATGATCAAACAGTAACAGAGGCGAAAAATATATCTTATTTTTTTTTGTTGTTGTTGTTGTTGCTCCCATTGTAATTCTGTAAAGAAGCAACTAAAGATGACATTACGACGATATCGAAGACATTATAGACAACTAAACGACTTCGAACGCGGTCGCAGTGTAGGGTTACGTGAAGCTGGGTGGTTATATCGAGCAATAGGCCGCCACCTGCAGCGTACAGACACTGCTGTGCAAAGATGTTGGCACCAATGGTTGCTAACAAAGAAACTGCCGACGAAATGAATGCTCTGGAAGGCCAAGGAGCACAAATGCGAGGCAAGATAGGATGACTGTTCGCCCGGCCCGAACCGTCCCAACGGTATCATTGTCGACCATTCAACGCACTACAGCCATGTCTATACCTCCCGTGGTACCGTCCACAATCTCATGGCGCTTGTCTGAGGTGGGGTTACGTTCACAGAGGCCTTTAAGACGTTTGCCTTTGACTTCACAACATCGGCCAAGTCGTCTGGAATGGTGTCACAGCCGATCATCATGGCTGCCATCAGACTGGCATCGTATAGTGTTCAATATGAGTCCCGCTTCCCTCTTGAAGCAGATGAGCACCGTGATCAGGTCTGAAGAGGAAGGGGCCTGCGGTCCCAATCAGCCTTTGTTTTACAAAGGCATACAGCCATAAACCCTAGTTTGATGGTGTGGTGCGCTATTTCTTATGACAGCAGGTCATCTTTATTCATTCTCCGTACATCTTTAACAGCTCAACGATATTTTGATACCAATTGCATTAGCCTTCATGGCACATAATGCTATTGCCATTTTCAAACAAGATAATGCCAGGCCACATACCGCTCATAGATCTCTGGACTGTCTCCGTGCGGTTGATACTTTTCTTTGTCCAGCAATGTCACCAGACCTTTCACCAATCGAGCATGTCTGGGGTATGGTAGGCTGCCAGATTCAGACGCCACAAAATACCGCAGATCTGGAGCGATAACTGATAGCCTGGTAGAATGTGTTGCAGGATGACATTAGAAACCTCTATCGCTCTTTGCCTCGACGAATTCAAGCATGCATTGCCGCCAGGGGCGTTTCCAATAACTGCTAATTTGCACACTCAATGGTTGATTGTGAGCCGTGAACAGGTACTTATGACCTTGATTTTTAATCATTTTATTATCTGTGTATGACTTATACACATATTCAGTTTCACCAAAAATAACCACTTCCTTCATAGTGCTTCTTTTTTTTCTTTTTTCTTTTTTTTTCAAAAGAGTGTATGTATATATGTTTGGTTATCATAATAGGTATTTCAATCTGAATGATTCAATTTCAACAATGCAGTCGGTGCACAGTAGTTAATTATAGCTTTAAAATTGCTGAAGTTAACTCCAAAAAGTCCACCATATATTATAAGAATAAACATATTCTTTATTCTAAAATATGAGCTTTAATTTCTTAATTCTGATGATTATACCAGTGACAAAACTTACAATTTTTGCAAGCTAATCAATAAAAAATTACTAGCATTTTAAAAAGAAAAGCAGCAATTAGATGTATGGTGAAGAAGAGGATCTTTCACTGTTGTTGAGAATGAACTCATCTAATCCTCAAACAAACTTAGGCTTGCTTTTCTTGTATAAAATATTTGCAGAGGAAAAAAATTACAGAAAATTCTTATTTTGTCCAACAAGTTTGGATGAGTTTCCGCTCAAACTTTGTAACAGCTTCGCAAACTCGGAATATTTTGCAGCCCAATGTTTCCTCTTTTACTTGAAATATTTACAAATTTAAAATTTTTCCCATAAAAGATTTCACATTAAAACAAACAAAGCAGTGATATGCATAAATATAAAAAACTTTATACAAATATTTATGCAAATTATACATGCTGGATATCTATAATCAGTGTTAAACCACTAACAGGAAATAAGTGATCAATGTGAGCTATAAATCGTTTATATGTTTCCAAAATATAGGTATGAAAATGAGAAAATGAGAAATATAAATATGAAAATGAGAAATATAAATGGAAAACTCTCATAACAGCCTTTCCATCTTTTCATTTCAAATTGAAAATATCAAAGGAGTAACAAGTTAACCGTTGAGTGTTTATGCTTGCTTCTCTTTATCGAACTAAGGCATATTTAGAAAGAAAAGAACATTAATAATGAGTAATTACATTACTGTTTAGGAAAGATTTGTCTCATTAATTAAATTAGAAATTTCTATTATAACTGATTAATACTGAGTTACACTTTGATAATGGAATAGATGCCCTAATTTTTTATCAATAACTCAATGCATCAATATCTTTTCATCAATATCTACTGGATCTTTTAAAATAATTCTTAAAATATTTCAAATAGGATATGCGTTTTTATTAGACGTAAGACTTATATATCTGCTATTTATCCTTCAGCGTAATCTTTTGATGTAATTTCATTAAACTACTTTAGAGCAGTCTCTTGATGCAGTTTCACTAAAAAACTGGTTTTTGGGGAATCAGGACACACAGAGTTCATAATAAGGGATCTTGGAATTTTTACTCAGCTGATATGGCATCACTCGTCTTCCTGTTATAATATCCCAGCAGTGAAGTTTTCATTGTGGAAAACTGTAAACGGCTTTCGTTTCACAATAATATCACATCACCCCTCAGTCATTTTAAAACTAATTACGGAACATCCTTTACAATGAAAGACAGACAGAAAAAATAGAAAGTATAATTTTACCATCTCTCCGGATTAAATTTTTCTGGTTCAGGAAAAAATTCGGCATCATAATGCATGGCATATATAAGGAAAGCTATCCGTATGCCTTTTTCAACGGTTATTCCTGTATTTCCCAGTTTGTAGTCTGTTATACCCGTCCTCTCTAATCTGTAAGATTTCGGATTATTACGTAAAAATTTTATATAAATAAATAAATATCTTAAAATAAATTCACATTAAGATATATATAAAGATAATTTATTAAAAAGTTAAATAATAGATAAATGAGAATACTCAAAATTCTGAAAAACATACATATCTGAAACAAACATTCATATCTTAATAATCATGATGAAAATCTTTATCTGCAAAGTTTAATTCTGATAAAAATAAAATTTAAACTTCTGTTTTAAATTTCCAAGTAAAATACTTCATACATGAGTTGTTTATTAAAGGAAACTTTGAAAACAATACTTAAATGGAAATACGACAGGGTATAGCTTTGTTTCGTTTTTGAAAGTACAGCGTTCATCTAAAATCTTTGTAAACTGAAATGGACCAAAACAAAAATTCAGTCCTATTTAATTTATCCGGGAAAAATCCTTTAGAGCTCCTCAGATTCCCAGAATTAACAATTAAATGATAAAAATAACAAATACGGCCTAAAATGATAAATGAAATGATCAAATAACTAATATTTAAACGGTCTACATAAACAGGAAAGGTATGTACAATGTAGTTTCGCTTTCCAAATTCCAGAATTTAGCTATCACAAGGTAAGGTTAATATAAGGGTGGCAATGACAAAGGTGCATTCAACAGAGGTTTTGGAGAGTCTGTAGAGTGGATATAAGAAAGGGAGGTCGAAAATCATTGGTTAATTTATCGTACTCTTCTATCATCATCATCCCACCGAGTTTAAATTTTTGCCTTAGTTACCAAAAGCCCAAGCTTCTCGTCCGCCAATATGATGTCAAAAATTTGAAATACAACAATATGCTAAATGCCTTAGACTGATGCATATTTGCTATGATGTAATTCTTTGGAAGCAGACAAAATATTCTGCAAAATTTTCCTAAGCCTTAAAGCTCTTTCACAATCTAAGCTATATGTACCTTTATCATTCGTTGCAATAAAGATGAGCAAAAATTTACGTTTCGCAAAACGCTTCTTTCATAAAACTATATTTCGGGTTTCTTTCGTAAACCCCAAAAAAGGTGTTATTGCACTAGCGTTCACTAGGCAAAATTCATTTTCGTTTTTTTTTTTCTTTCGGGGGTGTCTTTTTTTTAACCCAAAAGTGCGGTAGCCCAGAAGGGCTATTAGTCTCAAAACGGCATTTTGTGGCGTTTCACTGTAAATGGCGTTTTTTATTTTTAAATTGTTGCCACCGAATATTATCGCCCTGTATTATATTTACAGAAATTAAATAATTAAGAATCTGCATGAATATATGTATGTTTCTGGCACTGTGAAAAAGCGACGGTACCTAGAGCCGTCCAATTTTGAATAACGTAAATCCTTCTCCCGAACATGGACACCTGGACGTCCGAATTTTTAATTTCGAATTTGTTTTAATATCTATTTCATATTTTGTAAAACTTAACGAATTTTTGATTAACAAACTCAATGAATTTAAAGCAAGCAATGGCAACACTCTACTCTCTCAACTATTCAAAAAAAAAAAAAAAAAAAAAAAAAATTATCTGCAGCGCGCGAGACTGTCTATCGGAAATTCTAAAGAAGGCTGTTTTTAACTATTTTTAGACCAAAAGAGCATTAGCCTAAATGCTTTCGAAACCAGTACGTAAATGAAAAAAACGCCACTCTGGGGCGTAATATAAAATCTGAAATCTTTCAGATTTTTTTTTTATTTGTTTTGTGTATATAAACCAAAGCATATGCTTACGCAGATGTTTCGTAAAAGCGAAATCGTAAAAAGTTAATTCTTGTAAAGTAGAAAGCATATGCGTTGATATATTTTAATCATAGTAGGAAGATTTTTAATGAATATTCGATGCAAAGTATAATACTTTGTCAGAAACGTGAAGTTTGTGATAAAATAACACTTTATATAAAAAACACAATGAAACTTTTTTTTCTTCTCACATTGTGTCTACAGGATATTAATACTTAATGGAAAGACATAAGCTCTATTTGAAGACTGCTTTATGAAATAAATCAGAACCATTATTCTAAAAGACATCTAAAATGACAGTTATATTAAAAAAAAAAGAATCACGTGTCACAATCTCAGATTGCAAACAATATTCTTTGTTGAAATGTCCCAACAACACCAAGTTTCAAGAACACTGTTGTGCTTTTAATTTAATAAAATCTTAAGCTAATCTTAGAAGCTAATATCTTCTCAAACCGTTGATGGAAATCTTAGGTTGTTTTATTACACTTTTATATAATTTTATATCTAAAATAAGATTATTGCTGAAATATATAGTTTTTTAAGATTTTGCAGATTAATTAGTCGTGTTAAAAATAAAATTATAAAGTTTTCTTGCCATCTAAACATTTAATCAAAAATCTCCATTACAAAATGGACTGAAAAATAAAATGCGATTCCTTTAACATAAAAGTCACTTACAACGTCAAGATAGGATACATTCTTAATGTTTCAGATATAACGTAGTCTAAATATTTCATGTCCCGTGTAACATCATGATCCACTTGGCCCTGTAAGGAAATAAATTATAATTATTTGATTAATATAAGAATTACATAATTATTTTATTAATTTAATATTCTTGTTTCGTTAATGTGATTACGACAACTCCTCAAGGGCTATCTGCCTAAGGGAAGGGATGCCTTCGAGGAGAACATTTTAAGAGAAACTGGCTCGTACACACGTTACACACAAAAACTCCCATTCAGCCAGCCTGTTCGCGGAATTCAAACCTTAGTCCGAACTACCAGCGTTCAGCGAATTGTACCGCTCGGCCGTTGGTGAGCCAATTTAATATTATAATAGAAATTGTACGTACAACGTTATTTCAAACGATTAAGTTTATCGAAAAGGAAGGAAACTATTTCGACCTTTTATAAGTAATTATTTAATAAAAGAATGGAAAAGAATGTTTTTTAATTTATTCCGAAAATACATAAATGAATATCTGCCTTCTTCCTAGAATGACCGTGAGCTAATATTTAACTTTTTTTTTTTTTTTTCTTATTACATGCTCCACCCTTGTGCCCTATACGGAAATAGAGGGATGCCCCGTAGAGGTCTTTTTAAAGGAAACTGGCTCGTATCCACGTTACACATAGGTAAAACCACGAAAACGCCCATGCAGCCATGCCCGTTCGCCGAAACACGAACCCCGGACCAAACTACCAGTGTTCAACGAGTTTTACCCCTCGGCCGCTGGTAGGCCCTTGTATTTTACATTTGGCTACAAAATTCGCCCTTGAAATTCTTTACGGCGACCTACTATCCTTAGCTGGAACTGTGTCAAAGATTTAACGATGTATTCAGACAGTTGTCGAATTTGTGATGCATGTTGTAGAAACTCGAACTTTGTTTAAAACCAAAGCTTCTTAAACTGCGGGATGGGGATCTGCAGCAGGGAGTCGTTAAAAAGTTTAGGAGTTTGATATTTCTTTAACTTACTATTATAATAATTTTACAATCACCAAATAATTTTACACGATGTATCTGAAAATAGATAAAGATAAGCCAATACAGAGTAAGAAAAAAAGAAAACAGTTTTTTCGACGCATTCTTTTGATAATATAAACATTCATTTTACTTGCTTCGCACGTGATGCTGTCATTTTATCTGTGACTTATTTAAAATTTTCACATTGTATGCCTTAAAATTAGAAATTAATGACCTAAAACTTCAACAGTATATTACAGTACAAGTGAAAAAAATTGACGGTTTCACTCATGCGTGCGTCGGATTTGCGCATTGCTTATGGGGTCCCACAAAATTTTCTTAAATATTATGGGGGTCCAGGGGTCGCGAAAAAATTCTCAGTGGTAAAAAGGGGTCCTGAATGAGAAAATTTTAAGAAGCCTTGGTCTAAGCATATGTTTGGCAAAGTGCAGCTCAACGTTTGAAAATTTATAAATTATTGTAATGTGAGTAACATTTTTTGAAAGTTCCAAAAACTTAAGTAAAATTGGTGTTTTTTCTATCCACAAATGTATCTTAAATGGGTCATCATAGATAGTTTATGGCTAAATGTTCAAAGTCCCGTATTTCTCTATTTACAGTTATTTTGCCTTTATCATAAATAAAAAATCGAACTGTGGGAAATAAACTCGAGTGTTTTCGAAGCTTCTACAGCTTTTGTTCTTTTACCTTGATTAATAAAAATCATGATTTTACTAAGATTAGTTTATTGTTTCAAAACTGAGCGTACATGATCCAAACTATCTGAAATTTTCTTAATATTGCACCCTATTTATTCACCATATAAAATAACAGTGTTTTAAGTAAACATAATAGTACGATCCAAAATGATAAGCTTTCCTAAATTAGGATTTATGTACCATAAATTGAGAAATCGAATATGGAAAATTTAGTAACATTTCATACAAAAACTGTTGCTAATTATCATAAGGCTAAAAGTTATTAGTTTCGCTTTTTATAATTTTGACTGAGGTATTTTTGGTAGTCTAACTTGTTTAAAATCTCCATCTTTTTGCAATTTCACTCTCATTCATCGGTCTATTTTAACAGAAGAAGAGATATAAAAAACATTATTTATTGTATCAACACTTGAGAGCACAGATTTCTGTCTCAAGCTTAAATTTTAATTTATTCAATATGGGACATGGGAAACATTAGTGACGCAGGTAGAGCGAAATTTTGATTAATTATATAGCAATAAACGTTCATACGAAGCTTCAGATTTTTATTAATCATGCCCATTATGCTAGTGCAGTTATCAACATTCTAATAAATTAAAAATAATTAATTTAACAAACTTATTTGTTAAAGGCACTGTCAACACTTTAAAGGAGTTTTTTTTCTTGACAATATCTTCGTTAACATTTTTGACTGCAATAGTTTTTGAAGAAGAAAAATAATCATTTAAACAAAATCGTCGAACCCTGCAATTTTGCTCTGATTAATTAAAATACCAGATTCGAAGCAGATGTTATTTATTCTAATATCATTTAACAGCACATATTCGTAACCTAAGCTTAAATTTGAATTTGATTCAATAAGGGATGTAGAGAACATTAATAAGCACGAACACCGAAATATTGATTAATTATATTGCAATAAACTATTCATATGAGGCCTTTTCAAATTCCATCAATTACTTAATTATAATTATTACCACCACTCATACTACTTCTACTATATAATTATAAAATGCAAAATTAGGAATATAACTCACGTATTTGTTAAAGGCATCGTCCACTTCTTGAATGAGTTTCTCTTGACAGTCAGAATTTGATGCAAGCGAGTAAGCCATGAAAGTGAGCGTGGATGCTGTCGTTTCGTAGCCGACAAAGAAAAATAACACACACTGAGCTATAAGTTCGTCCCGAGATATATCTGAAATATATTTATTGGGCAATTCAGTTTGTATTATATATGGAGAATATACATTTTTTATTTTATGCATTATGCGTATTATAAATTTTTTGTTTAATCTGTGTTGGGTGTGTTGCATTAACTATGAGGCTGATTGTTATCGGCCAGGAGGGTTGCAGCAAACTCGCATGTTACATCACATATAGAAACGTTTCGCAGTTTAGAGAGATATAAAAAACTACTAAAAGATATCATATATATATTTAACAACAAATTCATTCAAAACATCTAATCGGAAACCATGTTGCTGTCAGATTTAACTCAGTTAATATAATCTTATGACCTAAAGACGTATTAACGTACGGATATGTAGCTAGGATTTTTGTCGAAGGTATATTAAAATCTTTTTATTTAAAATGCATAACGCTTGCTGCAAGAAACTCGAGTTTCTTGCACTAATGTTTTATCTAACTTTGTTAGATATTCTGGCGTTTAAATAATACAAATCATTTCTTCAGAAAACTTACAAATATTTTTAGACTTTTAATAAACTTATTTAATAACTAAATAATATTAATAACTCAAAAATATACTTAGTTTTACTTTTAAAACTCTCACATCATTGCATCAATCAATCTTTGGATGTAATGTATTGTTATAGTAGGGAAAGAAAATGGAAAATCCCATGACAGATGAATTGGCTATTTTTCAGGCAGATGCAACGAAAATATAACATGTTGTAACGTAACGTAAAGCTCTAACATAAATGTGAAAACTGAATTTAAAATAAAAATGCGAATATAGTTTTAGAAAGAAAAAATTTAAGAAATACCATTAAAATAGATTTATTTGTTTAGAATTAAATTAAAGGTTAAGCAAAATTTCATCTAAGGATTATATTTCTTTTTCGTATTGGGTAATGCTAAAATCAGATAAATATTAAAAATTTGTATTTAAATATATTTATAATTATTAACAAATATGGACGGACTGCAGCTCTTTATTCTGTTTAATACGGCTACATTTGTGTAAAGAAATAATTTGACTTTTGAAATATAATTAGAGTTTAGAAGAAATTTTGCCGCGACAAGTTCGATATTTCTCAAAATGAGCTGTTTATTTTGTAAAAAAAAAAATTAAATTCTATGTATACAAGTAATAATTTAAAAATAATATTATGATATTCAGCTTTCTATAGTCTTTAAAATAATAAAAACAGAAAGAAAGAAGAATTCTATTTCTATGACTACACTGGTGTGCAAAAATTAAGGACGAGACGGTTTTTTCAATATAACTTTGTACAAAAGCTTTCCAAATCAACACATTTAATACCGTAAGATCCCCAATACGTAAGGACATGAGTAATGTAAGCAACACTTACTAAAAGAGAAATCAGAGGGATAAAAGGAAGCTTTATTGAAAAAGTAGCATGGAGCGCAATGCGACTGAAGGCCGAAACATCCCTGTGATGGGTGTCCAGCAAGAAATATCCGGTCTTTAATAGGGGATATGATCTCCCCTGACTGCTAGGCAGGTTTCACAGCGTCTGCCTATGTTGAGAATGAGGGTGTCAATGAGTTGTTAAGGCATTGCTGCCCATTCGTCTTACAGCGCCAATCGAAGCTCCAGAATCGTTACTGGTGGTAAGGTACGAGCTGCCAAGCGTCTGCCTAGAAAATCCCATACATGCTCGATGGGATTGAGATCCGGCGATCGTGCCGGCCAATCCATGCGTTCAATATCCTCACTCTCTAAGAGCTGTTCGGCAGCTACTGTGCGATGACATGGTGCATTGTCGTCCATGAAAAGGAACTGCCGACCCATAGCGCCTCTAAAATGACGCACATATGGAAGAAGAATCTCGTTACAATAACGGGTCCCGTTGACTGAACCTGCGTCGAAGATGTGAAGGTCTGTACGACTACCAAGCATGATGCCTCCCCAAACGAGAACACCGCCACCTCCATACCCGTCCCTTTCAATGATGTTCGAGGGATGATTGCGGCTTCTCCGCTCTCTCTAGATGAGTATGCGATGAGAATCGCTACTCAGACTGAATCTGCTCTCCTCTGTAAAGAGTACTCGTCCCCATTCATTGTCTCTCCAATTCCGGTGTTCCCGGCACCACAGAGAACGCCTTCTCCGATGGGCAGGCGTTAGAGGTACACACCGTACAGGGCGTCGTGCAAACAGACCACCACCATGCAGTTTTCGGGCCACGGTAAAACGCGATATCGGTCGTCCAGTCGCCTGTGTCGTGTGTCTAGCAATTTCTCCCGCTGTCTGCCGCCTGTTTCTTCTGGCCTGTAAGGCAATATACCGGTCATCTGCGGGTGTGGTTCCTCGTGGACGACCACTACTAAACCCCCGGATAGCTGTTCCTGTACTTTGAAATTATCTCCAAAGTCGTGAAACGATGCTGTGAGCAATTCCGAAGTCTGCAGCTACACTTGTCACACTGCGGCCTTCCTCGAACTTCCCAATGATTCGACCTCATGTAAAAGCATCCAGATGTCGTGTAACAGATTGATTATTCGCCTCTTCTCGCTGAGGCAGCAACTTGGTGTGATTTCAACTTAGTGCGATGAGAATCGCTACTCAGACTGAATCTGCTCTCATCTGTAAAGAGTACTCGTCCCCATTCATTGTCTCTCCAATTCCGGTGTTCCCGGCACCACAGAGAACGCCTTCTCCGATGGGCAGGCGTTAGAGGTACACACCGTACAGGGCGTCGTGCAAACAGACCACCACCATGCAGTCTTCGGGCCACGGTAAAACGCGATATCTGTCGTCCAGTCGCCTGTGTCGTGTGTCTAGCGATTTCTCCCGCTGTCTGCCGCCTGTTTCTTCTGGCCTGTAAGGCAATATACCGGTCATCTGCGAGTGTGGTTCCTCGTGGACGACCACTACTAAATCCTCGGATAGCTGTTCCTGTACTTTGAAATTCTCTCCAAAGTCGTGAAACGATGCTGTGAGCAATTCCGAAGTCTGCAGCCACACTTGTCACACTGCGGCCTTCCTTGAACTTCCCAATGATTCGACCTCATGTAAAAACATCCAGATGTCGTCTAACAGATTGATTATTCGCCATTTCTCGCTGAGGCAGCAACTCGGTGTGATTTTACTGCTATACGGCGTGCAATCTCTTTGCAAGAAATACTGATCTTACACCGACAACATGCTTTATACTACTCAGACACTCCTCCATTACGTCTACCTGCATATCTGCGCATGTGCTACCGTACATCACCTTACTTAATCTCCTGATTGGTCTTTCTGTCCGCTCTGCCTCTTCGTTCAGCTGATATGCTACTTTTTCGACTTCGTCCTTAATTTTTGCACACCAGTGTAACTGCTATGGTAATGCACAATGTGTGGATTAGAAAGAATTCGCGTTTCTGTGAATAACTGTTATGGTGATGCACAATGTGTGGATTAGAACATGTGCGGGCTATGTCGGAACATCATGAAGTACATACCTATAAGCAACACGATGTACTAAAAATATACTTCGAATCTTACATTCGGTAAACATTTTGGATATTTATAACTACAATTTATAACGGGGAAAGGAAAATCTCTGATTATCCAGATTGTATCTAGTGAAAAAATTAAATAATTTACACTTACATGTATGCCTCCACAGGGATCCTCCTATTAGAAGTTATATATAAAATGATAAATATTAACTTTTTTTGCACGAACCCTGTTTAGCTGGTAGTGCATTTTAAAATACGTTTTATAGCTGAAAATTCCTCGACAGCGAGCAATGTCCAAATCATCTTTGTTTTTATTCTTTCTAGGGAAATGCGAACAGGTTATGAATTACGAAATACTGCACAGTATGCCTGGGACGCTCTAGGGAGGACAAATGGAACTCGCTCTTTTATCCTCTCTAGGAGCTGAAAACAACGTTGCAACAGGAGTAGAATTGACTGCCACAAAGGACTGTTAGAGAGGATCATACGTTTATTATGAGCAGGAAGTGTAATCCTCTCTATTAAAGTGGATCAACCCCCCCCCAGTTGTATTACTGATAGAGGGGACCATATCCGTATTAGCTTCCTTTTCCAAACTCTATTGTACACCTTTTCGAAACAATGAGCCTTATTCACGATCGGACATGTATGCCATGACTGTTATTTTTTATATTATATTAATCTATGTCCGTACCATATTTCATTAAACTCTATATATCAGTTTTGGAGATGATCAATCAAATGGGAAAATTCTCTTAATTTTTAATATTGAATATTGCAGAAAATTATGGCAACATCTTCTTATATGCTGTTTGCGGTCTATAATAAGGCAGAGATTAAAACTCAAGCAGCGAAGAGCTATTCTCTGAAGCGCTTGAAGCGAGAATTAATCTTCACTACTCATAAATCGCAGTTAAGAATCACAACAAATTAAATTACATGTTCGTCTAATTAAAATTTGCATTGATTTTCTGGATTAGACAAATTAGTGTAAGAGATGACTGAAACATAAAAACTAATAATTAAGTTAAACTAATAATTAAACTTTCACCGAGACTTGAACCCTGGACCTTTTGAATACGCGTCGAGTATGCTTCCAATTACACCACGAAGGTATGTGGAAAGGAAGAAAAAAATACATTACAAGTGTAACAAATTAAAAATAAAATTATCACATTTTTTCCCCTCTCTCTCTCTCTCTCTATATATATATATATGCATATATATATATATATATAATTCTGCTGCATACTTATTATTGCTTATTATTTTTGCATTTTCCATCTGGTAGATTGTAGAAGTTCATGAGATATTAAATGAATTTGAAAATTTTTGCAATGTAAAATTTTAGCATTATTAATTCAAATCGGCTTGAAGTCAATAAAGTAACTCAATTAAGATCTCCTGTTTTCATCATAAAGGTATACATAATATATAAAAACTACAAGTTTTAGCTAATTTAATTTTCGAATCACGTTAAATGATTAATACGATAATTTAGTTCTCGTTTGAGGCGATAATATGTAGACTCGTCAAAAGGAATGATAAGAATTTAGACGACGATTATAAACATTTACGGTTCACAAAATGTACTTAAATATAGTTACTTACTTGTATACTTCAGAGATGTGGATATACCCTTGGTCGTTACACTTCCAAACTGATCTGCTTCATCATCATTTGTGTCAATTGTTTTAAAACCTGCATTTGATGCTTTCGCAGGATCTTGAATCTCTTCGTCTGCAGAATCCATCAAGAGTTGCAGAAAATCATTGTGTCTCTGTATGCACACAATAAAAACGCTTTTTAAAACATTTACTACATTATTTAAGATTATGCACTATTGAAGTGCAGTGTTGACGATTATGTACTATTCAGTCTACCAGGTTAGAGCAAGAACGAAAAGAAAATTTCTCAAGTTTCTTTCCACTCACTGTCGCATAGACATTACAGGATAAAAATTAAGCATTTTTATTATTATCCAATAAAAGACTCAATTCATTTACATCTACTGTTAGAACACGAATCAATAGGAATTCTGATATATTTGAAAGATGTCTTAAGATTTCATCAAGCGGTTCTTTGATGCGAGAAATTGCTGGCAATTAAAATGAGAACGCCTTGCTTGTAAGCTCATGAAATAAGAAAAAGCTTAAGTAGCTTAAAATTAAATCTAAGAAATGTATTACTTATTAAGTGTTAAAACAAAACTTTGTTATCAACATATATTCCAATAATATATGCAGGTCCTTTACAAATTGGAGTTACAATTTTTATTTCATTAAATATTCACTCTAGATCCGTGCATCCATTAAAACTTTTCTTAAAATAGGGCACAGAAATTTACAGAAATAATTTCCGTTCAAATTTCAGGAGGATTCTATAAAGTAATAGCTCCTTTTTAAATGGTCCCTTCAGAGTAAAATTACAAATCTCATTAACAAGTCGTCCAACAACAAGTAACCAACAAAACCGTTAACAAGTAACCAGCAAAACGTCAAGACCTGCGCCAGAAATTTGGAGACTAACCATAAGTTTGTTTTCCTAACTAAGAATTCAATCTTGAATAAAAGGTTATTTGCTATTAATTTGGTTTATTGTCCCAATGAAAATAAAGCACAGAGCTGTGAATTCTTGCACATGAAAGTGCAGAAATTGTGCCTACATTTCACCAAGGTATAATAAACACATGACTGTTAATCTTGTTCGTAAGGATATGGAACATTTTGTCTTTGGCCTTAATTAAACAAGATATAATACATAATGTATGTGTGTGTGATGTCGTTTTTGTGGAAGATGAAATCAATTCATTTCCAATCACGGTCGAGAAACACTGCTGCGCAAATCAGCGGAGGGAAAATGACAGCAGGCTTGTCCGCTAAAAACATAATTTTGTTTAAACAAGCAAAATTCTTCATAAATATATTTTTGCCTAAATTGGTACCACACTAGGAATGCTAAATGCGCCCCACAATTCCTGCATACGCAGTTTATATTTAAGATAATAAAGAAGGAAGGCGAAGTGAGAGCATGGTTTATTCAAGCAGCAGCAGACGAGAAAATGCGATGCGGACTAACTGTAGCCATATTTACAAGCCGTAAAATCTTTATCTCAATTCTGAGTAGGGACTGGGCTAAATAATTCGCAGTGCAAAGAACAATTACAGGAAATGTGTGACGTTAACATGCTGCAGAGTGACGAAAAACAGGAGTTAGCTACTTCGTCCTCTGAATAAGTTTTAAATTCATGTTCTCGTATTATTTTGTTATTCCTTTCAATTTTAAGTTCAGTGAAAAGTTCTGATTTTATTGATTTGACACTGATTTTTTTTTCATCGAGGAGGACTCCAAAATGTTTCATGAACTGTTATATTTAGAAAAATTTTAGAATTGTTCATCAGCTGATTTTAAATACAGAAACGCAAAGGTTTTCAAGTGGGAGGGGGTTTGTAATTGAGTCTTGTGAAGGAAAAAAAAAATGTATCAAATGTCTGTGACCGATATTGCAGATTTGGGTTCCCAATTAACAAAGGCGATAGGACTGGTCATATCAGGGATACTTTTGAACAAATGTATATCGCCTAAACATAGCCCGGACTTTGAATGATCAGGGCTGAAGGGCTGGGTCCAGAGGAGGGCTCGATTATCCCTTTGAGGGGAACGATGCCGTCACGAACCTTTTTGTGAAACATATCGGATGTTGCGTATAGTCCCTGCATTCGTCACCTCACCTACTGACCAGAGCTACACATTGTGAAAGTTTCAATCTCTAAAACAACGCGAATATTGACGAACTCTTAAGAAAAAGTCTCTGCTTTGTAGACTGAGAGAAAGCAGCATATAAAACCTATTTCCCAGAAAATGAAAAAATAAATAAGTAAATGAAAGAATAGAAAGTTAATATTAAAAAAAAACTGAATGAATGAAATTCAGCGTAAAGATAAATTAGTATATACTTTCAAAATACTTGAATATATGAGTATACATACGAAAGTATATAAATACCAGTTAAAAATATTTTCACTATTTTATGAGTAATTGACACTGCATAATTAATCTGATAATGCAAAATAATTTTATAATAGCCACAGCAAAAGCTTACAAAAGTTTGATTAAAACTCATTTCCAGAGCTAATTCAGACAGAAAAAAAGAAGAAAAAGTAAATAAAAGAAGCGAAATTTCTGTTTCGATTTAATGTATTATGAAATCTTTTATAAGCATTGATTTTTTAATTAGACAGATGTGTAGCCTTTCTAGCATGTGTTCAGAAAATGTACTTCATTTTTCTTTTAAATATACCTGTAATGGAAATTATTTTTGTGACTAACATCAAAAGCATTATTTGTGCTATTTTAATGCAAAAATAGTTTTCCATAAATTTAGAAATTTTTTATTGGTTATTGTAGATGGATAACTATTTATGTATTTAAAAGTTACTGTGAATAAAGTGAGCTATATTTAATGCATATTCGATTTTTAAAATTAGTTTAAGCTTATGTTTTATACATACTACAGTTTAGTTTAGTATGCCATAGTTACATTACCAATTTCTATAAAAATACATATAATTTCATAAGCTTAAATCTCAGCTCATATTGTTTAGTACATAATTCTTCAAAGCTCTTTGATTTTCAATAAAATACTTATGAAACTGAAGGCTAAATAAGACACTGTCAAAGCTAAAGTTAAGCAAGTGAACTCAGGTTCCTCACCAGTCTCTTCTTCCAGTGTCAGCAGCAAGAAGGCGAAGACCTGGTGAATAGACCTGACCCTTTAGTCCTGATGAAGGATACTTAATTAGAGGCGAACTAACACCTTTTAAATTCTTTATTACAGCAATGTAACCCATAACGCTACAAACACAACCATTTCCGAATATATGTATCGTTCTTTTGCATCGCTTCTTTTCCCGACTCTCTCCCTATCTCGATAGAAAGTAGAAGGAATAAACTGCATGTGTGTATATATATATATAATATATATATATATATATATATATATTAATTTAAAATCATATTAAAGCAAATTCCGATATTATATGCAGATACGGCAAAACGGAATCAATATAAACAATCAGAGCGTGATTTAGCTTCGGGTTTATTAGAACTTATTATTTACTATTTTTATTTTTAAGGTATATATATATGTGTGTGTGTGTAAGAAAAAAAATATGTAAAAGATTAAATTAGTAGCGTAAATTAATTTCCCTTCTCTATTCTAAAATTAGCAACATTTATTTGCACTGCGTAATTTCGACAAAAATCTCTGCCATATGACTCTTACGTAATTTTGGTAATGTAAATTGAACTAAAACTCAAGCAGCCAATAATAATTTTCCAGCAATATTAACTATCCAATCAAAGTGTTTTGAGAACCAAAACTAACTCAGTTTGACTTAAGATTTCATCTTGAACATAACGCACTTGCTTTCCACACTTTGCCTTAGCTCGACTGTAGTCTGTTTGCTCCTTCTTTTTTACTGCAAATCTGTCAAAAATGTAAGTCTTTTGGAATAGGCATATTTAATGTGCCGACTTGTGTGTAGTCGCAACATGTTGCTGAAAATAAAACTGAAGATTTAATCTGCCTTCGCCTCCAATTTCCTAGTCATTATAGATCAACACTTCTACGCCATCAAAATTCTTGTTCCTTAATATATTACATATATATTAACAATAAAGGTGTTAAAAGGTTTTTTCAAAACAGAAATCCTGTACTAAGGCTGTTGAGATTGTAAAATAAGTTAACACCATCCAGAAATCTTTGTGTAATAAACAAGGATCAATTAAAATGTGAAATTAATGCGAGAATTGAAAAAGAACCAATGACCAAATTATTCTTGTTTAAATCAGAATGATCTAAAATGAAAACTAAATTATTGAATAAAGTAATGATGCTATTAAATAAATACTATAAAATTAAACTATCTTCAGGGGTGTCCAGTTTGAAATTATGTCCTTAACTGTCATCAGGTATCCTAAAAAGCTAAAAAGTTGTAAGGGCCTTTATTAAATGTAACTTGCGGCAAATCCTCATTAAGACTGTAAGCGACTTATCGCTATGTCTAATATGAAAACAAAAACACAAGAAGACTGTAAAAAAACCTTTTATTTAAAATTAAGTTGAACAGAAGGCAGTAGTAAGTAGAACAGAAGGATACTTTTAAATTAAACATCCCCTGAAGACATGCTAACTTGAGTGAATTCAACTATCAGTAAACTTATCTTATTCTATTCCTTAATTAATTTTTTTCATTTTAGCTCATGTTGTTTTTGTTGTAGTTGCTAATGCTCACTTGTCCGACCTATAGTCAGCCCAAGCCCACGAAAATCCTCATCGCAAGGAGCGCAAGTTTACTCCTGTCGTTAGCCACCTTACAGGTGACAATGCGATTTACCTCAGTTCTGCCCCCAATATTGATGGAGAGCCCCCGGGGGGGACGGGTCGGAGGGTCTCCCACCCCTCTTCCCTACCATCAACCTCTCGAGAGGACTTTCGGCTCACCGTATATTTAGAGTGCCTCCCATGTCGCACGGACACTATACATTTACAAACATCTATGCCTTATCCGGAATTCAAACCCGGGCCCTTCGGCACGGAGTTAATCATTATACCGGTTAGGCGGCGTTTTAGCTCATTTTTACTTCAACAACAATAATTTGGCCATTGACTTTCCAGTTCTCACATTAATTTCACATTTTGATTGATTCTTGTTTATTACAGAAGTAATACCTGGATAATATTTTACTCTTATTTGGCTTAATGCATACATATATTATATACATAAAGAGAGAAAGAAAAATTTCTTAATATTTTTAAATACTTAATAAACTTTTTCTCACTCTCATTCGAAACTTCTACTTACGTAGCCTTTTTCTTTCCTTTCCTTGATGACTTCTAAAGTTACAGTTCGGAAGAAATCCCCTGATATCACGTTTCTGAATCCTAAGGCGATTCTTAGCCATTTTGGTAAAAAGACTGAAAAATTTGAATTTTTTCTTTTGTTTACTTCTTACAGAAGAAGCGACACACACATATATTATTAATATCGAAAGTTTTTAATTTCTTTTATTCATAAAGTCTTATCTCATGAATAAAAGAAAAAAATATGACAACTACTAGTACGTTTTCATTTGTGTTTAAGAAAATTTAAGAAATTCCAAACTTTTAATTTTTGGAAAAAGTAAATGAGGTTTGAAATGTGGAAAAGTATCCATTACATTATTTCTGAATATGTCCAATGCATAAAAAATTCCCAGTTTTTTATACTTTCTAAATGAAAGCTGGTAAAAAATTATTCATTGTTTAGTTTCGATCTGGCCTCACAGACATTTTCATAATATAAGAGCAACAGTGATTTAACAACGCCCTTGTAAATTTCGTAAACAAACCTGCATTAAGTTTCGCATACAATACCAGCAGTAACTTTCAATTACGATGTGCTAGTGCACGAAAATTCCCAACAGGATTTTCAATTTCTTCTGCAGTGAAGCATTTTCAACTTCTTCTGCCTTGAAAACTTTAAATTATATCTGATAAATTAATATGAAAGATAAGAAAACTGAAGCAGTAATGAATCGTTTTTACTTATTTTGAAAAATGCTCACAATATATTTAAAAAACCTTTTTGGGGTGTTTATAGCATTCCCTATCAGTATGGCTTAATTCTTATACATATATCAAAGCAGACAATTCTTATAAATACTCCCTAAATTAGTTTCGTTACATAAGTAAAATTAGAATTTCTGCTGCATTAAAATATGTTATTAATTCTATAACGTAAGTAAGTTTAGAGGGGAGTGTAATGACAAGAAAGAAATAATAAATGTTTCATATAAGCTATTTGATGGAATAACAGAATGAATTTGAATCATCATAAAAATCTTTAAATAATCCTTATTTCTAAAGTGATGAAAATTAAGAATGAAATTTGGTGTAATGCTATTAAATCGATCTATCGAAAATGGACTTGCCCTTATTAACTTTGTACAGTATAAGTATAGCCAACAACAAATTGAGCTTTTATTGAGTTTATATTCCTTCACTCAACTGCATTCCATACGGAATTATAAATAAAGTTTTAACTCTGGCTGTTACTAATGTCAATGAAGATTGGCCACAACACTACCCAACATAAGATGACAGTAAATTAGAAACATGGAATACTGTCAATATTCGCTTTTTTTATGGACTCGAGTGTATAAGTAGAGAACTCACAAATCAACAGAAAAACAGTATATAATGTACGTAAAACTGACATTATGCATTTCAAAGATCTCACCATAGCTTCTTCAAGGGCTGTTATAACAAAATGCTACTTAGTATCGCACGCCTGTGTACAAACAGAGAAGAAGAGCATTCAAGAAAGTTCTGCAAAATGGTAGAGCTATCAATTGTAGGTACTTCTTGGATATCCAGATGCAAATAAGATCTGAAATTTGTTTATTTGGCCGAAAAAGAAAGATTTTTATGGTTCTTAGAAGCTTCTATGGAATCTATTTCTAAAACTTTAAGAAGTATTTTGAATAGTTTTAGTATCGGAGTAAAGAATGATTTTCCAGATAATAATATTGCGTAGTGGATGATTTATAACCTTCTAAGAAAACTTTTTTTATTTATTGATACAAAACTCTAGGTTAAATTGTTGTATATTAAGCCACATCGATAAATATTAAGAGAGAATTTCTCAAGAATTCGCATTAGAGTCACGTAGGAGAGAATAGTGAATTTTATTAGTAGAAGAAAAGATAACTCATGAAAGTGAAACGTATAAAAATTGTATGCAGTTTTAGAAGTAGTCAAACACATATCTTTTCTCCGATTAGCAAGAAAATTGTATTTATTTGAACAATTTATTGTAAGTATTGTATTTTGTGCATCTAATAAAGTTCGCAGTTTAGTACTTAAAGACCCTATTGCAGATGCGAATTCCTAGGATTTTTATAGCATTCTGTTTTAGTATGTCTTAATATACACACATCAAAGCAGACTGTTCCTATAAACTGAACATAAAACGCTAGAGAAAAATTCCTGTATAAACCTAACGAAAAATTCATAATCACCCTTTGTACAACATTGTTAGCTGGAAATTCCAATTTTCAGTTCTTTTGTTGCTAAAAATTATTCAAAATATTTATTCAATTGTTTAATTACATATCTTGCAGAATTTTTATACCTATCAAAATCTTCCTCATGTATTAACTTATTATTAGTTTAATGATCTAAGATTCTTCAGTTGTTCTTTTTTCCCTTTTTTTTCAATAGATGGTGTTACAGATTTGTTTCACATTTATTAAACTTTCTATATTTGTGGCTTCGCATATGTCTCTGCACCACGTTTTCTTTGCTTTTTTAATTAGCCAAAAAAAATTTTCCTCTAAACAGAATAAAACTTACATTTAGAAACTTTCCATGTTTTGAAATTTCAATTATTTTGTCTGCTACTTTGCATTCCTTTTTAAGTAAATTTTTTAAACTGTAACATTTTGTACCATAAGAAATATAAAGCTAAAAATATCCCTTTACTTACATAAAATGAAAATCCGAAACCCAGAAAAATCTCCAAATACTTTCTTCACGTTCTTCACGAATATATTATTAGGATCATTGTGGTAATCTATCTTTGTAGCAAAAGCCGAAGAAGCGATGACATCCATTGTGAAAGCACCAAATATCCTGCAATACGTAGAAGTGAAAACTGGAATAGGTTACAGTGTGTCGTCAAATGAAATGAACTGCTATAAAAAAATGAAGAATTGTATTTTATATTAAACCAACTGGCTTTAACTACTCAGAAACAGATTAGCACCTTTGTTTAATTTTTATCAATTAACATTTCGCTAAATATTCCAAGTAAAATCACTTGAAGCATTCTAATAATCCTATTCCCACGACCTCCTTCTTTGGCCCCAATATTGTTACGAAATGCTCAGCCCAGGTAAGATTGCTTCCTCGCAAGGCGGGTTTTGGGTTGCCATAAAATGGCAAGGGAAGGCAGGGTTGATACATTTGGAGACAAAATTCGCGATATGCCATAGACGGATGGAGAACCTTCTAGAACGTGTTCTTACCGGTTTGGCATGGAATGTTCTCGAACGTAGGCCAAAAGCTATATAAGCTATACGCGGATTTATATAAGCTATACGCGGAAGCTGTGTCTCATATTCGATCGCGAGTCTAATGAGAGTCTCGTAGTCGATTTTTATCGTCTGTTCTACTGTCGAGTTGGAGCATCGAGAGTGTGCATCGTTGAGGCTATCGACGAGTGCACCGTGAAAAAGTTGTACCATGGAGAGTCTCGAGAGTAGGTTGAGTTCCGAGATCGAGCGAACTGAGTCGGGAGTTTTACTCTAGTGCTTTGCCGTGAAGCTATTTTCCCCGTTATAGCCTGATAGCCTGAAGACTGTGTTGCTGATTGTTTCAGCGTAATTGTCGTAGTTTTTCGACGACTGTAAACATGTGTTTTTTGGAGCTGCCTTGAGTAATACTGGCTAATAAATTGTGTTTTCATTCTTCATCAAGTGTTATCGTCAATCACTCAAAATCCACGAACCCGTAAGAACGCAACAATATAAATAGAATGTATCTGGAGATCATATAAATTTATGTATCGACTTTATTTTAAGTATGTACACTTTTAATTACCAGCATAGCGTACTTTTAAATATCTTCCCATCATACTGTATACGCCTGTTATATATATGCAGACCGTACTTTTAAGTATTTTCAGACCCTATGCTTTCATATACTTGCTTTTAAAATACGGAGTGGTTATAATTAAACTTCCCCTATAAAACACATCCTACAGCGCAAATAGGTGAACGGAATGCAACGAAATTTTGTATATCGGCTATACAAGAGATGCGCTCACGGAATTTCGAAAAATAAATTTTAGTTCCAAAATGTCCACCAGAGGGCGCCTTTTCGGGTAAAACATGAAATTTAACAAAATTAACGACCAAAACGGAATACAGTAACAATATTAACAATCCAAAAAATATGAGTAAAAAAAAGCAAACCGGGGAAAAAATACCGGGGAAAAAACCGGGGAGATTTGCATGCTTGGGAAGAAGAAGAAGCTTCGCAAAAGAGTATAAAAACGTTTGCAGACGTTGTCATTTTAAGTCAATGTTTTCCCTGTACTAATGGCGGTCCTTTAGTGAACGTGCGTTATTGGTGATCTGTTTTACGAAAACAAGGATGCTCTCTGAGCTCGTGAATTTCGTCGTAGAAAGGTTTTGGTTTGGTTTATTTAATTATGGCAAAGCACACTAGGTCTAGGGCCTAAGGGAGTGATGTCTTCGCAGAGACTTTTTAAGGGGGGTGGCTCGTATATCTTACACATGGGGAACCACGAACGCCCATGCAGCCAGCCCGTGCGCGGGATTCGAACCTTGGACCGAATTACCAGTGTTCAGCGACTTTACCGCTCGACCGCTGGTGGGCCGCCGTCGTAGAAAGAACCTACGGCGTGGATCAGTGTCTACTAAAAGTATTCGGATCATGATTAAGAGATGGGGAAATTAGGAGTTCAACCTGGAAGAGGCCGTGAACATGTGACACCGGTACTTGTTGATCCTGTCAAGACAGCTGTTGACGCACAGTCCCAGACTTCAGAGTTTGGGGACAGTAGCGCGCGTGCAGTTTCTCGACAGACAGGCTATTCTTACAACACCGTCCAATAAGTACTCAGAAACATAATGCACTACTTCCCATACAAGATTTGCCATACGCAGGAGCTGCTTGATAGAAACAAGCCACCACGTCTCTCATTCGCAGTCCGTTTTTTCAACAGAATGACTGCTGATCTGTCATGGCCTTGAAACATTCTGTGGAGCGACGAGGCTCATATCTACCTCAGTGGGACAGTCAACACACGAAGTTGCCGCATTTGGGCTAAGGAAAAACCTCGGATCCACACTGATATTCCCCTACAGTCTTCAAAGGCCAATGTCTGGTGTGGATTCACGGCAACATTCATTATTGGATCATTCTTCTTTGAGGAAGTCGGTGAACGTGGGCCTGTCACATGTTCCATTACGGGCCGTCAATGCATGACATGCTGCAGACGTTTGTTGTGCCGCAACTACAGCAAAGTCGGGTCCTTACATCGACCACTTTCATGCAGGATGGTGCGCCTCCACATATCCATGGGTCCGCGAAGGCGCTATTGCTCCAACACTGGGGGAACGTTGTTGAGTCGCCTTTTTCCTAATCCATGGCCCACGTTTCGCCGGATCTAACTCCGTGCATTTCTGGTTATGGGGCTATTTAAAAGTCGTGTATCGTGTAGATGTGCGCGGGAACACTAAGAATCCATAACGCTATGAGCGAAGCCTCACAACTGATCAGTTTACGATCTTGTTGCCTTGCCATTTACTTGAAATTTTGCAGGTGAATGAGGGTGGTCACGTGAGCACCTTTCCCTACATCGTCCTGGACACGATTAACAACTGCTCCCCTTGTGCAATTTCGTCCTAATCTGTTCTTGTTTCTGCAAGCTGAACAGTTTTTGTTTCTTTCTTACCTTTACTTATTGTAATTCGATGAAAAGGTGATGAGAAACTAGTCAGTAAATGTTAATATTGTTTCTGTATCCTGTTTTGGTATAGTTTATTATGTTAAATTTCATGTTTTCCCGAAAACAGCCCTCTGGTGGACATTTAAGAACCAAAATGGTTTTTCCAAAATTCCGTAAGCGCATCTCGTGTATAGCCCATATACAAAATTTCGTTGCTTTCCGTTCACGCGTTTGCGCTGTAGGATGCCTTTTATAAGGAAGTTAATTATAACCACCCGATATGTCAGCAGACCTTATACTGTTAAGTATGAGTAATCGCTAAGTATTGGATCTTGACTTAAAGTTCAAGTATGTCAAGTTCAATCAAATACTTGAGTTAGTATGAATCCGGACCTTCTTCATGAGTGAATCGCAGTTCTTACGCACTGCGAAGTTGTAAATGATCAACAGAAAACGATCTTGCATTTTTAGAGCTAGTTCTACGTTCTACGATATCTCTTCTTGCCTTAAAGAATATTGAACTCACATCTTTTAGTTCTGTTTTAGATGAATTTCTTTCTTTTTTTTTTTTTTTTTTTTTTTTTCTTTTTTTTTTTTTTTTTTTTTAGGCAAAATACTTATTTTTGGCAGCTGCAATATTTTTCTGCTTTCTCTAGCTTATTTACAAGATATACAAGAAACGTTTACATACAGGAGTTTACTGAGTTTGATTTATCATTTTTGATATGTTCTGACAGTTCTACACAAATGGCTGTTTGATATCGTGCTCTATCAATAATGTTTTCTTGATTCCCGCTTCTTACATAGGTCGTAATTAAGAAGTCACATTTTTCAAGTGAACATAGGAATATCCTACTATATTGTGATGTTCGAAAACGTCGTCTACACACATTATCTCCATAAGTATTCATCCTTAACTAATGAGAAATATTAATTTTATTATCAGTTAGAAATTAACTAATTACATTATACACTGAAGTGACAAAAGTCATGGGATAGCAATATGCAAATATACAGATGGCAGTAGTATCGCGTAGAAAATGTATAAATGCGAAGTGCTTTGGCAGGACTTTCCTTTGGTTCAAGTTATTCATGTGAGAGGCCCCATTGATTATCGCGCCGACGAAAAATTAACAGACTTTTTTGCTGCGGAAAAAGTTTGAGCTAGACGCATAGGTCATTCCCATTTAGGATATGTAGGGAATTCAACATTCCGGATCCACAGCAAAGTGCCGAGAGTATCTAATTTTCAGGCAACACATCCCCCATGGACAGCGCAGTGACCGACCACCTGCACTTAAACGACCAACCACGACGTTGCGTAAGTTCAACGTTCACAGACAACCTGCTTCAATACTGCAGAAATCATGTGGGACGTACAGGGACGTGCCGATAGGACAGCGGCGGAAAATTGTCTCCTTGGCTATGCCCAGCAGAAGACCGATCGAGTGCCTTACTGACACACACAATCGCCTGCAGCAACCGTGGCTCGTGAGCATATCGTTGTCCCTAAACGAATGAAAACTTGGGCGGTCGATAGTACGATTTCAGTGAGAGCTGATGAGGGTAATGTGGCGGCAGACCCACGAAGCCATGGACCCAAGTTGTCAACAGGCACTGTCAAGCCTGGTGGTGGTTCCAGAATGGTCTGGGCAGTGTTCTTACAGTCATGGACTTTCCTCTGGTGCAAGTGAATCGATTATTGTCTGGAAAAAATATTTTCCAGTAACTGGAGGATCACTTACAAGCCATTCATGGACTTCACGTACTCAAACAATGACGGGATATTTATGGGATGACAATGCGCCATGTCACCGGGCCAAATTGTGCGCGAGTGCTTAGAAGCACATTTCTGGACAAGGCCAGCGAAGATATGGCCACCTAGGATCGCCGACATGATCTCATCGAACATTTACGGGAATCATCAAGAGTCAGTTCGTACCCAACCCTGCACCGTCAACACAAGCATGGCTCAATATCCTGCAGGACTTTCCACACTTCTTGACTCCATGCCACGTCGAGTTGCTGCACTTCGCCGGGCAGAAGGAGGACCGACAAAATATTAGGAGGTATCCCATGACTTTTGTCACTTCAGTGTATTATTCAATCATAAATTTGTTTGCAGTAAGGTGCAAACATTTTTAAAGAATCTCAATGTTGCCGTTAGGGAATACTTCGGGAAATGAAATCTAAATTTTTTATACGATCATGATGGAATAAAAATTCAGTTTTTGCCGAATATTTATTATTCATTAACTAAAAGTTAATAGTTTATTAGAAAACGAATTCTTTGAAATATGCTTAATAAGCATTTTTAAAAGCCCAGCTAAAATTGTAATTGCAAAAGCTGTTTGAAATAAGCCGAAACCAATGTAAGAAAAAACAAAAATGAAACCTTTATTAAGTTTTTACTCAAAATACTTGAAACACGTGTTTTAAAAAAATGAATTAAATCAGCACATTTGCTCCTAGATATAACTGCAAATTTTCACTTAAAAGTATGGAACGTTTATTCTCTAACTTCGAGCAGGCAGAATCTAATTAAGGCCTGGAACCCTAGTATGATGTTGTTTCAGAGGCATTCTAGTTTATGAAAGGAAGGTTTATAAAAAATTATTATTTTGTTTATCAGGCTTCTAAAATCTAGGATCTTAAGTCCAGACTTTGGGTTTTTGGGTTATAATCACACCATGCAGGGAGGTAGGAAATTTAAAAATATGAGCAAGTCTTTTATAATGACAGCATATTTATTAATTATAAAAAACAACATACTCTTTGCAGTCAACTGGTTCCTGGTTTACAGCATGCTTTTCAAACGTTTGTAACACAGTTTTTGCGCAGTCGTTTATAATGTGGGACATCTATAATACGTAAATAAAAATATTAAATTTTTTATATACTTGCACATTATTCTTTCAGTATTATTAAAAATCATCATGTTAATTACTGTTAGAAAATACATCAGATTTTGCAAAATTAGTTTGAATGATTTTGGCTAGTCTTGAATGGTTCTACACAGAATAAAAAAATAGTACAAAATTCGTTATATGGGTTCCATTTAGAAATAATTTTTTAACATTTTGTTAGTTTATATATACTTAATTTCTTATATTTTATTTAATTTTTTATTTTCAAATTCTAAGAGCAATTTCGTCAAAATCTAGTAGCTTGTTGATGAATCTCTAGTTTTTTCAGTCTTAAAGAAAAGAATTCTTTCAAGTGTTTCTTAGTCAGGACTTTTTCCTTCTATGGACTATTCGAATTTTCCTGAGCGTATCGGATTGATTTTAATTTATAGAATCGATTGCCAACACACACAAGGCTGGAATATGAAAGTTCCTATCATTTATTTAAAATTTCTAAAACCAGAAGCAACAAAATACTTTTGTGAAACTTTTATTGTCCTTCTATATTTCCCGCAGCGTTGTGCAAAACCCGGTACCAAAGATGTGCAAGTCTCCGTATGTAAGTTAATAAATCCAATACTTACCTGTTCTATCGCTTCATCTTTCGTCCACAGTTCAGCTCTTACCAGGATGCAAATTAGTACGTGTATATAATAAAGGAATTCCTAAAGGTTATAAAGAGAGCTTTAGCAGCGTTGGTGACAGTTATGATATTTCACTGCTCAAATCAGAGAATTGCTTTACAGCATTTTTCTAACCAATACATTTAGATTGCTAACCAATAGATTTGCTCATACATTTAAATCAGTTTGAGCCAACGCTTCATAGGCTTCTGCTCTGTGAGTCTTCAGCGCAAAAATTTGTAATTGTATTTTATGTTATTTTAAATCCAGCAGGCTACGTAGATTGTTCTGTAAGCGCAAGCCGTGCATTTTTTTAAGTTTAAAATTTTAAACAAAAGTGTAATTTAAACCTTCTGAGTTTGCGTTACTTCCCTGGATGGGGAGATCAGTCTCTTGACAGTTTCATCAGGGATTATCCACTCTCTTGATGGTCCGAATGAAGTGATCTATACTTGATGAATTTCTAAAACAGTTCGGATATAAAAAGTGTCTCATCATTCTAGGAATCAAATCATAATTCCAGAACGTAAGCTCGGGTAATGTGAGGGAAAGCAGATCATTTCCGAGCTTTAATACCAAAGTACTTTAATAAACTCATTTGATGGAATATCAAATTATGTCGCATTATTTACGTGTAGTAACGCATTACACTCCCCGTTGTCAGAAAGATGATGTAAGTGAGAAACTTCCTTTACTGAAAAAACAGAAAAGAAATTAAGGTGGAGTATGTTAAATTTTAATCTGAAAATATTCTAACAGTGCAATTATCTGATTTAAAATTTATTGTGTTTAATATTACACATCAGTGTAATCTAGTCAAAATCGAAGCGATGTGTAATGTAATGTAATCATAATATTACATAAAAGAATCTCGTTTTATTTAATTAACAAATCACTGTTTGCTACGTAGTAGCAAAAATGGATCATCATTTCACTCGCGCTAATGCAAAGCAAACTAATTTTGCTCCAGGAAATTCTCTTTTAGATTATATTAAAAATCAAACCTAAAGCAATTCAACGTTCTCAAGAAATATCTGAGAAACGATTTTGTCTCTTGGAATAAACTATCAGTATGAGCACATGGGAATCCAGCATTCTCGAGAAAGACACCTTCGTTCTTACGTACCTCATTTTAAACCAACATTGATGTTCATTTCTGTATAGTAAACGTTCGTTTATCACCTCTTCATAATCTGTTTTGTCTCATTGTAACTAATGGTGTCCTAAATGCTCAAACAATGTCTCCTCATGTGTACGAAGAAAATATCTTTCTTTGATGTCTTACGTACTGGGATTCAAAGTCGGATAACTATGCGCAATTTTGGAAGCCAAGGGGCGCAAATACTTCTCGCTTGTTACAAAAAGTGATAAAAAACATTTAAAAAAGGACTTTTAATTAAAACAATTATTGGCAAAAATAGAAAGCTTATTCTTATTAATTTCTCATTATTAATAAATTAACTCAATAACCTTAATTAATTCTCTGCTCACCTTATAAAAATGTTTAAGTTTTGTGCAGTTTTCTGAAATTATCCTGGGACCAAAATTATCATGAACTGAAAGTCTATTTTGATTCTACTTTAAAAGATGTTTAGCAGCTCAAATCTTTTCAAGAAAATTTTATAAATCTTCACTTATGTAGGGAGTTTCGATTTACTCTCATTTATAAGTAATTCAAACAATTTCGGATTAAAATTTGCCTTTTTTTTTTTCTGATTATGCCTAACATTTATGATTTATTAAACTCATAGTATAATTATTATAAAGTAAGCAAAAAATAAACTTTATCGGTAACTCTTAAAAGTGTATCCAATTGCTTATAATTTAATATATATACTATACATGTCACACATATTTCATTTTCGGTCTTATTTGACTCCTCTGCACTGACTTCTTGGACAAGACAACAACAACCCATAGTTCATGGAATGCAACTTACTTTCCTCATTTTCTTGGATGTGAAAGCTGGTGTGATTATAGTTCGCACCCTTTTCCATGTTTCTCCTCTCAGTCCTGAAACCATGTTGTCAAATGTAGGGTCACCCATCACAAAGTCGTCCTATGGAATTAAAATATTAGCATATTTCCTCAAATCTCCAATATTTTTTATTACAAACGTGAAAATATACACACTCTAAATTCTTTTTCGGGAAGAAAATCGAAGCTGCGTAAGATGTTTATTAAAGAACAGCAATACTTTTCGCCAGTTTTACAGCTAAGAAGTATTTAAATCACAAACAGGAAAAAAAATAGATGCAAACCTTTTGTAGTTTATGCTCAAGAAACTTGTAATAAATGGTTTTAAAAATATGCACAGTAAGAATGATAATGATAGTACTCGCACTAGAAAAATTATAAAATAAAGAGATAAAAATTCAGAAGAGGTATCCCGACTATTGCTCTGGCTTTTGCAGTGAGTTAATTGCCATAAATGAAGGTCTTGATTCTCTTGTGTCATTCATTCATTCATTGATGGAAAAGAAATCTGGATCCTGTCTGATAGCAAAAGTTCTATTTAACACTTAGTATACTGTCACAGTATAAGAGATAATATAGGAATGAATAATTCTTAAAAATCTGGAGCACCTTTCCTTTTTTCACCAAATTCACCTACAGTGGACTGCCCTTCCCATTTTGACATCTTGGGCAGTGAGATTGCAGGCGCCGGGTGGGGAAATGCCTTGGTACAGAGCGTTTATAATTAAAGTGACCCTATTCAGACCACTCTAGAACCCGTTCTACTTATTGAATTTTGGCGAAATCTGGTATATATGTTATATAGACCATGGAGAAATGATTTCTGCAATAAAAATAAATACTTCAAATTTTGATCACCAGGGGGAATTATGACGCCTAAAGAACAAAAAAATCTGTCAGAATCATTAAAATTTATTCAATTACAGAATGTGCTCAACGTGTGCTCCATTGACATTAATTACATTTCGAAAGCGCTAGTTCCACTAGTGCACCTCTGATATCAGAGTAATCAACCCGGTGGCTCTCTGACATTTGATTGCAACAGGCAAGATCAAACCACACTCACCCGCTTCCTCAGTGGGCATCTTTATATCTTTAACATAATCTGAAGATTTCAAGTGAAGTCCGCACCACGTGTTCTCCTGATAACATTCTTGCTTGCTTGGGGTTCTCTAGGCAGAATCTTACAGAGAATCTATTATTGTATCTGAATTTCTTTAGGATGGACAATGTCATGGACCCGATTTAGTCCTGCTAATCTTTGAGGATGAGCAACAACAAGAAAAATATGCACTGACGATGGAGAACATTGTTTCCATCGAAGGTACATCGATGGAGAACACTGTTTCCATTCAAGGAAAGTGTGTTAAGCATGACAGAAGAACTAGAATTTGAAATTAAATATGTAAAATCCAGTTTATTTGAAATAGCAAGTGCCAAGTTTTCTATAAAACACCTCTTACCGTAGGTTGATTTTCTTTTTTGAAAAAAGATAGAAATTGCTTAGTTTTCCATTCCATCGATGGTAATGTTTTTTGAAATATTTCGCAAGAAACAAACCTTAGAATTTACATTTTAAACTTTCCATTTAATCACTTAAAAATATCAATTAAAAATTTTATTTAATCTTAAAAAATATCAATAACCAGAAAAATATTTCTAAATAATTATTTATATCTACTATTACGAAAATATTCTGTACATTTTAAAGAATTACTGATTAAACCCCATCCATGTCCCATGCTGAAAAAGGTTAGCGACTAGAAAATCAATGGTTCGAATTCCGGCAAGGAAACGATTGAATCAGAATTTTTCTTGGGTTCGAAAAACTTCATACTCTCTACAAAGTGACATTCGGAAAATGCATCATAAAAATCAAAAATACTACAGTTCGAAAACATGAATATTTATAAAAATGCGAATTACATAAAACATGAATGAAAATTCATATTTTTCTATAAATAACCTTAATTTTCCCGCTTTGTAAATCCAGTTCTAGAATAGAATCAATATCATAAGTAATCATTCTACAGACATACTTTATCAGGGAATAGCAAAATTCCATCTGGAATGCTCAGTTGTAAATTTTTATTGAAATTTTTGATGCTCCAATTTTTGGTAGTTCATCCACTTTCATACACCTCTTTTAACATGATGCGAAACTGAATTGACGTAATGCAAGAATAAAAATGAATACTTGGAATAAATCATCTGAACAGCGCTTTCACATTCGACCATTTTTGTATGAAACACAACTTACGCAAACATTTGAATGTTCTGTTTCACAATCTTCAGAGTTATCTCTATAGCCTTGAGCACTGGCTCATTACTTGGAAAATCACAATTAACGTCGCTAAATGTGCTGCCAATGATATTCACACGCTCCCGAATCCGGTACCCTACCATTCATTCAAAGTTCTTCGATGACTATGTCCCCTGATCAAATTCATATAAGTATCTAGGAGTGATACTTGATTCCAAATTAATCTGGCGTCTTCATATTGATTATACACTCAATAAATCGAAAACCGTCAGAACCCAACTTTACCCCCTTCTATTCTAGGCCGAAAGAATTAAAAACAAAGCTCTTCTCTATACTTCCATCATTCGACCAATATTTTTGCATGTTTGCACCATCTGGGGTTCAGCTGCAAAAACACACATAAAAAAACTTCAAGGCTTTCAAAGTAAATCCTTACGTTTAGTCCCTTAATGCAGCTATTATGTCCGTACTGATTTGATTCATTCGGATCTTAACATTAAACTCATAGACGTTGTTATTAAAAAACTTAGTCAAAATTTATTCCTCAAAATTGAACAGACTGATAACTGTGCACTTCAACAGTTACCAGCCTACGATCCTACTATTCGCAGCTCGCTGAAAAGACCTCGCTCCATCATAGACGGGAATACGGCATCTATCCTCTAGCTAAAAGGCATAAACACGCCCCTCTCTTCTCAGTTCCAGCGCCCCGGCCCAAGAAGGACGTACTGCCATGTAATTGCTCTGCCATAATTGCTTTCTCTTACTCCAGTATTACTGAAAAGTGGCCACCTCTAGATTCTTATCAATCTGTTCTTTATTTAATCACATCATGCCCGCAGAAATAAATTTCTGCCCTCGATATTTCGTCACGAAAATTTAATTTTACTTCACTATAATTAGTACCATATGCCAATGAGCCTATTAATCTGTAAAATCTTTCCTTTCCGCTTTTTGCTTTAGTGTTGTATTTATGCATTATAAAATTTTTAAAAAATACCCAAAAATATAAAATTAAAAAATGCAAAAAAGTTTAAAATCACAAAACTTCTAAAAAAATCAAAACTTGATTTTTCCTTTCCCTAAACTGGCCCACCGCTGAACGCTGAATGCTGGTAGTTCGGTCCAAGGTTCGAATCCCGCGAACGGGCTGGCTGTATGGGCGTTTTCGTGGTTTTCCCCATGTGTAACGTGTATACGAGCCAGGTTCCCTTATAAAGTCCTCCACGAAGGCATCCCGCCCTTTAGGCAGATAGCCCTCGTGTGCTTTGCCGTAAATGAATAATCCAATCCTTTCCCTAAACTTTCTCGAGCTAATGTAACTCCGTCTAGTGTGCATCATGATAACCAATTATGCATTTTTCCTATTTCTGCTCACTACTTAGATATTTTTCTGATGTGGACGTACATGGTTTTGAACCATAGGCACTCCGTAACTTATAGTGATTGGCATTACTTATTTTTTTAACCTTACAAAATGTCTATTTATAAGTTTATAAAATAACTGAGTAATAAAATAAATGAGTTTGATTTTTGGCATCGCTGATACAATCTTAGCTTGCCCACTTCGTTGAACTGAAATGTTCTGTAGCTGAATTTAAATATATTTATTTTTGTTGTTTAAGTTTGATCTTCCCTGAAACCTTCCTATATCTTTATATGTTTTATTTTATTTAAATTAATTTCATAACACATTGACCTTATCGATGAATTTTTCCTTCGGAATTTTAGTAATAAAAGACAGTGATAAAATGAACATTCTGAACAGTTTATGCAGATTAATCATGGTTCTGTCCTCTGAATATTACAAAATAATAATTTAGAAATAAAATTAATGTGAAACTTAAATTTGATTCTATTTTCTCATATTAGAAAATCAGCTCTAGAAACAAACTTAATTTTCATATTAAATACTTCTTGACAAACAACTCTCTTAACTCTTTGGAATCCGGTTAAATACAGAAGTTGGTCTGAAAGAATGAGCTTGACACAGGAACAAAGTGAATCATAGCTGTATCTGAAATTATATTACTACCACTTCAGGAAAGCTATAAGATAACCTAATTAATGACTGAAAAAAAATCAGAGACAGGCTTCATAAACATGCAGGAGAGGTAGAGGCTTCAGAAATTATATGACCTATTTACATTACATACCCCACAAATGTTTATCTTGAAACTAATCTGACCTCAACTTGCTTGCTTTGTGTATCAGAATAATAGGTAAAATTGCTATTTCAGTTTTATAAATCTCTACATCCAAATAGAGCTATAATTCACTCCGAATGTTTAATTCGCACCATACACGATGAGAGCTTCCCAACAAAAGAACTGGCAATGCAGTTACTACTTACAGTTTACACAGGATAAGCTTATCCTAGTGATGCTTCTGCGTATGGGCGAAAACACTCAATCCATTTGTAACAGAAGGACAATCAAGTTTTGCTAGGATGTATCGGTTTATTTCGCGTTTGATAAAATCTTGCTGCAATCTCCTTTTTATATAATACATGGCCCGCAAGCCATCAAAAAAAATCGAAAGGTTTCTAATATGTAAATAGAATTGATTAGGGGGGAAAGAATATATGTGTTTACATGGAGAGTGAAATCTTAGAAACATTCTTTTCTCTAAAAGCAGAATCCTATGACGGTTCTAACAAGAGTTCTATCATACACTATAGCAATTCAGACTGTATAATGCAACTGACCTCTGAAGTCTTTAAATAAAGATCCTGGGAGAAAAGGGGGAAAGATATTCGCCGACAGGCATTGAGTTAAACATTTGATTCGGGCAATACCTTTCCTCATCGGGCAATAGCTTTCTTAAAAGAAGAAAAACTCTTTATCTACATTTGGATGGAGTCAGTAATTATATAAGTATATTTAGATTATCTTAGTTCTTCCTCAGATTTAAAGAAATAATGTATGGACTTGGACAGGTATTTGCAACCCATTTCAGAACGTGAAAACTTCTAGTCTATTAGAGATAAAATAAGCTTTAAAATCTGCATAATTTAATATTAACACACTTTGGTATATATTTTAATGCATTCCCATCTACAATGATATCAAAACTAATAATATTTCAGACATAATGAGCAAAACAAAGACTTTTCAGTAATTTGAAGTAACCTAATCTGCTAAGATTTCTAAAGGTTTTAAAAAGAGATATATTATATAGTAATGCAATACAAAACAGTCTCTTAAATTACTCAATCATGTTAGTTTTAGTATCTGCAAAGACTTCACGGTTATCTTATAAAGACACTTTGTTCATAATTAACAGTAAAATTGTAAGCAATCTTCCTTTCATAAGGATAAAGAAGGTTTCTTCTGCTCTGCCAAAGCGCAAGACTGCATATGCCACTCCCGGTCATACACTTTCCTTTTTGAGATACTCTGTGATATAATTTTCCTTCCTTACAAGGTTTTGAAGGTAGTAAAGAGAATTAGAATTTCTGACTTCGTCTATCGCCAGTAAGAACCGCAAAGAATTAGCAACAACAATGCTATAGTTGTAAAAGATAAGAAACATTGTTCTATCACAGAATTATCTTACCCTTCTATTTGGGAAAAGATGAAAGTCTTTCACCAGTACATCTCTCGCGAGCTCTGGATCAGCTATCAAAAGCGTAGGTGTTCGAAGTTCAAAAGCTCTGATTTTTAAAAAGAATAAAAAGTACACAAATCATATAAGAAATTTGATAACAAAATTTATGTAATTTTATAAAAAAAATATTAATTTTTGTTATTTTATTATGTTAGAATGCTCTCATATGAGGGCACAATCAAGAAACATGACAAATGCATCAAAAATGGCGTCAATAATATTTATAAATTAAGCTTTTTTATCTTTGCATTTCACCAGTTAGATTTGCAGCTTAAAGCGTATCTATTCGATTTGCTGTTCATCTGTTTCATTTATATTTAATTGGTTCCGCTACGTTGACGTTATTTTTACTCAGTTTAATGCAATAAAAAGATTTCAATAAGGTTCTTTCCCCAGTTAATTTCATTGATTCTGCTATTCAGTTTACTTTTGAACATGAAACATCCATTTCCGTTCTGTTCCTCGACATCCTAGTCACACGAAATAAAGCTAATTGCATCCCTACTAAGCATCATAAGCCTGCCTTCCACCACTCTTAAAATCTTGTCATTCCACTAAATAGAAGTTGGCTTCATTTTATTCTTTCGTTTTCTGTGCACTATAAGTTTGCTCCTCCAAGTCAACTCTTTGTAAGGTATATTTTAATTTTGTAACAGTTATTTTAAGTTCGAAGTCTTTTCCTATCAATTCCTATTTTCCTTTCAATATTCTTATCTACTTACAACTACCAACCAGTATCAGCTTTTAGAATCTCGTTGAATGCAAATGAATAAGACGTAGTATTTAAGGAAGGTTCAACTTACATCGTAAGAGAGAGATAGGAATCCTGAGTAGAACGTGTTTTGCCTTCGGACTAAATCTCTCTTGAAGTTGTTACGTTCGGCCGTATATTACGAGCCTTTTGATATTCGCCGTCTAGTTTAAATTAAGGGCAAACTACGTTAGATAATTGTGTTAGTTTCGGTTAAGTCTCTTTTAGCTAGTTATAATTTTATTCTTATTTCTTATTCCCAGGTGGAGGTTTTGTTGTAAGCCCGAGAAAGAGACCAACTGTTCATCTTATTCTGAGTGAAGTAAAGGGTAGTTAACCCTTCTTGAGTCTACGCCTTTCGTTATTTCGACTCAGCTATAAGTCGCTTAACAGTTCACTAGGTTCCTCGACATTTACTTTAGTGAAAAAGAATGAGGAACCCTACATCTTGATTAAGAAAACTACTAAAGAGCAGTGGCAACTGACGGAGGTTTTTTACATCATATTATTGACCAAGCGGTTAAATTATTTTCATTGCAATACATTAAAAAGCATTTTCTCATTTTGAGCGATTATAAGAATTCCGTAGCCATTTTTGTCCTTCCATCGATTAGCTATAACATTGCACACATTTTACAGAAGTTAATTCTCTTGCCATTTTTCTCCTACCATTAAAATTCGCACTTCCATACCTAAAGACCCTACTCCCAATATGAACATTTGGGCGTATACAGTTTCCTTTCCACTATGGTTTAATAACATTGATCAAACTCAGCTTTCAAATTACACACTAAGGAGCATGAGACGTGTTAAAAACCACAGTTAAGAGAAACACAACACGCCTCTGTTTCCCTACACTGTTGGTCTAAAACATTACAATTCCCGTTTCACTGGGGCCAAAGTATTCGAAAAACATTTTCCTTCGGCGAAATAGATTTTCTGGGGGTGTTTCGTTCTCATAAAAATCTTGCAGTTCTAGTTAATAACGTCAATTCTTATCCTCTTTCAAAGACATTAATTCAGAACTGTTTTCCTCTTTTTGTCAATAGATAACACTAGTGACTTGTTTCCTCTTCTTTAGCTGGAACATTCTGGAATTATTAGCACATGTTTCTCCTCCGTCATTATGACTACTGTAGCTGAAGATTCTATTTAACCTTCGAAATTAGTACTACAAATTTAAGTAATCAAAATACATTTACGAGTTTCACAATTTTGTGGATTGCTTAAACTTCAAAATCTCTTTCTTCAAAATACTCTTTCTGACTTCCAACTACTGTCATATATTTTTTCAAACTCTTCTAGCAACTATAATGTAGAATAATTTAAAATGAATCTTTAATGCTTTATTGCCGAAACAATTTTATTGTTCAAAAGAGGCTATTTCTACTAGTCACGTTTTAAATTAACTTCACTTGCAATAAATAAATCTGTGTCAGCTGCTAAAAATCTATGTACAAAGGTTTCTTTTAGAATTTTCAATGCATTCTTCGCGGCCCATGGGAAAGCAGTTTATAGGGTTCTAGAGTATATTCATGTTAAATTTGATGTGTGTTTATTCAGCAACATATATATATATATATATACATTAATTTTATGTACGTGCCAAATAATAATCTGAACGTCTATAAATAAACTTACCCAACTATTTTACCACGTTTTCTTGCTTCCATTACTACTTCATGAACCGGCTGCCTTTAAAAACTGAACATTAGTATAGAATTTCAGATCACCAAAAAATTTTTATTTGTAATATTGTATAGAAATGTTATAAATGAAGGCAAACTGACCTTGTAAATCATATTTCGAATTATACCTATGATGCCATCACGAGGAATATATGGAACTCCCCGCTTTTTCCAGTAGTCGTCATTTTTTCTAATATATCTGTGGAAAACGACCAAGGAAAAAGTAAATTTGGTAAATTAATTTTATTAATTGCAAAACTGTAGTACTAGTCACTGAATTAACATTCAAAATTTTTATTGCAATATCCTATACAAATGTTTTAATTGTTAAAATGACTTACTGAAATAACAGAAAAATTCTGACCATAAATATTCAGATAAGTCTTTAAAGAGGTTAGAAATTAGTTGACAAAAAATTCAGAAAGTTTCAGTTTCATTATGTATCTCTAATTATCTTCTAAACCCCTGAACATTAAAATCTTACTTTCCGTACTACATTATGGGTCTATTTCAAAAAAAGATAACAGACTAATATTTTTTTTCCAATTCTTCAATTTGTTTCAGTTTTGTCGTAGGCCTTCTAATCAACATAAATTTAACAATTTGTGAACAGCTTTGCTCAGATTTTAGGCTTGCTGAACCTGGGACATGATTTTTAAAAGAATTTTCCTGTAATAAAACTTCAAATACCCAAACAAATTTCAAGAGCTTAAAATGTAGAGGAATAATAAAAGAATTTCGGCTTCATTACTAAAATATAATTTTTTTTCTAAGCTGCTAAACACTAAGTTCTGCCTTCCCGTAACGGTTCTCAAACATTTGGTCTAGCAGAAACTCTTTTACAATTAATTTTTGCCGTATAAATTTGCTTTCCAGTCTCAGTAAAATTTATCAACGCATTACTTTAAAAAGGATGAATCTATATCCTCAACCAATTCCCTCTGATCACTACGGATTCAGGAAACAACTAGCTACTTCAAAACAGCTAGTCAGACTGGTTGAATTTATGGAGGCAGCTCTGCACCACACGAAATGCACGGCACTCCTTATTCTAGATGTGGCGAAATCATTCGACTGCGTCTGGCATAAGGAGTTAATCTACCCTCTGATTAGGATGAACTTTAGTTGGGAAATTAATCTTCTCCTCAATTCCTTCCTTACTGACCGAACTTTTAGTCTCAGTCAAGGAACTTCTATTCAGCCTTCAAACCATTACTGCAGGAGTGCCCTAGGGTTCCTGTCTTGCGCCTATTCTGTACCATTTTTAAGTAATGATTTTCCAAGCGCTAAACTGGAGCATACCTTTATATTAGCTTGCTATGCTAATGATACGGCGGTAGCCTTGTGATCTATCCAACTATATAATGCCATCTCAAACGGACTCAGTTATGCCATCTCCAACTCAACTCCTAGGAAAAAACTCTGGACTGTCTGTCAACAAAAAGAGAATATACCTATGCATTATAAGGCCAATTCTATACTATGCATCTGCAGCCTGGGCGTCAGCCTCAAAGGCAGTCTTTCACAAACTTCATGTAGTACAGAATAAGATTCTGGGAGGAAATGCTCATGACCTGCTTAGAAATAAACTGATCCATGATGACTTGAAAATCGACAGTTTAGTGGAACAAATCATAAAGCAAGTTGTCTCCAATTTTAACTCACTTTTTTACCGTTCTTAGTGTTTTGCCTTCTAACTGTCAATGTCTTGTGCCTTCAGAGGCTTACTTTTGTTAGCTAGCTTATCAAGACCCCTTCGGGCGCCACATAAACAACGTCATAATCCTCATCCGTAGCTATATTTGAGACCGAGTGTGATACTGGCATCGTATACGCATTGTTAATTTCCTGCCAGCTCTGTTAGTTGTAATTATTCGGCGTTGCGTTTTCTCATTGCAGACACTTTACTTCTGATGCAACTGTAGAGTTAGTGAGGCAACTTCTAGTAGTATTTAATTGTGTAGTCCTTTACTACTTTTAAAAATTTAGTTTGGACTGTTCTATTTTTTCATCACCAATAGTTGTGGAAATTATAGCACAAGAGAGTGCATTCTTGTTCTAAATTTTTTTTTAAATAAAAAGATTATTTAATCTTCTCAAGATTTTGTCGTTTTTCTCAGACTTAACGATAATTCACTTCACGTCTTTTAGGGTTATTAGACTAAAATAGAATATCAGATAAAGCGTAATTATTAACCCGTTGTTGGATTTCTTACCACAAGGAACTTATTCTTATAGGCTGTATTCTCATCCCTTACCTAAGACGTTATGAAATACCATATATAATAAGTATCTGAAATTTCTGTACTGTCTCTGTCTGAAATCCCTATCCTGTCATTTCTAGTACAAGATGAATCATTTACATATAGTATATATACATACATTCCTATATTTTCTAGGTGAAAATTAATCATTTTGCACTTGTTTCATTTTGCACTTGTTTACAGTGAATAATCTCAAAAATCTCTTATATTATAAGGTATTTCTCCCACTTCCCTAGCGTGCATTCGTGGTGTAACGGTAGCACGCTGGGCCGGTATTCCAGAGTTCCGTGATTCGATTCCCGACGAAAGCGGTTGCATATTTTTCATCTTTTCTGATTCCAATTAACCTAATGACTCTACAAGTGGCGCCCCGACTAAAAGGTGTGCATGATATTCTCTGCACTCAGGAATTGGCGACTAGGTCCCTTAAAACCCTAGTCTCCCTTTAAAAAGGGAAGTATATAAGGTATTTCTCCCACTTCCCTAGCGTGCCTTCGTGGTGTGATGGTAGCACGCTGGGCCGGTATTCCAGAGTTCCGTGGTTCGATTCCCGGCGAAGGCGGTTGCATATTTTTCATCTTTTCTGCTTCCAATTAACCTAATGACTCTACAATATTACCAAATGTTTAAGTCTTTTGACAAAAACAGTCTATACTATTATATGTGTCAGTTTCAAATAAACTGCCAATCATGTAATTCACTTTTGGACAATTAAGCCCCTTTTATTAAGTTTCCAATAAATTTAGCTATGGACATTTGACGTATGCCCTTTTGTATAATAACAATACTTCAGCAGCAAAAGTGTGTTTATTATCTATCACGTCAAGCATATAGTACCCAGAATCCCCACAAGGGAAAAAGTTACGCTCAGATAGAGGAACTCGATTACTGCTAAAGATACCTCTAATAATCTTGGGGGAGGGAAAAAAGTCAGAAATCAATAGAATCCGATAATGTCAAACAGATAAACAGAAAGATTGAGTTTAAAAAGGCCAAAGAAAATTTTCGTATTATCAATATATTAGTCTGATAAAAATCTTCCCCAGAAATTCAGTGTTTTTATAGAACGATTTTAAAATTTTTATGAAAACGTTCGTGGCAATGCTTAGATCAACGCTTTGGTAATCGCCGACATTTGCTTTTGAATTGACATTGCTGTTGTTAATTTTAACGATATTTTAAGAATTTATTTTACGAATTAATGAATCAAGCTGATTCATTGAGCAGTTTCCATGCACTTTTTATAAATGATCAATATTTTAAAATTTAATTATTTAAATTCACAACCAGAAAAGAGGAATTAAAAATATATACAATTCTGATACATAATACTGCAAGTTTAGTATATCAAAGATAATTACATAGAGATAAAAATTGTGTTATTTAATTTGTTCCTTTCCTTAACAATGAAAAATATTAAAAAGTGAGATAAAAAGAATGTAACTTCGAAAAGTCTCTTCTATCTAAGCAGTATGAAATTTTAAAAAAAGATGCCTATTTTTTACGTTATTTTTGACAAACCATTAATGGCATGTTCTTAAGCATTACTAACTTCGCAAGGATATCATAATTTTTTTGTTCGTAATTCGTGAAATTTAGAGTGGTAAGTCAAATTCTGTTTTTATGTGGTTTACATACCTTCTTTTAATATTGCATATAGTACTCACAACACTTAGTTCTTCTGTCGAAAGTAATTTATCTTTTAAACAATGTTCCCTAATAATATAGGGAATGCAAATCAAGCTATGAAAGTAAACATTAGGAGGGAAATTGATAAATATTATCTTTATCTGCTGCTAAATTCACAAATTTTTAGAAGTATCTAGTTATAATTCCGATTTGAGTCCCATAGCTGAGTTGTAATTGACAACTGCTAAGGCAATTAAGAAATAAAATTCCATATATTATTGACAGGGTTACTGACAGAAAAAAAATTATTTATAATACCTGTCTCAGTCCGGATTTAAAATGTTGTTCAAAGTTACGCATAGAAATCAAAATTCTCTTTTGTTTACTTTTAAGTAAAAATTAAAAATGGCATCTGTTTACAAAATTGTGAGCGTGCGTAAGATTGAACATTACATATCGCCACTGAATACATATGATGTTATTTCCTTAAAATGAAATTGTTTTCCTACAATCAGTTGTTGAAATATTTGTTCTTTTTCATAATATAGCGAACTATTTTATAAATTAGAATTTTGGTCTCAATCTTTTGTGCGCTAACACGGTAACTATATACATAATTTCAACATTTCTGAAAACTGAATTAAAACAAATTGTTTATTGTGTTTAATTTGTATTTTGATTAATTTGATTAATATGGCTTTAAAACTGCCATGAGTGTTTTCATAAGAGAACATCGAAATTTTCATAGGATTTCTTTCATTCTGAGTCAAAGAAATAACTTATTAATAAACAATATTTCATTAAAACGACAGAATGACATCTTATAGGCAACTTTTTATCTTGTATTTCTTTATTTATATAAAGACTATTATGAAAAACATACATCTACTTGAAAAAACGGGGATGGGGGAATTCTCAAACTGGTCGCTATGTGGCGTAAAAACTATCATTTTGTAACTAAGTACATAAATGTTAGATATGTCATCTGCTAAATTACGTAAGTGGTGTAATTCTCAGTAAAACTTGCGTAGATGTAACTACAGATGTGATGGTAAAAAAAAACAATGAGAAAATAATTTAGAAGAAAGTACATTGTTTTTAATTTTTCAGTCTGAAAACAACTACAATTAAAATAGAAGTCTTTTCCTGTAAGACTGGCAGATGCAGTCAGAAATAGCAGTTTGCCAGAAAAACTATGTTAAATGATTGGCAATTGTTGTAAGAACTAGGTGTTTATCGTGCTACTTGGGTAATAAATATTTGGGAGTGTAACATGAAATTATGCAATGTGTCGAGGTGAGAAAAATAAAAAAAAATAATTATAATAAAACTAGACAATAAGCACATCTTAATGTTAAACTTTTTAAATTAATACGATTTATCCTCAATGCATGTAATTCTATGGCATTATTAGGGAAGCGAAATTCCTTACATGAATAATTTTAGCTATAGGAAAAACAAAAAGCTTTTTTAAAACCTTAGGTTACAAATGGAATATTAGCCACTGAGGGCCGGATTTAGATTTGACGAGATCCTAAGCTGAGATATTGATATGAGCCAATTTTTTTATATGGGATATGCTACAACTTTCGGGGGGCAACAAAGTGGGGGCCCTAAGCTATAGCTTGTTCAGCTTATACGTAAGTCTGGCACTGAGTCACTGAACATTTAAGCCAGTGTTCAGTCTGTCTATTACTTTGGATTTATGTTGCACATCACTGAACACATTTGAAATAACGTAAATATTAACATAACGTTACTTCGAGACAAGAAGTGAGAAAATGTATTTGTCATAAGAAAACCAGTCAATCAGCTTTATGACAGTTTACACAGAACTTTTAGATTTGTAGAAAAAAAAGAGATCAGTGTCTACAATAAAACAAAGAGCAGTAAAACGAGACATACTCATTGCTGATGGCTTTACTCACCTTAACAATAGAGCGATGGCAACCACTGCAAGCGAAACAGCGATTGGTATCCACATATTAACCCTTTATTCTGAACACGCAGCCCAAAAGTTAACTTAATGAAGCGAAGCGACAGCGGCTTTTAAAAGAAATTTTTGCTAGAGCTGCAATAAGAGGAAATGATGTAACGCTTTAATGAGAGGGAAGGTTACTCTCTGACGCCGCAATTAGATATTAATTTCTAATCAAAATCTTCTTGGATTTATTTTATTAATTCATTTCTTTTCATTACCCGCCCGATTGCAACTCGAGTGCTTTACATCCGTGAAGCATCTGACATTCACTTGTCATCCAACAACAAAGATAAAATAACTACATTGAGATTAGAACTGTCTTTCAGCGGCGCAAGTCTACGGCGCATCCGTTTTTAAATCCGGGTACGAAAGAGTCACTGCACTCTGTTCTGCGTATTGTGAACTTAGCTTTTTTCATTCTGACCAGAAATAATGTTTACGTTTTTTCATTCCTAAACTAAATATTTTAATAAAATTTCGTAAAGAAGGAAAAACACAGTTTAAAAACAAGGAAAAGACCAAATTTAAAGATATTTCCAGGCATGTACTTTCTTTCAATTATACAGCTTTTCTAAATGATAGAAAATTTTATGAGAACATTTTGAACATTGAACATAAAACTGTTTTGAAAAAAAAAAAAAATTAACGTTATATACAGTTACAATAGAACATAAATAAGGATTAGAGAAACATTTATCATACTTTAATATGTTAAAATGTTTCCATACGTTTACATGCCAAACTCGTGTAGATATTAGAAAACTACTTTGCTAACTTGGATCTCTTTTGAACGCATAAATCCTCGAAATTAATGCTTCCGTTTATTACGGGAGCTTAAAAAACGGAAGTATTTAAAACCAATCTGTATTTTAAAACATTATATTTCAACATGTGTTATTAGCCTTTCTTTCTGTATATTTTGTTGTTTACAATAAAAGTATACTGAAGCTTTGAGATGTCGTTAATTTATATATTTTTACGTTCAAGAAAAATGGGCTAAAGAATCCTCCATCTTTAAAAAACTTTAATACTTTCGGAGTTGATTTTCAATTTTTGTTGAATAATAAAAATTTGATTGTAGCTGATGGCAGTAGTATATAGTATCTTACCATTTAAGAGGAAAAGAGAAATAATTACATGATTCATCAATAGTCTATATATAAGAAAATTTATTTCACAGAATTAGAAATCATTACTAGTTAATTTACATTACATAGGTATTCAAAATCAAATATTCATCATTGTAAGAAAAATCGATTACAGTTTTATAAGTTATCTTTTAGATGCTTACACACGCTGCATTGCAAGCGTACTATCGGTGAATATTCTAATTACTGAAGAAATAAGTACACTGGTGTGCAACAAATTAAGGACGAAGTCAAAAAATTAGCATATCAGCTGAACGAAGAGGCAGAGCGGACAGAAAGACCAATCAGGAGATTAAGTAAGGTGATGTACGGTAGCACATGCGCAGATATGCAGGTAGACGTAATGGGGGAGTGTCTGAGTAGTATAAAGCATGTTGTCGGTGTAAAGATCAGTATTTCTGCAAAGAGATTGCACGCCGTATAGCAGTTAAAATCACACCGAGTTGCTGCCTCAGCGAGAAATGGCGAATAATCAATCTGTTAGACGACATCTGGATGCTTTTACCCGAGTTCGAATCATTGGGAAGTTGGAGGAAGGCCGCAGTGTGACAAGTGTGGCTGCAGAGTTCGGAATTGCTCACAGCATCGTTTGACGACTTTGGAGACAATTTCAAACTACAGGAACAACTATCCGGGGGTTTAGTAGTGGTCGTCGACGAGGAACCACACCCGCAGATGACCGGTATATTGCCTTACAGGCCAGAAGAAACAGGCGGAAGACAGCGGGAGAAATCGCTAGACACACGACACAGGCGACTGGACGACCGATATCGCGTTTAACCGTGGCCAGAAGACTGCACGGTGGTGGTCTGTTTGCACGACGCCCTGTACGGTGTGTACCTCTAAAGCCTGCCCATCGGAGAAGGCGTTCTCTGTGGTGCCGGGAACACCGGAATTGGAGAGACAATGAATGGGGACGAGTACTCTTTACAGATGAGAGCATATTCAGTCTGAGTAGCGATTCTCATCGCATACTCATCTGGAGAGAGCGGGGAAGCCGCAATCATCCCTCGAACATCATTGAAAAGGACAGGTATGGAGGTGGCGGTGTTCTCGTTTGGGGAGGCATCATGCTTGGTAGTCGTACAGACCTTCACATCTTCGACGCAGGTTCAGTCAACGGGACCCGTTATTGTAACGAGATTCTTCTTCCATATGTGCGTCTTTTTAGAGGCGCTATGGGTCCGCAGTTCCTTTTCATGGACCACAATGCACCATGTCATCGCACAGTAGCTGCCGAACAGCTCTTAGAGAGTGAGGATATTGAACGTATGGATTGGCCGGCACGATCTCCGGATCTCCATCCCATCGAGCATGTATGGGATTTTCTAGACAGACGCTTAGCAGCTCGTACCTTACCACCAGTAACGATTCCGGAGCTTCGATTGGCGCTGCAAGACGAATGGGCAGCAGTGCCTCAACAACTCATTGACACCCTCATTCTCAGCATGGGCGAAGGTTACTGCTAGGTTGTGAAACCTGCCTAGCAGTCAGGGGAGATCATATCCCCTATTAAAGACCGGATGTTTCTTGCTGGACACCCATCACAGGGATGTTTCGGCCTTCAGTCGCATTGCGCTCCATGCTACTTTTTCAATAAAGCTTCTTTTTATCCCTTTGATTACTCTTTTAGTAAGTGTTGCTTACATTACTCATGTCCTTACGTATTGGGGATCTTACGGTATTAAATGTGTTGATTTGGAAAGCTTTTGTACAAAGTTATATTGAAAAAACCGTCTTGTCCTTAATTTTTGCACACCAGTGTATATTTCGTATTGAGTATATTTAAGCTGTTTACATCGAAATGATAGGTTTTTATGTTAGTTTTCAGATATTAAACAGGTATCTAAATGATCAAAAGGAAACTTTTTAAAGGTATTGGGTCAGTCATTTTGCTTTTGCCTAGTTAGTATGTCATTCTTTATGGTTATGTTGCTATTATTAGAGACAAATATGTTAACATTTTGTCAATTTTTAATCAGCGATTAGCAAACTATTTGAATTTACATAACAATATCTGTATCTATATCTATCTAGTTAGTATAGAACAAATAACTACGGGAGTTCCCCCGCACTTATTTTGTCAACTTAAAAAAAAAGTTGTTGATTGCTACTTAGGAAAGACCTAAGAGCTCGGTGTAAGAATTAAAAAGCGTTATTTAAATCTTATTAACTTTTCACTCTCCGACAAATCTGCATGGAACGATTACATTACTTCAACACTATTTATTTATTGGTGGCGCTCAAAGAAAACTAAGCCCACAGAAAGACTAAAAAGTGCTCCCATAATGCGCTGGGGATGTGAAGTATAAGTTGTAGGTACAGGTGAAAAACATTGCAAAACTCAAAATTTAGACACGTCGCCCAGACGGTATAGTGTTTGGGGGAGCTTAACTGCGATACCAAAGGGCCCTGTTTCGAATCCCGGAGAAGGCATAGATGTAAAATTGTTCGTCCCTCCATAGGAAGACAGTGGTCGCCGCCTATTAGGTGCTTCGACAATAAAATGGCCCCCACTTCTGGCCTTAGTAATGGACAATGCCATTATAAGTGCCCGCTATTGGAAAAAAAATTATATTTATGAGGTACACAACTCTGGAACACGCATGAATATATTCACAGTAAAAAGTTCAAATTGTATATTTGCTATTTATAATACAGTCAGTTTCTTTTGTAGATGCATAAAAATGCTTTATCCTTAATTAGTAAAGACAATAATGTGTTTCACATTTGATCATATTCTATCAAATTTGTAAGTGCATTTTAAAGCAAGGTAATCGGCTAACATTTTCCAAAATAAAATTTTATTGGTAGATCAATATGATTTCATATTTCCCGCTATTAAATAAAATCGGATTATATTTGCAGTTTCCTTGACGCCTTTTTATACTTTTACAGCTTTCCACTGCCTCATTTCTATCGATCACTCGTTGGGTTTGCTTGGTTTGCATGTGGCATTGTAATAAATGGTCATCTGGAAAGAAAATTTAATTAATTTAATCTTTCAGGAACTAAAATAACACATAATTTAATTCTTTAACATAGAAAATAGAAAAATTAATAACATTTCTGTTTTTAAAAAAAAATAAACAAAATTCTGTGTTTCTTTGTTTTTAGAAGTAACATATGGGTTATTCCCATTTTCATTTGCTTCGTTTCTAATCTTCAGTCTAATAGATAGCATTCTTTCAGATAGATTCTTGTTTATCTGTGATTCCTTATTCGAAAGGAATCATTGAAGGATAATGACATGACACATTGAACCAGTGCCGATCCTAGACCGTCGGCCGCTGACGTGCAAATTAAAACTGACCGTTCTTTTTTACAAACCTTATGCTTTAAATTTTTAGCTTAATAATAATTTCGCTGCCCTTATATTTAGCCACCCACGTGCTGTGCACGATCTTGTACCCTGCTAGGATCGGCCCTGCATTTAACCTTTATTAATTGAACACAACAGCATTACATTCTTTTTTCTAATCTTAATCCTATTCCTAAAAGACGATTTCGAACCTCATCTAATATCTACTTCTGAATCCACTGTAGATCTAAATTTTGTTGCTGTACCCATTTTCTCAGCTAGACTAGTCTTTTAAACGTTATGATTCGTATACTTACGTCTTCATTTTTTTGGCTCAGCGCTTCCTTCGAAATTCATTTTTCATAACAATCGTAAACTGCGTATCTTCTTTTTCTTCTCTAATCTAGAGTTGGACGATCCGCTCCGAATAAATTCAGAGAAGCGATTCACTTTATTGTACGAATTTACTTCGGTAACTCTTTGACAGTTCTCGGAGAGCTGTTGGAAGCTACAACTCTGCGAGTCTTCTCAGGAATAGTGTTCAGACATTCATTCACGAACTCTTTCACTTTACTAAGCAAGAGAACATCTGATTCGCGTAAAGAGAGCAGAGTTCTTATTGGAAGTTTGGCAGGAAAGTTCGATTTCTATTTTAGGGGAAAAAAAGAATTTTATCCTTCCATGGTAATATGTGAGTTTAATTTTTATCGTTTCGCAACTTTTAAAAACATTTTATTCTAGAATTTATTGCTAATTTTGTGTAAAAAGGCAGTTTTAGAGAATGTCAAAATTACAGCTGAAAGATATCAGTGCAGAGAGTTAGCGTTCGATTGAATCGATTCTTTTGATCCAACGATTCGTTCGGTTATTTTCGCTCTTCGCTAGTACCTCGTTAACCATTTCCTATTCCACTACTCTTTCGATTCTTTCCTCTTTTCACTCCATCCTCACTAGCCGCTCTTGATTCGCCTGTTGTTCGCCAAAACACCCTTTCTCTCAGAGTTCTTTTTGCCCATCTCTCTTCTGAACTACTGATGAAATCTTGCTCCTGTAGGGACGACCCTACTTAAATTCCATCAGTCAGTTAATAGATGTACGCTTTCATGTCTTATAATTCGTATAATGCAAGCCAGTTCCTGAATATGAAATTTCTGTATAATAGACGTCAAAAAACAAACATTACATATAATTGCTAACTTATTTTATTTTATTTTTATTTTTACTTAAATTTTTTGTCCTTTAATATTGGACCAATTTAGATACGTTACACCTCAGATTCCACACTGCCAATGAATGCCAGTTTCTGCTTAGTTTATTTGAAATTTTGACCATGGTACTTGCTGTTTACCTTTATTATTGTAATTAAATTTTTAATATCAAAACTTGTTCATTTTGGATAATCTTTCTCCAGTTCCCAAACTTAACAATAATGATTATTTAACTAGCAAATTTTCAGCGAATTATGTACGTATCAGTAGTTAACATTATTTATTGTACTTAACATTATTTATTTTTATCATATTGCCTATTATCTTTTAATTTTAGATAATATTTTGAAATATTTGAAAACTGGCCTAAATATAGTGTACTTACTCCGTCTTTTTCCTCTATTTTAGCTGGTTTGCATTCCAAGCCATCACGACATGGACACATAAATCTGTGCTTTCCCTCTACTTCGTTATATTTTGGGGTTGGATAACAAAATTCATCTGAATAGGGAATAAACAAAAATTTTAGTAAAGGCAAATTAACAAATATTAAAATATTGATTATTTTGATAAGCACTTAAATTATTGTTCAAATATGACGTTAAATAATCAGAAAGAATTATTTACGATTCTAAAGTTAACGGTCCAGCTAATTCTCCTATTTGGAAAATATGAAATTTTGCTTATGGAAATCTCATATTCTATATGCACTTTTTAAAATAATTCTTTATAAATATTTCTGAAGCCGTATATTTCTCAAATCAAGAAATATTTATGAATGTTTCCAACAAACAGGGCAAGTTTCAAACCGGTTCAAAAGAATAATACTGTACTAAAGACGTTAGTTGGATACGGAGGGTTTACTGTTTTTTATAAATAATTTTAATTAAATTTTTCTATCTCCTTTGAATTTTATCTTCATTTTTTTGTCATCATGAAACTAGGATTTGACACAATATTGCTTATTTGTATAAATGTTTTTAAAACTTGAATGATTTTTATGTCATACTGAAACTAAACCTTAAAATTTAAAGGTAAATGGAAAGTTGGCAACAGTTTGTCTTTTATCCCTTTCTCCAGCTGAAAAAAAAACCGAGCTAAAAATAGTAATGATGGAGGAAGGGAGGAACATTGAGGCAGATATTACAAAAACTCTGATGAACTCTATGCCCAGACGTTTGAAAGCTGTCATAAATACTGCAGGATATGCTAAAAACTAGATAATATTTTGAAATATTTGAAAACTGGCCTAAATATAGTGTACTTACTCCGTCTTTTTCCTCTATTTTAGCTGGTTTGCATTCCAAGCCATCACGACATGGACACATAAATCTGTGCTTTCCCTCTACTTCGTTATATTTTGGGTTTGGATAACAAAACTCATCTGACAGAAATTTTACAATATTTACTAATATGTGCATATTTAACTTCTTGACGCAGTTTTTTTGCACTTCGGAAGATGACTTTTGTGAGATACTGTTCTGTTACTTTAAAAAGTTTTAATACGTTCATAAAATTATTAATGTAGTTTTGCTAAGAGAAATTTATAGATATTATTAAAAAATTTTCATTCTAAACATTAATTTTTAGGGATAAGGAAAGCACTATTTCACTGAAACTCAAAAAGTGTACGAACACTTTTGTGATACACTGTATATCTTAGGAAATATCCCATATTCTCTAATTGTTTCTGAATTTTGTAAATAGTCGACATGAAATTTTCTAATGCCACTCCATGCAATCATAGAGATATTTTTGAGTAATTAGAAAAGAAATGAGTTCCATAATAAAAATACTGTGAACCTTAGATGTACTAACTACATTTCATGGAATTCACGAGGTTCACAAAGAAAACGTTTCAGGGATAAGGAAAGCACTATTTCACTGAAACTCAAAAAGTGTACGAACACTTTTGTGATACACTGTATATCTTAGGAAATATCCCATATTCTCTAATTGTTTCTGAATTTTGTAAATAGTCGACATGAAATTTTCTAATGCCACTCCATGCAATCATAGAGATATTTTTGAGTAATTAGAAAAGAAATGAGTTCCATAATAAAAATACTGTGAACCTTAGATGTACTAACTACATTTCATGGAATTCACGAGGTTCACAAAGAAAACGTTTCATGAAAGAATTTTCTCAACTGTGCTTTCTTACGTGGAAAATGGTCGGTGAAAACAAATTACCTTAAGTATTTTAGATGGGTGACTTTGATAAACATTATAAACTTGTAACATAAAAAAACATAAAGGAAATTTTGAAAGAAACAATTCTTTAAAATTTAAGATTTCTGTCTTTCGTTCAAATGCCAAAAATTGTTTGACAAATTATGATTAAACACGCTAACGCGAACCGTTTGCGCATACGATATTTGCGGTTGCTTGAAACTTTCGTTAAAATTCGATATTATTATGTTCAAAGGAAGTATTTCTGATAAAATAAACCTTTTCGCCAAACTTATGTTGTCCTGCTGAATTCAATAAAATTAGTTTTTTAACTTCAAACAATGCCTGATTCTATTGAGTTCTGGAAAATTTTGGTTAATAAAATTTTAAATATTTGATAATTAACTTATTTAAATTACGTCTTTGGTGATTTAATTATTTGGTTATTGAAGGTATTAAATTAACAACGCGTTCATAAAATACTTGCTGTGGGCTTTTGAGAAACATTACATGCAATGGATTTCATATGCTGTAGTATCCTTTCCCATCGGATGGTTGACTGTATCTGAAATATAAATTGAGTAGGAATATTTTAAACAATATGCCTCCTCTGACAAGTAAGGGGGAGACCAGCTCACATGCATTTAGAAACTGCGTTTTCCTACATGCAAAAGAAAATATGTATTTGAAAACATGTTCCTGAGAATTTAAAATATGAGACAAAACTTATGCGTGCAAGAGGTTTCAAGAAAAGTTATTTTTGTATCTCCAAATCATGGTAAACACGCTTTTAGGTCATATGTTAGATCATGCAAATGACCCTTAAAGGATTTTCTTTCTATAAGCGATGCGGGCCCACCAGCGGCCGAGCGGTAAAGTCGCTGAACACTGGTAGTTCGGTCCGAGGTTCGAATCCCGCGAACGGGCTGGCTGCATGGGTGTTTTTCGTGGTTTTCCCCATGTGTAACGTGTATACGAGCCAGTTTCCCTTAAAAAGTCCTCCACGAAAGGCATCCCTCCCCTTAGGCAGATAGCCCTAGTGTGCTTTGCCATAATTAAATACACATTCTATAAGCGATGCAATGATATACTTTTCCGAATAATACAAGATAACAGGTTTTAGTTTAAAAAAAACCGCCTTTAAATTTGTTTGCGTTCTGTAGTTCGAAATTAAGTAATATGAATTATAAAGCACTTCTAAACAAATTGGCTCTTGAGTTCGAGGAGGTGACGTATTGTGATCCAGTGCGTCTTATAATTCAAATGCACGATAAATGTATTTCATGAAAATTTCAAGCATTTCAAAATAGCATCATGTCGATTTATTTGGAATAAATTTCGAATAATTAATTTAACAGAAGGGAAAGAAGTATTGTTGAAGTCACATACTTTAATTGAATACTTAGTCTGATGACGTATTTCATTGTCATGAAAACGGAAAATATTTTTGGGAATGTTCACAGTCACAATGAATTTACCTTCTTGTCGCAGTTTTTTGCACTTCGAACTTATAAAAGATAAGGTATGAACACAACATTCGTCTTCTCCACAATCTTCATTTGAGTTGCACTTCTTTGATTCATCGGCGACCTGAAAAGGATTGATATTAAAAAAAAAAATTTCTGGTAAACGTTATGATAAAAATATTCTTCACTTTACTCGGAAGTAATGGCAGCAGTATTAGTGTATCTGATGCAAATTACTGATAGGCATCCATTTTTATAACTAATGAGTCAAACTTAAAGGACTTTTTGAGTATTTATGTATACCGTGTGTTATGTATACCTTGTTCACGAAAAATCCTTCCTCGGCCTTTATTTTCACAGTCATTGCCGTAGATATATATTTCCTATAACAAAAGTGTTTTAAATGTGTGTGTGAGGCAGAAAGCCTCGATGGCTACCTGCCTAAGGGAAGGGATGCCTTCGTGGAGGACTTTCTAAGGGAAACTGGCTCGTATACACGTTACACATAGGGAAAACCACGAAAACTCCCATGCAGCCAGCCCATTCGCAGGATTCGAACCTCGGACCGAACTACTTTACCGCTCGGCCCTTGGTGGGCTGTGTTTTAAATGATGCAGATATTTGAGGTTTGGAGTTTTTTAATTTAAACAACTGAATTTTATAAAAATTACGAAATGTAGCATTTTCTACATTCCTCCGGTCCCTATAAATTGGGAAAAAAAATGTGTACTTGTTCTAAAAAATTTTTTAAAAAATACAAAACTTAACCAAGGTATTTGATATTAAAATCGTAGACCATAATTATGGGCCGCACGCGAATTCAAGAGAGAATATTTTCACTTGTACATACCTAAGAATAAAATATTGCTTAGAAAATGTTTCTTAAGAGATTTTGTGACGAGTATCTATATATATTATCTATATAGATTATTGTAAAAAATATTACTCAATATAATTTTTTTTCGAAAAAATGGAGATCTTATTCACAGATTGTGCAAAATACTAACGAATCGCAAAAGAGTATCATTGAATGGTATTTAAGGAGGAAAATATCAATCTCGAATTATTCTAATTTATTTATTATCCGATTCCTCAAGGCAAATACAACTTCAAAATGACGCCAAAAATCACAAATTTTAAAATGAAATATCTCAGTCTGTTTTCGTTACTCAGGAATCAAAAGTTTTCTGCTTCATTTCTTTAATGAATACAATATATAAGTATGGGGACTAGGGAAGCGTATAACAAGTTAGATTTCATAAAGTTTTCAAAACTGTTTTCTTTAAATTTAAATACTGCAAAACATACATATTTTACGTCATTTAAAACTTTTTGTAACTGGAAATATATATCTAGCAGCCCAATCAGGATAGTGGTTAACGACGCTGACTGTCGTACCGAAGAGCCCAGAGAAGGCATGGCTGTTTGTAAATGTGTAGTGTCTGTATAACATAGGACCATTCTAAATATATGGTGAGCAGAAAGTTCTCTCAAGAGGTTGGTGGCACGGCAAAGAGGGTGGAAGACCCTCGGTTCCTTTTCCCCGGGTGCTCTCCTTCAAAATTGAAGGTGGAACTGAGCAAGTTTGCACTGTCACCCGTGTGCTGGCCAAAGGTTCTTGGTGCAAACTTGCACTCCTTGCTACGATGAATTGCATGGGCTTGTTCTGATGTTACTGTCAGACAGGTGAGATAAGTCACAACAACAACAGTATATATTTCTGACCAACGGTTGCGGAAAGGTCGGGTGACGACGTTTGTGGACACGATGTACATTGAAGTAAATGTGTATATGTATATATATATAATTATTATTGACAATATAATTTTCATTGCAGAATTTCTTAAAATAGACCCATATACAACCTTGTAGGAATGCGATACTACAAAAGACTACTTAAATTATAATATCGAGAAAGAGACATATTTTAATGTTCCATACTAAGATACACTGCTGGCCACCGTAAATGCAACACCCTGAAGGAAGCACGCAAATAACATGAAATTTACAACATACATTAGCGGAGGTGAGATATGCAAATGATTAGAATTTCAGAGCAGACGCACATCACGCGCGCCTATGGTGCCACTTCAAAGCGCTATTTAAGGTTTGGAGTTTTCGACGATTTCAAGTTCGGCAATTGTGTTTTTCTTGTGGTTTTTTCAAAAAAAAAAACGATCAATTATGCCTTGTAGTAAACAGCGATCATCATTTGATCAAGTATCCGAGTTCGACAGAGGAAGGATAGTGGCCTACCGAGAGTGTGGATTATCTTTCAGGGAAATCGGTAGCCGTGTTGAACGAAACTAAACAACTGTAATGCGGATATGTGGCCGTTGGATGCAGGAGGGTACGACGGACCAACGTGTTCGATCCCATCCACCTCAGTGCACCACTTCACGTGATGAAAGGAACATTGTGCGCATGGCAGTGACGGATCGCTCAGTCACATCACGAACCATAGCACAGCACATTCAGTCTGTAACGCATCATCCAGTGTTTGCGCGCACCATTGGACGCCGTTTACAGCAGAGTGGTCTGTCTGCAAGACGTCTATTGCTTCGTCTACCCTTGACGCAGAACCACAGACGTCTTCGCCGCCAGTGGTGCGACGAAAGAAGGATATGAACGGCAGAATGAAATAAAATTGTCTTTACTGACGAGTCACGCATCTGTCTGCAACACCACGATAGTCGGAATCGAGTCTGGAGACACCGTGGAGAGAGAATGTTGAACAGCTGCGTTATGCACCGCCACACTGGTCTTGCACCGGGTATTATGGTATGGGGCGGTATTGGATATCACTCTCGCACTTCTCTAATACGCATTGCCGGTAATTTAAACATTCAGCGCTACATCTCCGAGGTGTTGGAGCCACTTGTCCTTCCTTACCTTCAGGGCTTGTTCACAGCCATATTTGAACAGGATAATGCGCTGCCACACGTGGCACACATTATCCAAGGGTTCTTCGTCAATCGCCAGATTGAATTGCTTCCCTGGCCGGCTCGCTGTCCGTATCTTTCGCCGATAGAAAACATGTGGTCCATGGTTGCTGAACAATTGATCCAGATTACATCCCAAGCTACCACACCAGTTCAACTTGTTCAACAATTTGGGCAACGTGTGGAAGCTGCTTGGTCTGCTGTACCCCAAGAACACATCCAAAGTCTCTTTGAATCAATGGCGAGGCGTGTGGCAGCGGTGATCTCCAACAATGGCGGCTACTCTAGCTACTGATTCTGGAAGGAACCACACTTCACAGAAGTCTATAAATGTAATCATTTGATACTAGGTCAACATGTTATCTACTAAATAAATTTTGTTGCTCTTTTCTTTCTTGGTGTTGCAATTTGGGTGGCCAGCATTGTATATATATATGTATGTATATATGCCTAGTTAAGTTCTGTCTTAGTAAGAATGTGAATGCGTTCATCTGAAATATCAGTGCTTTCTTGTAAATATAATAACTTCTATTGCATTACTAAAAGGATCCTTCAAGTATATAAAATATATAAATATGATATTAAATATACAGTCTATTACAATCTGTAATGTTTGTGTTTGTAATTTAAAAGTGATTTAAATTCTAAAACATAGCTCAATATTTCGAATCCCCCTTCCTCTTTTAGAAGCTTCAGGATTTAACTATGGGTGAAAAGAAGCCATTTGTATAAAATGATTGGAAACTACTAATCTAATATAAAGAATTATAATATAATTATTCAGTATAATATAAAAATATGAAACATAATAATGTATACTTTGATGATATAAATTTATAATAACGCTTATGGATAATGAGAAGGTTAAGTTATCAGTATTCTGCTTCACTCGTATAAATAGTGAGGGTACAGTGTAAACAAAATAGGTATGTTTTATTTTAGCTCTGTGATCGTCTGATATCAGTTGAGAATTCTGTATTTCTTATATATCCTTGGTTTCTTATACACATGTCTCGCACTACAAAACAACGCTACATATACAGCTGACTACCCTGTCATGATGCATTTCAGCAGGTTTATTTTTTTATTCTTAATTATATTTTTAAAATATAATTTTGAGCATCGGATCAAGCCTTACTCACCAGATATGTTAAACTGAAACGATCTAAAAACGCTTTATTCGCCTTAATTTCGAAAATACATACTCATCATTTTCTTGCCATCTAAAATATACACAGCTCAAAATTAACAGTGAGTCTGTTTCTTTGCTATTGCTTTTGTTAACTTTCTTCTATTAAGAAAGGTTATTCTACATGTTAAAAATTACACTTGGTAAATTTGGTACAAAGTTTAACTGATTCAAACTTTCATTAAAATATTCTCTACAAATAATATTATTTCAGTTGTAAAAAAATCTCATGATTTTCTAAACGTATAATATATAAAGAAGAGAAAATTACTTTAATTATCTTCTACAGAAGAGCTTTTTCAAGTGGGGATCGATTGCATAAATTTGAATGTTCTGCGGACCATTTTATTCTTGACCCCTTCGAAAAGATCTTTTTTAGCGTATATTATACCTAGTAAATTCGTATGCATATATTTCAGTTCTGAATTTTATTAAATAATTAAATTAATCGAATAAAATTTATATTCGTTTTTAATAAGACTGTTAGTATTTGGATAATCTTAATTTTATTAACTAAAAAATTAAATAAATATGTTGTCCGTCATATTAAAGAGACTAATAAGGCTACCGATTTTTGCACAGCTGGTTGTATGTTTTGATTTTACTTTCAGTTTACCAACAACGTTTATGTTGGTAAATTGAAGTCTGAGATCGGCAAATATATGGAGTAGATTTCGGTACTTTGATTTTATTCGAGTTAGTGGTAGAACCTTTTCTTACGCAGACACGTAGAAGCAAATTATGCTGAATTATAATTTTTAAAGCCCCATTGTAAAGTTCCGTTTTCACTAAAACTGACGTTCGGAAATCAACCGTACCTTCTGCTCGAAATTTCATTTTATTCCATGCCATTTTAGAAACAAGTAATTATTATCTTTTATTCAATGGCAGTTCTATATTTTCGGTAACGCAATGGTAAAGACCATAAACTCACCAAAATGTTTTACAGTTACATGGAAATCCGTAAGATAAAGGGTAATAAATTTTATAAAATATTAATCTTGGGAGATGATTGCAATCTGTAATATTCAAACTCTGAGATTTCCTTCTATAGTACACGCAGTTAATTTTAATTTTACTTTTTGCCTTTTTGTTTTTCGAAATCTAGTAGGACCACAGATTGAGAAACGCTACTGAAGAACGAGCAATCAATATAAAACGAGATGTTAACTAGAAACCATGCGGTTTGGCAAAGAAAATAGAGAACATGCGCATTTGACAGTAGAAGAAACAAGCATTTCATCAGTTGTGAAGTATTTGAAATAAAATCAGCTTACGGATTTCTAAAAACTTAACAATGATAATTTGTATTAAAAAATCCAGGTTTGAAAATTTCTTACGTTCGAATTAGAAATAATCAATTCTTAAATTTCTAATAAATTTTAAAATTTATTTACGCTTATAAATTCCTTTTCTAGAATTTAACCATATCTTTAGAACATTCTTATCTACTTTTGTTAAAACTGATTAAGATAAGCTCTTCTTTCGGGATTTAAATCGTTAAATATTATTCACGCTCAACAATATATTAAGAGCGATTAACTAATTTTATTTTATGACGAATAATAGTGATATATGCCGCAAATTAAATGTTCTTTTATTTAATAAGAAATAGGACATTAGGTATGGTTTTATGAGATTACGGCAAAGCCTCGAGGCCTGTCTTCCCAAGGGGAATGATGCCTTCGTGGAAGATTTTCTAAAGGAAACTAGCTCGTATACACATTACTCAAGGAAAATCACAAAAGCGCCCATGCAGCCAGCCCGTTCGCGGAATTCGAGTCTCGGACCAAACTACCAGTGCTCGGCGACTTTTACCGCTTGGCCCCTGGTGGGCCAAAATATTAGGAATGAGAATTGGGGACCTCTATGCAGAAACGGTCAATTTAGCACTTTGAAGGTCCTCAAATTACTTCCTTCTTCATTTGCTGCATAGAAAAAAAATGACCTAGCCATAAAAATGTTATATTATAAAAATATTAATAAAGAGACTGGTTTTACAGAATCTATCTACAAGAAATCTGTATGTCTGATGATGAAATTTCGCAAAATTTTTAAGCAAAATGTTATATTTCTCTTTAATTCTAAAACTTATATTCACTTTTTCTGCAAAGAGGAAAGCTTAATGTTTTCAATAATATTTTAATTTAGATAATTGTTTCAAATAATATGCTATACTAACATCATGTTATGTTAAAAATTTCGATTATACTACGGCGGCTTTTAGAAATATTTATTATTAAACGAAATATAATTATAGGATTTATCATTCAACGAAATATAATTATAGGATCAAAATAGAGAACATGCGCATTTGACAGTAGAAGAAACAAGCATTTCATCATTTGTGAAGTATTTGAAATAAAATCACAGAATTTTAAAAATATATCTAGCACGAAAATTGTAGTGAATGGAGAAAAAGTAAAGTTTTCTATGTTTCACTTTCAAGACTGGAAAATACTTGTTGACAGCATTTACGTGTTTAGTTTATAATAATCATATTTTCATTAAGCACAATTCAAGTTGTCGGAAAATGTAACATGCCATCTGGACATCATCAAATAAAAATTTCGTTTTTTAGAATGCTATTTATTTCCTAATGTAGTAAAAACCGAAATTGAAACTTTGTTAGACTTTAAACTTCAGTTATACGTCTTGAATTTTCAAATGCACTGAATTACTTACCGCTAAGATGATAGAGCATAAAACAAGAGTCAGCACTATGGACTTCATCTTGATACACAAGGGCAAAACTGACGAAAAAATGTTCTCGAATATATAGTTATCAGCGTGAGAACTTCCATCTTATTCTCATGGATGCAGGTGCATTTTCTCCAGACGCAAAACAATTTCATTTTCAAGAGGAATGATGATAGAATAAGAAAATGTGAATAGATTATTTTTCCAATGCTTTGATAAAAGGAAACCTTAACGCAATAGCAAACAATAAAATACTCTTAAGAGATTATATAGTTTTCCGAATTTCTCATGTAATATACATAGTCATACATAAAACACTTTTTTGCAAACAATTTAAATGTATGAATCTTAAAAATAGATTTCCCATAGCTGCCATTAGAGTTAAATTTGTGAATCTAAAATTTATCCTAGGTCATCACTTACGAAAATCTCATAAGGAAAATTCAGTGTTATATTTCTATTGAATCCTTTAGAATTGTAATTAATTTTCTATAAACTACGTCACAGATCTTCTATAGAATTCTATATTATTTCAGATATAGCTTCTGTAGAGTTATGTATAGAAATACCGTAGAGATATATATAGATATCTCATAGAAATGTTTGCAGAGATTTCTAAATTTTACATAACGTGCATAGAAACAACTAATAGAATTTTAAGGAAAGTAACTCATCCAGTTTATAGAAAACTGAGCCGTAATTTTGAGGAATTCTCTCATCGAATTGCCTTTTTTTTTTTTTTTTTTTTTTTTTTTTTTCCCCTATAGAAAGATCTTTTAGAAACTTTTCGTTACTTAAAAACATCATAATACCAACAAAATTTTCTGATGGGATTAAAAGGAATTAAATTTACATTTTTGAATCAATTTTTTAACCTGAATTTTAAAATTATCTATGATATGGAGGGGGCGATTGAAACTTTTGGAAAAGATGTGATTTTTCTTTAATAAAGAACTTCAATACCGTAATATCCTTTTGATTTCTAAAATTATCTTAATAAAAAAATACATTTTAAATAATAGTAGTTAAATTTGAGAAAATATATCTGTTATCAGAAACTCAGATAAAATAGTTATAAATATTCATTTCGGAAATTAAAATTTCATAACTAGCAGCATAAAGTTAAACTTTTAACTAGTTTTTTATTTTAATTGATTTTACACTTCACGAGATTTAATTTTTGGATTATATAAACAATACTATATAAATAATAGTAGAAAATATTGCGTAAATTTAGAGGCTAAGATATATTAAGCTAGACTGGGAAAAGTAGAAATTTCCATTCAAAAATGGTTCAACTCTTATCAATAAAAAGTGCTTCATTTTGCTCTTCTGTATACCACAAATACATATCGAAACTAAAGCTTCAATTTCAAACTAAAGCTTTGATTACAATTCAAAAACTTTCCTATTTCTATAGAATGCCTTGCTATAAAGGATTTATAAAATGTCTGTATGATTTTGCAGAAGAACAGTTAGATAGAATTATGTTCTGTGAAAGCTTTATAGAAGTCCTAGTTTGTTCTAGAAAGAAGCGTTTCTAGAGGCCAACGCCTCTTCAATCTTTAGAGTGTGGACCACTTTTATAAACTGGAATGTTCAGCGAGCCACCTTACGTTTCTACCATTGGAAAGAAATGTTTTAGCATATGTTATTACTTATGATTAAGAGTCTCGTGCTCTATCGACCTGTTATTACTTGTATTAAAATATAGTAAATTCAGTGATATTTAGTATTTACTTTAAAAGAAGAAAATATATATTGTTTTTAATAATTCAAAACTAACAGCTTTAGTTAATCTACCTTATTAAGTAAAAATTAAATAAATGTTTGCACTCAATTTAATCAGATAGATGAGTCTGCCGGTTCTTGCATAACTGTTCTACTGTTGGAATTTTTGATGGTAAGAATCATCACAATCATAGAACTTTAAATCTCTCCTTTTGTGGCTAAGATTACATTCGGAGTCCGTAGATATATATTTCATAAATAATAATAACAGAAAAAGGTAATAAATTTCATAAAATGAAGTCCTGAGAGAAAATGCGACAGACAGTTGCCACGCGTAATTTCCAAACTCTGAGATTTTCAGCTACAATGTGGTATATGCAGTTAATATAAATTTTAATTTTTGCTTATTTTTAAATCAAGGACCACAAGGACCGTTTGTGGACTTCCACATCGAAAGCCAAAACTTCAGGGACGCTGCCTTTGAAGTTTTATAGGAATTTCTAGGAAGCGGTAGGAGTCTGTATAAACATTTTTCGTTATAGGCTTCCCCTCAAACATGCATAATCGTAAAATAACAGGAAAATTAAATCTTAAACTGTAAGTGTCAATATTATTTATATAAAATTTTCTATGGCAAATAACTGGGCCTTTGCTTCTTATTCAGTCTATATCCATTATTAAACGTATACCTAATTTCTCCTACCTCTGATCAGACACATACAGGTTAAGGGTGCCGAGGCCCCATAAATGTAACTGCAAAGAATAAATAACTTGCTATTGACCTTAATTACGTTTAGCCACATTTATTTCTTTCCTTCCTATTTTCATAACTCATTTTTTTTCATAACGTCTTGCTTTATTTTATTATTACAATCGACAAAAGAAAAGTAAGTTTGTTTATTTCGAAATAATGGAAATACTACTATGAAAAACTATTATCGAAATCTAAAATTGTAATCAAGTAAACCAAAAACTGTTTCGGTTTATGCTGAGTGTAAACCAAAAAACTCAGCATAAACCGAAAATAAAAAGGAAAGAAAACGACGTGAGATATTAGCAGTGCTAGAAGATAATGTCGAAGTACTTAAGAGCCCTTTTTTATCGACAATACTGCATAACTGAATAGTTTATAATGGGGAATACGTACACACTATGTAATAAAAAGCAAAATGATATAATCAGCTTTATATGTGTTTCAGCTCATTGGCACTGTTCAATTCCTCTTTCAAATACTGTTCTTTTAATGCTTACCTGTATCTTTAATTTCTTCTTTTCTAATGTTGTTCATTTTTCCATTAATTACAGGAAGAACTAGAACTTTGCTAGAACATGTTACCTCCTAGAAGAAGATTACCACAATCAATGTCCCCTATTTGTATTTCAGTGTCGCTTCTATTGATTATTAATCTTTAAATTTTACTGTGTTTACCTAATTTGTGTATTGTATTCTGTGTGTTTCAATTTACATGTTGTCTCTGTGTTGAACTGTTAAGTAGTAAATGCGTTGTGCTGTGTTTTCAAGTAAGTTTGCGGTATAATAATAAATACATGGTATGTAGAGCTCTCGGCTAGTATCATGAAATAATGGGTGCAAATGTTTAATTTTAGTTTCTAGTATTGTGTAAAATGTAACAGTTTCTAACAAGTATTCGTAGCCGCAGAGCCAACTTTCTGATTTGCATATTGTATATCGATTTTTATATTGTAGTATTCGCCATTTTATTTCAGTGTATGTACAGTATTCCATTATGCGTGTTGTATAATTTGTTTTCTGTTAGTGTGGAGTATAATAGTTAGTTTAATGTTACGTATATAATGGTAAGTAAGTGTGATGTATAATAGTAGTCTTGAACTAGACTTTCTTGGTTGTAGAACTTTGTAAATATGTATTGAAATGTATTGTTGGACTTAATGTTTTGAATTGACTCAGCATCAAATTTCTGCTACACTTTATTATCTTCCTAATTTTCACTGCGATTGTTCCCAAATTATTTAGTGTTCTTTTCATTAGTTTAAGCGTTATAGTTCAGCGCCGTGTACAGAATTGTCTACTTTCCTGATACGCGCATTTTATATGGTGTTTGTTTCTTATTTGTAGTATCAGCTATACTTTGTCAATGTGTTGTTCAGTATTCTAGCAATGTGTTTCATAATATGTTTTTTAGTAATGTGTGAAATAATAGTAAGTGTGTAGTTGTATAATAGTCAGTCAGTGTGATGTACAAGTGCAGGCTTGAAATTCCATTGTTAGTCTTGAATTTTAATGAATTTTGTTTTATCCAAACCAGTTTTGTATCCATGCAGCACTGTACTTCTAACTAATTCTGTTTTGTTTAAATCTGTGCAATCAAGAATGTCATATGTATCCAAGATAGTCCTTTGTATGCAAGATAGTCCTTTGTATCGCTTATCTAGATGTGACACTGTAACTTTTTTTTTAATATTTAGACTCAATAAATGCCGTTATGGATTCTGCAGGGTGGACATCATGATGCAAGGGCTTGTTCCCGGCCAGTAGTCCTCCTTAGCAGTGTAAAAGTAAAAAAAAAAAGTAGATTCTTTTTCTTTTGAATACTGATTGAATTTACGTAACCAAAAGAGCTTATTCTCTAAATTAAACATCTTGAATACGCAGGTAAATTATTAACATTATTTTTATGTTAATTATAATAAGTGTTACTTAACTTGTAGAGTTAGTATTAAAAGGTATTAAAAAGTGTCAAAACGTGTAAGGTAAAGTATTCAAAGGTATAAAAAAACTTTGTTAGAGTTAAAAGGTGTGGGTATTTAACTAAGACATTCCTTTCCTTTTCTTAGAATATAACGTTGTGTCATATATTCTGAGCATCAGTTTCAAGCCTATAAAAATATAGTGCACAGTTTTAAGAGGATGGTGACTTCAAATAGGTATATGTTTAAATTCAAGATTCCTACTAAGTCTTTTAAATAACTTCAGCAAAATTATTTTAACTTATATAAATACCCCAAAAATAACACAAAATAAAGGAGACATTCATATGTAGTAAATTATTTATTAGACAGAAATTTCAGTCTTGAATATGCATCATAAGTTCTCATGCTATTAAAGGAGAGCAGAACATTTCATTTGCTTCATATAGATATTTTCTTCTAAGTACACCGGGCGTAACGCTAGAATAAAAATAAACAGTACTTCATAAGAGTCTGCATTTACTAGCCATATAAGTTTATAAGATATTTTCTTTTATAAGGTAATTTTACAGCAAATCACTAAAAGCGTTGAATCACTGTTCTGATTGTTGCCACTATATATTATCTCCCGGTATTATATTTAAAGAAATATTTAACTGAAATCTGTCACAATTTATATTACACCCAAAGGGGCATTTTATTTATTTGCACACACATACAAGTTTATAGAGAATGTGGCTTAAAAATATTTACACATAGCACATCTTTAGAATTTCCTAGAGACAGTCTCGCATGCTGGCGATAAAAATGTTTAATTATGTACAATGTTGCCACTGCTCGCTTTAAAATCGTTCAGTTCATTATCATCATTAAAGTTTATTATTAAAGTTTCCTAAAATATGAGGCAGATAATAAAACAAATTCAAAATTCAAAATTCGTGCTTCCAGGTGCCTATATTAGGGTGGAGGACTAAGTCATTCAGAATTTGATGGCATTAGGAACTGCTGTTTTCTCACGTTGCGAGAAATATACATACGTTCATGCTGGTTCTTCATAATTTAATTTTTTAAATATACTACAGAGCGATAATATTCGGTGGCAGCAGTCTGAAAAGTGATTCAACGCTTTTAGTGATTCGACGCAAAATGCCGTTTTGAAATTAATAGCCCTTCTACGCTAATGCCTCTTTGGGATAATAATGAAAAATCTGCATGAATGTATGTATGTTTCTCGCATTATGAAAAATCAACAGTACCTAGAATCATCAAATTTTGAATAACATAGTCCTCCACCCGAATATGGGCCCCTACAGGACCAAATTTTGAATTTCGATTTTTTTATTATCTCTTCAATATTCTGTAAAATTTAAATGAATTTCTGATTAAAAAACTCAGTGATTTCACAAGTGGCAACACTGTACAGAATAACACATTTTTATCTTCAGGGCGCGAGACTGTCTGTCGGAAATTCTAAAGTTATGTTGTTTTTAAATATTATTAGCCCAAATGCTCCCGAAACATGTATGCGTGTGTGAAATGAAAAAAACACCGTTTTTCGTGTAATATAAAACCTGAAAGTTTTCAGCATTTGATGTACGTGAAACTTACGAATTAATACGATGTAAGTGAAAATTACTGAAAGACGATTTAAGGAAACAGTGCTTCTCATTTACACCAAATGTTAATTCGATATGTTCTCTCTATTAAAGTTCTTACCGGTACAACTGTACGCGGGATCATTTGTACGAGTACTCTCATAACTTTAAAATGCCACTATTTTATATAAACTTTAAACATAATTTTGGTCGTGTTTAGAAGTTATTGGTGAGGAATTAAATTTCCTTCTGTAAGAAATAAGAATCTGCTTTAGAAGCATTAGATTGAAATTCTTAAAGTATAAATTTTAAAATAACTAACAATAATGTAGCTTATTATAATAAACTTAATGATGGTGTGGTGTATTTAATTATGGCAAAGCACACTAGGGCTATCTGCCTAAGGGGAGGGATGCCTTCGTGGAGGACTTTCTAAGGGGAACTGGCTCGTATACACGTTACACATGGGGAAAAACCACGAAAACGCCCATGCAGCCAGCCCGTTCGCGGGATTCGAACCTCGGACCGAACTGCCAGTGTTCAGCGACTTTACCGCTCGGCCGCTGGTGGGCCTAAACTTAATGAATTAGCTTTTTTTATAACTGCAAATACAGCTTATCAAAAACTAATAATTCATATGTGTTACATTTACTGAAATGTACTCATCCAAAATTTAAGCTGCCTGTCCTACATTTCTATGATAAAAGTTGAACATTAAATAACCTTTGAATTGTCAGATAACCATTGTACTCACTGTGCTTTTGTTTTTGTACTTTACAGACATATTTACTTTTTATCAACACATTGAGCTCTGGAGATGCAGTAAAATATAAATTGCCACTTTCAGTCTTACGATACCTTACTATTATCAAGCAATAAGTATAACAATAAAAAGAAACACCTACAATTTTTTTCACATGCATTTCACGTACCTTAGTAGCATTATTATATTTAGAATTTAAGATCATGAATAATATTCTTATTATTGACTTTAATAATTCTTATTTATTATGCACTTTCTGTCCTTGGGCCCTCAATGATTTTCTCCTTGCTCTTAATAACATTTTCACATTCAATTTCGTAATGATATTTTCTGGTACTACATAGCGGTTTGAATCGTTTCTTCCGTGTGTAAGTAATCCAGAAATCAGGAATGCGGAAAGAACTCAAGCTTTTCTCCAATCCATCACTTTAGAATCGCGCAGTAGTGTCTGCATTAAATCATTCTTTTTGCTCAATTTCCTCATGTATTAGGAATGCGACGAAATATGTGCAATGACTTTGTAGCATTATTTATTACCTTCAACGTAGCACAGTTACATATGTTCAAAACTTTCTTCTGCAAAATCACATTCCTTTTTCGTTAATGCATAGCCAGAGCAGAAAATGGGAAAATACGAGCTTTATTTCTGTCGACTTACGCTTTCATGACTCAACTACAAGTACATACAAAAGTAGATGAGACACCAGAATTTCGTATCACCGAAATTGGTCAATTTCGTATTGGTCAACTAGGTTCCACCGAAATAATTGAGCAGTTCCAATCCAGTTTTGATGGAGAACATCCCGGAGGATGATACGAGAGTCATCCACATTCCTACTCCTACCACCAAACCACTCGAAAGAACTTCTGACTCGCCAGTATCAAAAACGCTTCGATTCCAGAAATATACTACAAACATTATTATATTCCTGCAACTTTGTTACAAACACCCATGCCTTATCTGCAATTCAAAGCCAAGCCATCCGTACAATAGCCAGCATCCCTACCCACTATACCTATCAGGACGGCTGTAACTCAGCTACAGTGCTATAGCCTCATCTGCGAATTTAGGACAAATCTCCTGTCGTGGGTATTGGTTTGATCGCTTCTTATTGTTTAAAGATGCATAACTCTATTGTTTTCCGTTCTACAATATTTCGTTCCAACACCTAATTTATTTTTCATTACACACAGCTTATTAAATTCGGTGTTTACATTAAAAATTTTCAGATAAGATTTTGTTAACTCTTGCAGATGGAATGCATATGATATCTCTGTTTTCATACATCAGAAATGCATCTCACCCTAAGTTATCATAAAGTTGCTGCCAGTTTCTTTCTTTCTGTACTCCTGAGATTAACGTTAATAGGTTAATTTACTTTATAGCCGCCGTATGTTGAAAACAACATCGACAAACAGTAAAAGGAAAAAACTTGCTATAATATCCTTCTATCATAAATTAACGCTACATAGTGAATTTTGCACTTATTTAATAAGGAAAAGACTAAATTACCGTATTTATCTCTCTCTCTCTCTCTTTTTACTTATTTTATCATAAGAAAATTGAGAAGAACAAATCATGCTACTAATTTCATTTCTGGAAAGCTCGGTAAGACGGTGTCATGGATAAACAACTGATAACTATCCCAATATTTTTTAAGAAATCTACAGTCAAGTAGGCATGCAAAATAATATTAGCATTACAATATCTAATAAGATATCTTCATTTCTCCTTCCCTGTAACTTAAATCTCATTCGTTCTAATTGTTGTCTGTATTACTCCTTAGGCCTCAAATCATCCACGGATAAATAAAAAAGGGGAATGTGCAGTTGACTTAACAACATCACAGACTGAATATCATTTCGTGTTTGCCTAGCTGCAATGGGTCGGTTCTTGCTTACAGTTCAGCAATTAAAAGGGAATTATTCAGAGTGACCTACGCAAGTAGTTTTCGAGGTTTGTCTTTGTCAGTAAAACGAAAACAATCACGTCTTGGACAAATACATTTTAAAGTTTAGGGGAGTTCGTTCTCTGAACTAACGTCGTACGATCCGCTTCGGCATTGACTCAAAGAACCAATTCACTTTGCTTCACAAATTTACTCCAATTCCAGAAAACGATGTTTTATCCTTTTTATAGTTCACTTCTACTTTCGATGGAAATGCACCAGAGATAGAAATCTGCCATTCATTCACGAACTGAATCATTTTATTGAGCGAGAGAACGTCTGATTGACGAAAAAGATCGGAAGGAGTTGGAAGCGTGACAACCTCTCATTTTAGGGGTGAAAATAATGTTTATTCTCCCATGTTAAAAGTGAATAAAATTTTTATCATTCCCCAACTTCTTGAAATAATTTTATTCCAAAATTTTATTGTTAGTCTATGTAGAAAAGAAATTTCCGGGAATCTCAGAACTACAGAACACCAGAGACGAACTTCTGCCCTAGCTTTCACCTTTCAAGCTTTGCGTCCAGCCCTCCGATGACCATCAAGCGGACGCAGACCTCTCTGTCCCCCTTCGGCTTTATAGAAAGCATTGGACGAAACTGAACGCTCAGACAATAAAAGTAACGATGACAACTGTGCTTCCGTGAACCACTCTGGTCGCAAAAAAATAAATTCATAATGGTGACCATACACTCTGTCAGTCTCCCTCTAGAGTACGACTGGAATCAAATTCCCAAAGATAGCTACAATATCTAATAATGTACCGGCCTCACAGCCAAGGGACATACAAGATAGTACTAGTACGGTCCCTGCCGAGCCGGTACCATCCACCGAATGAACGGTAGTACTAGTCCTGTGAAGACTGATTATATGCTTTCGTGGTCGAGATTGCCTAGGTACAGATCGCCAGAAGCTTCACAGGTTTTCCCCTGTCGACTCCCGTGTGATATCCCAGAACTACGATTGAAAGAAATCAGTTCAGTGTGTTATTTCGCTCTTGGCTCTATTCCCGGTAACTGATCCTGATCGAACTGCTCGTTCGATTCTCTCCGCTTTTACTCCATCCTCACTAACCTGTCTTGATTCATCCATTATTCCAAATCTTTACCATCAAATTTATTGTTAGTAAGCGAAGAATCATAAAAAACAACAGATTCACGTCAGTGAGCGAACAGTTCTAATCGATCCCATAAAAGAGTGGTTTTGTCCATCTCTATTTTGAATGCAGTGAGGAGGCGACACTTTTTTTTTTTTTTTATTTTTATTTTTAGAACCTGGCGCTGGAAAAGGTAAAGGTGTTACGTGAGGGAATACAGTATTCAAGACATATATGTACATGTTTTTCACTGAAAGTCTTATGCACGAAGCTCGCAACAAATATTTTTGTAGAACTAAAATAAAATAAATTCAAGTAAAGTATTAAACGCTTCAACTAAAATGTAAATGTTGGCACTATTTTACCTGAATACAAAATTCACATAATGAAAGGAATAAAACTTTTCTTGAGATATAAAACAATTACATAACTCGGAAATTATTACGGGTACTGAAACTTTCTAAAATCTGATTTCTGTCAAACCAGTATTTTTTTTTTAATCATTTCATTCTTTTCTTTAAAAATCTTCATTCTTTATCTCAATCAGGTCTTTAGCACTGTACTAGGCTTTAGAATCTATTAGATGTTTCGTTGTCAGGAAATGGAAAAAATAAATTATGCTTTTTCCCTAATTGAAACCACGGGCCTTCCAACTAGCAACCGAACCTGCGGTCACCTAAATCATGACAACTTGCATGTAGGAATGCAACAGTCCATCCATGTTTTACCGCGTATGAAACGTGATGCTTTTTTTTTAATTCTTGCACTCTGAATTAGCATGCTAAAAATATTTATGTTACTTACCCCGAATAGCTGTCTGCACTCCATACCATCTGCGCATGGGCAGAGATGGTCATAATATATTATGTCCCTCATTTTATCAACCACAAAGCAAAACTGACCTGTATAAAATATAAAGAAATAAAAAAGTATGTTTTATCAAATGCATAAAGATATATTATACGAAGCAGAACTTCTCAAATGGTGTTCCGTGGGAAAGTAGGACAAGAAGAGATAAAATTTAAGATTTAAGCACAAAATTAAAACATTTACAAATTTAAACGGTACTTACCTAACCCTTATACTAAGCATGGTAGCTTGAAGTTCATATATCAGAAAAAGAACTAAGCCACATATTATCATTGTATTTTTATCCATTTTTATTTCAAAAATTGTTAACAGCTTTTAATTTGCCAACAAGTGACCAATCTGTACCATTTTTCCAAGAAAGAGGCATTTTACCTCGCATTCGAATATTCCAAAATGGCCACAGAATAGAACTATTTATCTATGAAAGCATCTGAAAGTGAAGCATGAAAGTCTGAAAAACGGAAAGAAAGAAAAGCACGCATTCTAACAATTAGATCAGTGATTCTAGAACACCATTCAGAAAGCTACATCATGAAGTACACGACATATCAGAGCTATATTTAAAGACAAATAATAAGAGATACAATATTAGGCAAATTGATTAAAATTTTATCCTTATTAGACTTGCGAAACACAAAGAAATAATATGTTGTGTTGCCGTCATGGTCTGCAGTACATCAGCGGTACGCCTTGGCACTGAAAGAGACTTTGAATGCATGCTTAGGGTATATCAATTCATACTGTTTTCCCGTACATTGCCAATGTTCATCTGAAATAGCCATAGATGATGGATGCTGGGCCATTCGTTTGCCAGTCATCTACCAGACGTTTCGACAGGCGCCATATCGAGAAAGAGAGGTCCAAGACAGCAGTGAGATATGGTGGGCAATGAAGAACTTCTGAACGTTGCGTGCCACGTAAGTTAGCTCATTAACTAGTTGAAATTTAGCCGTAGAAGGAAAGGCAGCACGAAAGACTCCAGAGTTTTCGATGAAGCTGTGGCTGATATACAGATAGTGTGTATTAGGCGGGTATGGGAATAAAATCCCTTAACACCCCAAGTTATAACCTCAGGGGGCTAACCAATATCTTTGTTGTTCGGAGAGGCATAATGCGACGGTCATGCTGTTGCAACTGAAAATTCGCTATATACGGATATAACCATCGTGAAGTTGTAGGCAGAACCAAATTTCGTCAGAAGCAACGTTGCAGCTCATTAATTTTTTGCATTTTTGTCATTCATTTTGTTAAAATATTCAGTATCGTATTCAAATTTTAAACAGATATGTTTAAATTCACCATTAATTTAGACTCCTTCTTAAAAGATCAAAAACCATAACTATCTTTTCATTAAGAATGAAACTTTATATACTTTCTGACAGACGAAAATAGACAGAGGTGCACTTACCTAGGAGACATGGGAAAAAAAAAGAAAAATACATACAGGTGGTCTTAAATATATACCCTTATGCTTCAAGAAAACGAAGCTTTCAAAATGACAGTTGTTTAGAAACTCTATTTTATAGTACAAATTACAAACTTTTAGGCATGCTTAATACTCAAAATTAATTGGAAAATATTTTTATATAAAAAGATAAAAATATTTTTAAAAATAAGAACTTTAAAACAAATTCATACTTGTATTAAACCCAAAAGTAAATGCTTATAACACATCGTTTCTAACTCCTCACTACATTTGTTAGCAGACTATATTCATGTTTTAAAGTAGTTATACATGGCAGTGGCATCTAGCATAACGAATGCCATTCGCTCGACGATGGCCTTTGTTGTCGTATGCAAATCATTCGCTACGCAGAACGAGATTTCTTACAATCTATAAAAAAAGGATACTTTTAATTCCTTCCTAGGCCAATGCAAAATCGTGGAACATTGCAAAAGGTGTTTATAGTCTCAAAGATTTTAAGTTCAACTTAATTTGATTCTACTGGAGTGAAAGACTCAATTATTTTTAACCTAGCAAATTAATTTGCTTGTCCCATTTTTTCAGGCCGATTCTGAGGCAATCCATTTAACAGATAAGCCACTCTATTCATCTAAGTTTGGCTGGGATACCGCTGTTTCGCTCAGGCCCCGATTGTTTATTATTTTTTCTTAAATGGCTTAAATCCTTTACAATATTTTCTTTCTCATGAGAATATATTTATCTCTAAGCTTCTTCATAACCTTGTACAAGAAGACATACTGTTCTTCAATGTTAATACAGTATTAAGAAATATAACTTGCTCGCTGCAGAACAAGAGAGTAAAACTAATTTAACAGAGCACATATTGTGAGAAGTAATTTGCTTGCAGCTCCTAAGGCGCAGGCCGAGTTTATTATGTTGATCATTTTTCAATCCATGCCATATATACGTCATCTGAAGTGCCGCTGAACACATAAAATTAAAATTACTCTAATTAATTGCCTTCATATCTTACTGTCACCAACTGTATTCATCGCATTTAGTAATGATTAAAGTATTGCTTAAATATACTTTTTACACCGCAATATACCTTGAAGGCTGCTTCTCAAGCTAGTTTTTAAACTTTAGGGCTCCTATAAGACATTAGGAATTCGAGCATTAACCAATATTGGAAAAGTAACGTTTACTATTTCAAGTTTTTTCAGCTCTAGAAACTTACAGTAGTGGATCAAGGAGAAAATGAAAAGTAATTTGTCTGTAAGACAGAATATAGGACGTTGATTCGTAACAGGAATTTATTTAATGTTTGCTGCAAACATAATATCTAAAATTAGCAAATATAACTTAGATGTGAATACGTTGAGGGATACCCAACATAACGTGTCTAGAAAAAGGCTGAAATGGTCGCTATGTTTTTTATTGTTTCCTAATTGCTTATTAATGTGCGGTTTTTTTTAACTTTTGGAGATTTTGGCAGCCAAAATTCCTTGAAACTTTGAAGAAGCTGACCATCCACCTTTTTGGAAGTGTTTTAGGATACTTCCTCGTACTGATATTAATGGTTTTGATCAATATAATTTAATTGGCTTCAAAATGCTGCGGTAAATGTCTGTCTTTTTAAATACGATAGGCTCTACTGTATTTTAAAATGTTTATGGCATTTGAAACCATTTTTTTCGAAGATTTTGTTATATCCAAATTACAACGATTATGAAAAAGCTTTATATTTCAGTCATGGATACTTCTTATAGCTTAAAAATGTCAGAAGTTTAGAAGAGGCATTTGTTAAGAAACTCATTTTATACTTACAAAAAATCAAACCTTGGTCTTCAGTAAGACTGATACCCTAATCACAACATCACATGCAAAGAATGAATTTGATTATTATTTAAATCTAAATAAATCACAGAACTGATCCAACTTTTAATGATCCCAACCTTGTCTGACATATCCGTTAACGTCTTATACTATGATTCTGTGACGCACAAGAAAAATCTTTCTAATTCCCACATTTGTCAAAAATACTGTGATTCATATTTCGTGTTAACTATTCAACCCAGACTCTCATGCTATTATCTTACTACAGCTGTATATTGTGCCTATTCCTTCTGCATCTGCAGTAGTTAAAATAAGATCAATTTCGTGAAAATAGTGGTAGGAAAATTTGCCACAAAATAGGATCTTGTGTTTCATAACTTTTAAGTATCTTTTAATATTAATGCTTCTCATATTGAAAAATTAACATATTTCAGTTTACACAAGTGAAAGGTTTTCACACGTACTTACAAATAAAAGGCAAAATGATCCCCACATCCCTATTAAGCAACACGAGAGGGTAATCTAGTGTTCCTGTTGTAAAATCTCACTCTTTTTTGCTATCGTAAAGTTGAAATGATCTTACGAGATAACCTGGCAACTTCTCATACAGGCGTAAAAGAATACCGGCACAGAAGAAGCGTAAAATAACCCTTTATTATTTCTCCAACTATTAACATAAAATGCACACACTTCATGCTTACTAAAACACCGACGACTTGTGGTAGAACTTAAGAATAGTTCACAATAAATTCAAAGATAAAGAGTAGTGCTGGAAAAACAATTTAATTTAAAGCTAATGAGGCTAATTCAAAAAGCTCTCCGGCGATGTACTTATTAAATGACCAAAAAGGCGTATCAGAAGCTTCTTCGCGTAAGAACAAGGACAAAATAGTAACGTGCGCTGGCTAGTGAAATCACGCTCTGATTAAACTGCAAGATTCGTCCGGTTAAATACTCACTTCCCTTCCCTTTAAATTTGCATCATGGTGAGGAAATGCGAGAGGGAAATAAAAGTTCAGGAAAGATACCAAACTTAAAATAATTTGTTATGCAAATTAAGGGAAACCCTATACTCTTACTAATGTAATAATAATCTGGCAGTTCGTGACCATCCGGATCCCCAAAGACTTTTCTTGCTAGATAACTTCAGCCCCCAATGAGTAAAAAAATAATTTCTTATGGTAAGAGACCCCATTTTATTGCAAATCCTTTTTCTTTGGTGAAACAATACTCTCTTCGTTCATTTTTCTAATACATATGTGCTCTGCTGAGCGGGGATTTGCCTTGCTGCACTGTTTCAAATATTTACTTTAGCATAAGCATTTAGTGATTCCTTCTCTTTCTTGCGCTTCAAAAATGAATTTTTTTTCACAAATCTCATTTAAGCAAAAATTTCTGTCCAAGTGCGGTATAAGTGCAAATTAAAACAACAATATGCTAATGTATATGGCTTTAATTTCGTAAATATTTATCACTTAGTCAGTATAAATATGTTTTTACGTTTTTGTTAATGCCGGACTGTTAGGTAAAATGCGGATTAATGTTTCAGTCTGGGAGATAAAGATTCTTAAAAGCGAATTCAAAAATTGCAGAAAAATTAATTTCACGTAACGCATTAGTTACTAACACTGGAATTTTTTAAGGAAGCTATCGACATAAAAATAAGGTGTTTGCTCATTCATTTCCTTTTAGTGGTAATAGCTTTGTTCTGCCTGCTGCATGGACAAATAACAGACGATTGCAGAGGCTCAAGATACTTTTAAATACTTACCTTGACGTCTTCGTTTCTTGCATCTTGGAATGTCATACTTGCGCCGTTTAATGCAACATTCATCTGCGGCGCAGTGAGATTGAACTTCACATCTTTTAATTTCCTGCGCTGAAATCTAAGAGAGAAAATTTTATAAACAACTTTTAAATGATTTCTCATGTTTACAGCAAGCTTATTTATCTCTTTAAATGTTTAATTCCTTTCGAATCATTTTATAAGCATAAAATTATTTATCTTTCAACGAGCTCGTAGTGGAAGAGGCTTCATGAAATAAACGAAACTTTCTATCCAAATCAATAATAACTTTTACGAGACTCTAAAAATATATAAATACTTTAAAACAAACATAATTTTAAGAATTACTGTAGTTAAAAAGAAAAGGAATTATAAAATTTTCTGAAATTGCTAATTATCAAAACGCTCCCTCAGGTTTTTAATTTAAAAAACATTTGAAACCCTGAAGAAGCTAATCCATTTTGTGATTTTTCAGTCACCCAATTAAAACTTTAGGAACTTTCTTCATTTGAATAAAAATATGTTAAAAAGTGTTTCCCCGATATTATTTGCGGGAGGGTTCACTTTTTCTGTTTGTTCTGGAAACAATCAAATGAAAATATATATTTTTTAGAGAAATATATGGAGTGTTCTTATAGCTAAAACATATAACAACATTCTATATATTTCTCTAAAACATGCTTTAGAATTTGAAGGTAAAAATAAATTCATAACTGAATTTAAATGATTTTCCAGTGCTACGTTGAAGCTTTCAGCAAAAGTAAAGTTCAGAATGTTGTGACTCCCTTAACTGAATTTAAATACTCTAAATTTCAAATTAAAAAAAATCACTGTAACTGACTACGTATGCCAATAAAAATTATAGGCGTTTTGATTAAACATAAAAATAACCTAACCGATGCATTCCGGTTTCTAAATTCTGCTGCTGGAGAAACTCAATCTTCCTAAATTCTAAAAATTTTGCCATCCCTAAATTTTGTTGCCCAATGCTTCTCTAAGTTAAAAAAATTTCGCCTCCCCTATATTCGTAGAATCGAAATATGGAAAAACATGGCATGTCATTTCAGAAAACGTCCAATTTTGTGTCAAAATACCTATATTAGAACAATGCTATGTATAAATCTAATACCTATCCTAAGTCGCGCTTTCGAGACATGAAAAACGCAATTTGAATTTCGTCAGTTGGCCCAGTAGAACGGGATATATAGAACTGTCCCCCTTTTTTCTTTTTTTTTTTTTTTTTTTTTTTTTTTTTTTTTTGCGCAGGGTACATCTATGATACGTAATTATTAATAAAAGCAGTGTTTATTGAAATTCGGACTAATTATATTCTTATTTGAAAGACTCTGTATTTCTTCCTTTGCAGTTCGTCCAACAAGTGTAATAAAATTTGTCCAGTGCATTCCCTGTAAAACTAAAAGAAAAGCTACTGTATGAGCTTCCCTTATCATTTTATACGCATCGAGAAGCAAATGAAATTTCTACACGAAGCTCTATTGGTTGCACTGAAAACATAAATGTAAAAATTAAATTATAGCTAAAAAACTCTTATCATGAAAAACATGCGTTACGTCATGGAGTCATTAAGTTTTATTTCAGAGCAAAAAGTGTAAAATATAATCATGCCGTCGCTTGGAATTCAAATTCTTTGACTCCCGATTCCTAAACGGATGTGCTTAGAATTACACCACGAAGATAAGAAAAGAGGAAAATCCCTTACCTTCTCCCCTACTTAAAGACCAACTAGAGAGAAGGGGAACAGTCGCCAGTTCCAAGTGATGACGAATTATCGTTCACTTCATTTTAGTTCGAACAAACTTTCGAAGCTAGGGAACCAGAAGAAATCTGCAATGCTCTCGGCCGGGATTCGAACTCCACACCGCACACTCCGCGAATGCTAGCCGGACGGGCTTTCAATTACACCACGAAAGCACGCAATAAGAAAAGAAAAAAATCCCTTCTAACGCATTTCCAATATATTCTATAAGAACCTTTAATACAAGCTTCTAATTTTGGAAGACGAGAATAGCTGAATTATAAACATTACCACATTGACTACCAATAAGTATTTGGACACCTATGCAAATGACGATATCTGCGGTCCTAAGGTACGTCACGGACTCCACCGGTATATATCGTGTAGGAAACAGCATCGGCTTTAGTCGCATGCAAGATACCTCGCAGTTCGGAGCTCTCTGATTTCGAGAAAGGTATAATTATCGGGTATCACAAATATGGCCGATCCTTAAAGGACATATCTAGTGATCTTAAGTACCCAAAATCGACAGTGGCCTATGTGATCAAGAAGTGGAAGGTGAGCGGTGATTGTCGGAATGTGCCCCGAGTCGGCAGACCAACGAAGCTGGGAGATAGAGACCGACGAGTGCTGTCCAGAGAAATTCGGAAGAACCGCACACAACTGATGGCCCTCATCCGCGAGGAGTTTCAACAGGCATCCGGGAGTATTGTTTTAATGAATACCATCCATAAGGAAGCACATCTGCTTTGTTTTCATGGTCGTGCTGCTGCCCATAAGCCTTTGATCACAAAGTCCAACCGCTCTGCTCGGTTAATGTGGTGCAAAGCACACCGAAATTGGACCGTGGATCAGTGGAAACGGGTTCTTTGGAGTCACGAATCAAGGTTCACCCTTTGCCGTTCGGATGGCAGGGTCTGGGTCTGGCGTCTACCTGGAGACGTCTCCTGCCAGAATGCATTGTGCCAATAGTCAAGTTCGGCGGAGGTGAAATTATGGTCTGGGGGTGTTTCTCCTGGTATGGGCTGGGACCCTTTTTCCCCATTCATGGTAAGTTCAACTCCGATGCCTACTGCACTATTTTGGATGGAAATGTGCTTCCTACGTTGTGGCAGTTTTACGGGTTGGACCCCTGTTACTTTCAGGACGACAATGCCAGTTGTCATGTTTCGGCGTTAACCAAGGCTTGGTATGGTGCCAATGGAGTTCATCGAATGGACTGGCCTGCCCAGAGTTCAGACCTGAACCTAGACTATCGAGAACCTCTGGGACGAGTTGCATCGCCGAATTCAGGGGTGCACTACCCGTGCAAAATCGGTTAAGAACTTCTATGTCTTCTCCAAGCCGAGTGGAAGAAAATACCACTAGCTGTCATACAAAGACTTGTGGAAAGTATGCCCCGGAGGATCCACGCTGTAATTTCCTCTCGTGGAGGCTCTACCAATTATTGATTTTGAATAAAGTTAGTTTTTCTTTTCTATCACAGGTCTCCAAATACTTATTGGCAGTCAGTGTATTTATTTTTTAATTGATACATTAAACATTTCAGAAAAAATGTCTAAAATCGAAATAATATAAATTAGTTATTCTTTAAAATTCCATAAAAGCTTTTGAAATAATTGAAGTTACTGAGAAGATAATTATGCGCAGGAAAACTAATAGGCCTTTTCACTTTTCTTCTGGAAGCTTTTAACTAAATGAATCATTTTTCTTCCCCTTTTTAAGTCCAGCTTAAATTCAGTGAATCTTCTGGCAATTTAAAATGCAAAAGATCTGCATATGAAGCTATTTAATCTTCCATTTTTACCTGATATGCCCCCTCAAAATTTTATTTTTGGTAATAATTAAGTTTGTAATATAGGAATAATAAAGAATAGCGTATTTTTTTATAAATAAAGTAATGCTTCTATAAAATCATTTGGAAAATACATAAAAAGAAAAATATAGTGTGATAAAAATACCTTTGAAATTTGTCCTCCTTTTGTTAACATTCTTTAAATGTTTTGGAAAGCTCGGTATCATTTTCAAGAAAATAATTTGTAATCTTTTGTAAACATTTCTCTTTATCATTGAAATATTTTAATTCGTGCAGATCGATTATTATCGGCTTTATATATTGTAATAATTGTTGTGGATTCCATTTAACTTAGCAGTGTCAATTTATATAAAAATGCGGCTTCATTTATTTGATTATGACAAAGCATACAAGGGTTATCTGCTTAAGGGAAGGGATGCTTTTGTGGAAGACTTAAAGGAAACTAGAGACTTAAAGGAAACTAGAGAAAAACCACGAAAACGGCTATGCAGCCAGCCCGTTCGCCTGAAATTGAGTCTAGATCGAAATTTTCCAGTGTTCAATGACTTTTACCGTTCGGCCGTTAGTGGGGCACGTTTGTTACGTTCAGTGAATTATCATCACTAGAATATATAACCATCAAACAAACAAATAAGCACAAAACTAAAACACTTTAAGCTTATTCTACTTCACCACTTGTGACTACACAACTGCCTAGACAGTGAGAAAATCTTTAATACCCACTCTTGCCAAACCGGATCTAACCTCAGTCTAAAGTATTCTCAGTACAACTTAAGCATTTCCAATCATCTGTTTTCTTCGATCGTCAGGACAGAGAACTATTCTCTTTTATTTGTAAATCTCTGAACTTTACAGTAAAAATTTTTGCCACTCAAATCTACATAAATTTTGGAATGAGCGTAGCGAACATCGTGGCGGAAACAGGCAGAAAGGAGGGTAGTGAATTAAGGAACATTTCATTATTATAACTAAAATGCCATAAAATTGTTCTTAAAATCTTATTTTGTGCTCCGAGAAAAATCAGTAGGTAAGGGCGCACCTTCTGTTTCAATCCATAAATCTCATTTTGAAGCGTCGTCACAAATATTCTGAAATCTTGCTCTTAATGAAACTAAAGTTCTGTTAGAGATTTGTAATTAATTTTATATGTTTTAAGAACGAAAGAGAATAAAAGTTCACTATTTAATTATTTTACTCTCGAAAATTTTCTGTTGGCAGTAAAAGGAAGCGAAGATAATTTTCACTGATTTAAAATTTTGTAAAACGGTCTTATGCATTTTGAGAGATCAACTGACGCAAGTCTCTCTTCCTCAAGCAACACGTTTATGGTATCAACCTTTAGCATTCTGCAAATTTTTTGAAGTGATCTAAGCATCAGATCGTAATCAATTATATATTTTACAGTCACTCTCAATTTAAGACTAGTTTTGCTAATTTTAAAACTGCTATGTTTCTTAATATATTTCGGTAGCTTCAGCTAAGAATCTAGGTAAATTTTAAAATGTTATTGTTTTACAAAAAAATTCAACTTATTATAAAACTGTAGCCTAGAAAGGTTTGGTTTATGTGATTACGGCAAAGCCTTCGTGGAGGGCTCTTTAGGAAAAGCTGGATCTTTTACATCTTACACATGGAGAAAAATACGAAACCGCTCGTTCAACCAGCCTTTCGCGGGATTAGAACCTTGGACCGAACTACCACTGTTCAGCGACTTTACCGCTCGACCGCTGTTGGGTATACTTTAGAAAGGAAATTCATTATAATGATAATTCCCACATTATAGTTATATAAATTCTTTGTTACTATATTGTAAAATAAATAGTTTATCACAAAGATACTTTGAAAAACGATTTTTCTTACAAGATTTTTAGAAAGAAATAAAAGTGTCTTTCTCCGTAATAAGTTTTGAAGTTCTCAAGTTTAGGTTAAAATAACACTCCGACTAATGATTACTGGGGTCAAACAACAAGAATCAACGTAATATTTGTCAATTTTACAAAATTGACAAATATTATTCTCCAATAACTCTGAAATTTTTCAAAAGGTAGTGAGTTAAATAATTATTATAATATTAATGAATGTAAGCATACTTGTATTAACAATACTTTTCAAAATTACTATACTTTAAAAACCAGTCTTCTTTCTTTTGTGTCACCAGAATAAATAAATAGGCCACAAAAATTTTTTTTAATAAACAAGCGAGCTTTTTAAAAAAAAACTGTGTTATAAAAAAATCAGCAAACGGATGAAAATGTCTTTTTTTATAAATAAACTAAATTTTGGTTCTTTATTTTATGATTTCTAATGTAACCCAAATTAATTTCTCATATGAAAAGTGTTTAAATGATGGAAAACTTCTTAACTGCAATTTCATAATTTTCGCTTTTTAATGCCAATGGATTCAGATTAGTAAAGAAAACAAAATTTCACTTACCAGCGACACGAGAAGGCAGAGAAAAGCTACTACTAGCAATGCTTTCATGTTGGGATTTCAAAAGTAATATGCAAGTTTGAGAAAATATCCTGAAAGCGTTGAATTGTTTTCCTGCAAATCTGTGTGGACAGCTTGCACTTAATTTGATTTTCCAAATGCATATTTACAATATGCGTCAGGAAACACATGGCGGGCGTTTGTTTAACACCTGAAGGTCAGATTTTATAAGTTTCGAAAATGCCAGTATTTCTTATAAGATTTAACAATCATTATGAAAGGAAAGAATTTCAAGTAATTAAAATGCATCAAAATAGCAATAATCAGTAAAATATGCAAATGCCCAAAATAAATAAATAGCTATGTATCATTAACATTGATGTATACATAAACGGAAAGAGAAGAGACAGACAGACATGGAAATCAGTTTTAATTGTTTCCAAAAATAATATGCTATTTCGATTCCATATTTCTTTTCTATTTTTCTTATATTGACAATAAAAGATCTTAGATTACCTAAAAGAAATTATAATAGATAAAAAAAATAGCAATCAGTAGATAAGGTTGAAAAAACTTAATCTTTAACAAAAAGGAAGCTTTCTAGAAATTTCTTTTAAGCAGTAAATTAAATTTTTATTTACGGTTATGAATTAGCGTTTCACATAAGCATCTTTAAGTCCAGGTTAACGGGCAGAAAACTTGTATTCATTTTCGGATTATCTACAGGCTATGATGCCTAAATCAGTACTAAATTTCTGATTTACTGTGATGAAATTAAGTTTTTAAACATAATTATGTATGTGCGTGTTTGTTCATAAATGCAGTAGTTTACTTTTCAGTTTTCTTAGGAACTTCAGATATTAATTAGATATTTAAGATTAATTAGATATATAAATTAGATTCTGATAAGATTAGCTTCAGTGAAATGACTTTCAAATTAAAAAGTTTTCTAATATTCATTATGGATTAATATAACCCGGAGAACATTAGGCACATTTAAAAACTTGCAGCTTATGCATATCTAAAATGAAGGAAAAGGATGGCTGGCACTAAAATTAAATCAAAATACCTGATATGGGCACCACACGACTCTTTTGCACGGCCTATTAAATTACAGTACAACTCCAATTATCTGAACTCCGACTAACCGAATCCCTGATTATCCGAATCGCTTTCAGAATTTCAGAATCTTTCAGATCAATTGAAGAAGAGAAGGAAAAGGAGAAAAAGGGAAAAGAAGCTCAAGAAAAGGAAAGGGAAGAAACAGGAGAAGATGAGGATGACATGTCACTTGAGAAACATTAAGAAACATTCTTTTGAAAATTCCTGGATGTTCAGAAGTTAGTGCTGAGAGAGGATACAACAAAATGGGTGGTGTGTCAGACCTTGGGTTTCAAATTCTAAATGATGATGAACTTATTGAAACTGTGAGAGAAGTAAGTATTGAGAAGAAGATGACCTTAATGTCGAAGTTGAAGCAGACCAGAACCATCATCTAGTGAAGCATTTGCCGGCCTTGAAACTGCCTTCAAGTGGATGGAGCGTCAGTCTGAGTGTGACCACATGCAAGTTCTCATTGTCAAGCGAATGCGCGACTTTGATACCTAAAAACAGATAAAGACAGTCAAAAAGCTTACTTTGACCGAGATTCTCAACAAGCAATGACTTGTCAGCACTTGTAAGTACTATACAGTACGCTGTACGCATGTAAAAGTGTTGCCTTTTCATTTAATTAATTAAAACCTCTTTTCCTTTAATAAATAGTTTTTTCCTCTCATTTCCAACATATAGTACATACAGTAACTAATTAAATTACACGTAGACCTTTTCTTTGTAAAAAACCCAATTATCTGAATGGGGTTCGGTCCCAATTGATTCCGATAATTGGAGTTCTACTATATATGCACAATTTTGCTGCAATTCATGTAAACTTACTTCCTCGAATTTCATTAGAGATATATTTCTCATTCAATCAATTCAATTCTCACTTCGCGGCAAGGCAAAAATACATAAAAACTCAAACATCTTTTCACTAAAAATTGTAAAATACGAAAAAAAAAAAAAAAAAAAAAAAACTTAAAATATCAAATACAGTTAAAAATAGTTTAAACAATTTTTGCAATTAAAATTATAGTTTCTACGCAAAAAAAAAAAAAAAAAAAAAAAAAAAAAGCTATTCGGCCAACGGACAGGAAGACAAAATTTTCGGTGCGCAATCATTTAAAGTTAACTTCTGGTCCCACCGAGCAAAAAAAAAAAACCACTGAAGTTGCTGCACCAGCTGACTTAATTCACTATACTACTAAGAGCGTAAAATGAAAATAAATAGCCGCCACGTTAAGCCTAACGACATTTAAACTTTTAAATTATTGATAATTCTAAAACTATTGCATGCAGATTAACTAAAGACATAACAAAACTCTTAACTGGAACATAAGAAAAACCTAACGAATTAATTTTAAAGCAAAAAAATGCATTGTTTACCGACAAATAAGTATAAAAATACGAAGCTCACCTAGCCGGCTAACAGGTGGAAATAGATATATATATATGTTTGGCGAGGCCGATTGCAACGAAAACGGGAGATACGCAACTAGATGCTATATTCTATGGATACTCGTTTTTGAGTTATGCGAGATACATACGTGCGTCCGTTCGTACGCACAAGCGCCACGAAAAAATCTCTTCTGAAACCATTTTAAATTCATTTTACAATCTCTTTTCGAAAAGCGAGCTTTTATTCTGTGCGTACGTACTAATGTCACGCAAAAACATCGTTCCAATGGATTCGAGACAGGTCAAAATAGATATTTTCGTTGAAATATGATACCTGAGATTTTGAGCATTTACAATGCTTCGTTTACTTTGTATAAGGAAGTAAAACTGATATTTACATTTTTTTGTTATAATAGTTACATATAGTTTAAAATTTAAAGCTTAAACAAACGAATACTTTGATTTCAATAACAAGTTCTCAGTTATCATACTGCTGTAATTAAAAAGATTTATTTATATAGATTGAGCAATGCAGAAGGGTTCTGCGAACACCATTTGTAATGTTTCTATTTTCTTTTTATGCGCTTCTTAAGTGTGCAGCCATCAAGTTTAAGTATAATTTAGTTTAAGTATAATTTAGTTGCCATCAAGTTTAAGTATAATTTAGTTGGATATTTTCACATATTTAAAATTTCGCAAAAACTCTTAAAGGATATAATTTTAAAATTCCTTCATAATCTAGGATCTCACAGGAACTACTGAACTTTTAGTTTAGTTCCGAACACTTTCGTTTATAAATTAGCAGTCTCTTTTTATCCAAGAAATGTTTACTTTTTTGCAATTAAAAAAAAAAATCTTAAAAATGATTCCCTGCTAAACAAGGTGTGTATGATTATGCTGATTGGTTTGTTTACTTTAGGAAAGTAGTACTAGTACAAGCAGCAAAGCAAAAATTTTGAAACGCTGTTTTTAAAAATAAATAAATAAAAACCATTAAGAGCATAATTGAAAATAGCTTCCTTCTACTGAAAACATATATTACAAAATTGGCTATTTGTTTTGAACCGGATCTAGAGGGCGAAAATTGTTACTTGGCTTGAATGTTTGTCTAGAATGAACTGAAGTAAGAGATCAGAAGAACGAAATTTTGTAAGAATATCCTAACAGACTAAACACTTAAATTTCTTTCAGGCTCTGTAAAACTCTTTAAAAGCAAAAATGTTGACATCCGAGTTTAGGCTTCGAAGAAAGCAATGAATAAAGCAAGCTTCAGTACAAAATACGGAATTATGAAAACCGGTTTTTATATGCACATAATTTTAAACGTATTACAAAATTTTCACGTTACTAATAATTCAAGAATCATGCTTAGAAAACTGCTAGGCACTTTTAGAGCTGCATGTAAGGTACTTGCATTCACAGTATACAAGGCCTTTTTTCATGAACGTCACATAAGTCACGAAGCCACGTGACACAATGTCACAAACATGACTTTTTTTTCTATTTCCCCCCTATTTGAATATTCATAGAGGAAGCTTAAAATTTAATTTTTGTTTCTGTAAAACAATAGTAACCAAAAAAGAAACTTCAGATTTTTTAAATGTCTTCATCTACAGAAATGTGAAAATATGTTTCAATTTAAAACAAATATTTCAATTTAAGGAACAAAAGTACAGTTTATTAAATCGTGGAATATTAAATTATACATATTTTTCGCACTAAAGTGTTTGCAGACTACAAATATTTTCTCAAGGGAATGAATTACATTTATGTTTACTAATAAGTGTATTTTCAAATTTTTCATCATTTTATAAACTCCAGAATTTAACGGATAACCAGCGGCCGAGCGATAAAATCGCTGAACACTGGTAGTTTGAACCTAGGTTCGAATCTAAGCGAACGGGCTGGCTACATGAGCGTTTTCGTTGCTTTTTCCATTGTAACCGATATACGAGCCAGTTTCCTTTAGCAAGTCCTCCACGAAGGTATTCTTCGCTCAGGCAGATAATCCAAGTGTGCTTTGCCATAATAAACTAAACCAATCTAGACTTTACCATTTTTGATAAACTCTGCTATTGTCGAGTTTACAAGGAATATAATGTTATTTTAAAATTTCAAATTTCAGCCAGTCGATTCAGTGGCTAGAGACTCTAACTGACTTACCGAAGAGCCGAAGTATGAATTTCAAAGAATGATAGATTTTGTAAATGTATTGTATCTGTGCGGCAGGGGAACACTCAATACGTAGGGCAAGCCCAAAGTTCTCTCGAGTGGTTTCGTGATAACGGATGAAGGAGGAGATCCTCAAAACCATCTTCTGGAACACTCTTCTTCAAAAGTGAAGCCGAATCAGACAAAGTTGTATTGTCACTTATATGGTGCTCAAAGCTTATGTCAACGACAGACGCAGTCTTGCGCCCCTTGCCATGATGAAATTTGTGGGCTTGTTCTGATTAGGTCAGGCAAGTGAGATTAGCCACTACTACAACAAAATATCAATCATCATCTGTTAGCTATCTAAAAGTTTAATCGTGAATTCATTAGGTCTTCTAATGAATTAGCTTTTACTTCAAATTCCTTATGAATATGTAGCGTTTAATAATGTAGATTTTAAAACTGTTTTGCAAGTAATTACATACTTTTTAATAAACGTT